GGGGGGGGGGGCAATGGGGGTGGCCTGGGTGGGAGAAGTAAAGCGACGACTGCAGGATCCTACCACTAATCCAGAAGCGGCACAGGGTACGGGTCACTAACAATACAGCTCTACCAGGCCAGGAGGGAAGGGTTTGAAAGGATGCGCAACTGCTACGGCCTGCGCTACGACTCTACCACAGGGGACAGCTGCGTATGACGGCACCCCACGACATGCAATTACCAGCTGGTGCAGCTATCAGGTTTTCGCGCGTGAGCAGGATATCAGGGCTGTGCGTACAACTAAAGTGCCCTGTACATATTTTGGCCGTACAAGGGGGAGAGGAAGGGAGGGGCCCCAGTGCAATTTGCCGTACTCCGTATCGAACAAATCTCTGCATCTCTACTCGTACTTGCCTGTAATTGTCTGCCATGATACCTGGTATCGCCTCTACTAGGTACTAGTATTGTTTTAGCCTATTACTTGACTCGAGGCTGTCTGGCTTGCTTGATTCTTCGGTAGCTGGAGGGGCGACTAGACTGTATTGAGCTGTAGTACGGGCAGTACGACTAGTAGTAGCCTTGCCAATTAATATCTGTACGAGTCGTACATCCGCCCTCTCGTATTCTCTCGTCTCTTTCTCCTATTTCCTTCTCCATCTAGCCTCCTCTCTATCTCTGTCTTTTCTTCTCCTTCTTCGTATCATCTCTAGTTCAAATTTCCAGTAATAAGCTGTTATAATAAGATAGAGACCTCTCCCGGCATTCCTCTCCCTACTGTATAATCCGGCGTAGAACACAGTCCGATGGCGGGTGCCCGGCGATGCATCACTGAGAATGGACAAGATTCTTAGAATGCCACGACGACGACGAGTACTCGTACATGTACATCACACTTCCTCCTATCGTAGACCCTACATAGCGGCTCGGTCTCGACTCCTTCAGCCAGTCTACCACTACGAGTACGAACATCATGCATCGGTGCATTGAAAATACGTCGTATTGTCTAGCCCGCCCACGGAGCTAGACATGATACGGATACATGTACAGATTAATCCGCACTCGTAATTACTTACAATCACTAGCAATATCTGACTAACAATGCCATCTATCTGTTCTCGTACTCGTACATGCCAAACTCTCCCCAGGGCCAGGCGAATCGGACCATAGGGCGATCAGCCAGGGTCCTTTCAAGGGGAGGCTAATCTCACCATTCTGGGCCAGAAAGGCGTCTTTCCATCGTGCCCGTGGCGCTCCCACCGGGGCCCTACCACGGACCGGCGGCCCTTGCATCGCACAGGCCATCCACAGGCTGGTCAGCCCTCCCACGACCATACCTGAGTGCTCAATTCGACGCCGCCACGTCCGTCGAGTTCATGTAGTTGGCACGGCATCCATCTGCCATGTGCAAGCTACACGATGTCGGGGCGTGAACGCGCAGGATCGTAGCACCTACTCCGTAATCTGTTTACGGTCAACACGAACACTACTGAACTCACTGCACGAGACGCATTATATTGCGACCTTCCTTTTGTCTTCCTCCTCTCTCCTTACCGATGCATCACTTCCGTATTGATGCCACATGTACGAGGAGACGGGACTGCCAAGAGAGCAAAAGGGGTATCATTACCAGCGGTAATACTCGTACTAGTAGTAATGCCTGCGCTAGTACTGTCGGCATCACTAGAAGCAATCATATTGACCGGCTGTATGAGGAGAGGAGAGCCTTTGGTCTATATCACCCCGGGGTAGACATGGGTGGCTTCCTTTTTAAACAGCGAGCAAAAGTTCTGGGTTTTACCAGTTGACATATTATTATTGCGCAGGGGGCCTCTCTCTCACCAGCCACAGTAGCTCGCAGTCCAGGAAATCAAATGTCAAAGGGGAAGAGTTGCGTGCTTGTCGGCGCCTTTCCTGCTCTAAAAGCCTCTAGTAGTGGCGTATGGAGGAGGTACCTACCTGTACTGTAGCCCACACCATCTGGCATTCGGCTCTAGTTCATGACGGTCCAGCCGGTCGGTTCTCCCGCGGCGAGCACGCCCATGACTCGTCTGTCTTCTCTGTCAGAGCGCGTAAAGGTGGGAGGAAAGAAAACAAAAGAGAAGAAGAGGGGGAGAAAACGCGTAAACACGCTGTAGTACGACAAGATACAGTTTTCGCGGCCTTGCCACAGATGAATAGTAATACTACTGTACGAGTACATGTACATGTAATCTGTAGCAATACCTGCTCTGCTGTACGTGTGGCTGATGGATGTGGCTGTGTGTGCTGCTCACTCTGTGCTTCCGGGAAAGCCTCATTTCCAAGACGCACGTGATCTGTACTCAGGGGCATCGAGGAGCTATTTCCTATGTCACATGTAACTTGTAGACAGCTTCCCCACCTCCATCTGAACAACTATTCCTCGTAGAGACTTCAACTATAGACCTGTTGTATAAAACTATGCCTGGCCTAACACTGGACGGAAACGCGGTTTCCGATCTCTCATCGGGACAAATTCCCGATACTGCATACAATGCTTCCTGCAACTGATCTGCAGGTTACACACTACGCAGTAACAGCATAGCACTCCTTGCGGCATCTGGTACATGTACGAGTAATATACCACCCAGTCTCAGTCGTCTCAACTCTCCGCACCCCCGCGATTCTTTAGCCAGAAAGAAGCACCATCATGTAGTCATCGACCACCGGACACCACGGTCTACTCGTACGTTCATTTCCTTTTCCGTTCCCTTGACATTTGAACATCGTATTCCATCTGGGATCCCGCCTTTGACTCCATCTTCAGCGCATTTGCAGATACTGCTATCTATGTTGAAGGCCTGAGGCCACATGGTCACGTGGTTCAGCCAGCCCTTGCTTTCTCATATCTCACATTGTGTAGTGGCTAGCTAGTTAGCTAGATAGATCATCATCACCCTCATTTCTTCAGAGCCTTGAGCCACCTTCACGCCTCAACAATCTACTATGCAATAATGACTTGTACTTTCCAACCTCCTCACATTGTACATATATACAAGTATAATATACGCGGCATGCGCCCACCTACTCCAGATCCTCGGTACTGATGACAACGGCGGCAAAAACAGTGCTCGTATTCTCATCATGCCCATTCCCATCATCACCACTAATGATGACTCGTATCCACCGCAACTCGTACGCACCTTAGATCCTTTCATTCCCCATGTCCGTACGATCACCAAATTCTACCGGTACGAGTATCTCGTACTCTGCTTACATTTAATGACAGGTAATATACATACTCTGTACGAGTACGTACAGGCCTCTCTATCCATTAGCTCTCTTGCCCGTACGCCAAGTTTCTTGGTCCCCGTACTCGTACATGTAATCACACGTAATATTATATCAGCCACGCACATCCGTCGTTGAGTAGTGGGACCACCCAAGAACTCGGCACGCCGCACCAGACGGAACATCGAACAACTTGACCTATCTCTCTCTCATTTCCTGTTTGATTTTTGTCATCATCTCTCCTACTCCTTCCATTCATCGACTGATGCAGGGGACGGCAAGCCATGAAAAGCATACCGGTACACGCCCTGCCGCATCGGTGAGTCTCACGTCGATCCGAACAAAGTCCAAGCTCTCCCATACGCATACCACCCTCTCTCCTGCTCACCACTATCCGGCAGGACATCCCGACATCCGAATCCATGACCGTGACGTAGGGCTCATCCACTTCGGCTCATCGATACCATCAACTTCTCTTGATCCTCATCTCCTTATCGCTGACTCTCTCTCTTCCTTCCATCACTGCTACTGGAGTAGATTCCGCACCACCGTTCACAGGATCCGGCTCCCACACAGAACATCGTTGCCTCGACTCAGCCGCAAGATGCGGCGCAGAGACTGCTGCTATGGCGTATGATATCTCGTATCGTACATAGTGTTTGTTTCCTCGGCTAGTGCTCTGGCTCTGCTTACCCCCGGTCTTCCCCCGCAATTTATACAGCCAACCATATGCAGCCATCAGAGTACACCTCCCCGTATAAGAGAAGAAGAAGAGAGAGAACAAGCCTCTGTGCCGTAGAGGCGGCCGCCTGACATGTATATACTAACATCTAAATATGGCGTCAAGAATCAAAACCCAATACACCTGTGTAATACAAACCAACGGCTTCCCCGCTCGGAATTGGTTAACCTGACTCCCCTTCCAGGCGAGGTTTAGTGGGAAGGATTAAACACACACACATGGCGGCGTCTTAGTTTCGGAACCGCGATGGACTGGACCAGACCTCATGACATCCAGATCCGATGGGGCGTGTCATCATGCAAGACACCCGACGGCCCGGTGGCTTTTCATCCCTCTCCTTCTCGTGTATGGAAGACCAAAAAAAAGCCATTTCCAAGGCCAGTGATTCAATGCTCCATAGTCAGCGCTATTCGAATGTCAGCCCGACTCTCACACCACCTTCAACCTCCCGTCTATTGATAGAAAGCATCTAGCTGTCGACGGACCGTCGGGTGCATGACCAAGTGTTCTCCCCGACCCAGCCCTTCTCTTCCTTTGCTGCCCTCCAAGAACTTGCCCAGGATACACAGTGGCTTCGCGAGTCTTTCCCATTCCACACGTCTCATCAGCTCGTATAATTCTTCAAGCCCAACAGTTGTCAGCGTCTCTCAAATCCGTGTCCGACAGTGGTTCAGAGGAGAAACGGGTATAAAAAGGGGCCGAGGGCACTCCTGCTCTTCTCTCCCGGGACCTTGTTCATCGCCATCAACATCTCTCAGACTCTGCTCCATCACTCACTCACTTGCAGAAAACAACAACTTTCCCAATCACCAAACATTTTCAAGATGAAGTCCGCCGTCGTCGCCATCACCTGCCTCGCCGCCATGGCCGCCGCTGTTCCCGGCGCCCCCGAGAAGTGCCAGCCTGCTACTTACTCTTGCACTGTCAACCCCGAGACCCACGCCCCTGGATGGCAGGTCTGCAACACCAGCGGAGACTGGGTCGTGAGTTTCAACAGGATCGAGAAAAGAAGAGAAGAGAAAAACAAGACTGACAAATTCATAGTTCGCCGGTGATTGCCCGCCTCATACCGTCTGCAAGTTCCTCGAGGCCAACGGCAGCCCTTACTGCGTTCCCCCCAAGTACAGCATTTCTTAAATCCATCCCCTCCCATATGACCTGCTTTTCCATATCCACCCCACCAGCTAGGCCAAGATCGATACTTTCCCTTCCGTCATAAAGCAACCCCTCTTTCTTATCGGAACGAAGGACAGATCGTTCACAAGGGGCAGGGGGGGGGATCAGGGCAGGGTCGAAGGGTGTGATACACGGGAGGGGGCCCTGATACGGAGCCTGAGACGACCGTGTGTCGTTGGACGGTTTCTACTGAGCTACGGAGTGTTATGGTTTGCTATGAAACGGCTTTGATTGTGTTATATGCGAAAGGCTAGCTCAAGACTGATTGGGAGGGAAGAAACATCGCTGTTGCTCTCTCCCGGGAAGTTCCAAGGCTCCATACGATTTATAGAGCTACTTTTAAGCATATGACAAACGTTAACCTCACGTCGTTTTCTTTCCTGCAATATTGTGTCGACGGTTCCAAAGTCTTCCTTGCTTCACTTCACCATGCTTTTCAAGACTCTACCATGCTTCACATCTGGTACACACAAACATTAAGCAGACCCATGTACATTTCATTGGCACGTATCCATCGCTCCAAGCCACGACACGTAACGCCAAGTTTCATCTCCCTCCATCGATTACTACGTTCAACAGGACTCCTCCTGAGATGGACATATACACTGATAGGGGCACCGCAGATTGAAAGAGGCATACACAGACAAAGACACAGGAATCATATCTGATTCTCGTTCCATTATACACCATAATTAACTATGTGGGGGAAAAAAACTCAGAAAGACCAACTCCCTGCCTCAATTATAGTCATGCAATAAAACGCATCCAAAAAGAAAAAAATGGGAAACAAAGATAGATAAATAGATAAACGGATGGGAGAGGAGGGGTATATAAGCAGAGGGCAAAAAGCAGAGGATTATCTAATGCAGGGGGTGGGTAGAGTGAAATGGTGACAGAGGCTCATGAAAACGTGAAATGGGTCAGGAAATAGAGGTGGGAAATGATTGGTGGGAGGGTAGATTGGAGGGTGTAGATAATGAATATACGGGTGTATAACCCATTACATCATACCCAGCCTGGTGCTGCGTTTATTCATCTGAGGACGAGGAGCAAAGCCACCCTTGGACGGGTGAGGCATACCAGGGCCACCAGGGCCAGGGCCAGGACGCCTCGCGCCAGGGGGTCCGGGATAAGGACGGGGCATCCCGTTAGGGTTAGGTCCCCTGGGCCGAAGGCTACCAGAGCTGGGGCCGGGGCCGGAGGGAAGACCCATGGGGCGGGGAGGCATGGGGCCGCCACCACCGGTGGGTCGCCTGGGAGGCGGTCCGTAGGGTCCGGGACCAGGAGGAGGGCCGGGGCGACCGTATCCGCCGCCGCCGCCGCCGTATGGGTAGGGACCAGGAGGCGGAGAATTGTTGTACATCGGGGCAGGCGGCGGCGCACTGTTGACCCTGTACAGGGCGTCTTGCTCGCAGTAGGCGCGGCCGTCGACCTCAAAGTAGCCCTCAGTCAGAGATCGGCCGCAGTCGAGGCAAGAGAAGCAGCTAAGGTGGTACTTTGTCGAACTCTCGTCAGCCACGAACTGGCCCTCGATGCCGCGTCCGCAACCGCCACAGAGACTTCCGTTGAGCTTGTGGTAGTGCTGCTCGCAGTATGGGCGATCATCCAGCACGTAGAACTCGGCAGATGTGAAGGGCTCGGCGCAGGTAGTGCATACAAAGCACGCCTTGTGGTACTTTCCGGTGAGGCGTCCATCTGCTGATGACACGCTCTTGCCCTTGATGGGCTGGCCGCAGGCCTTGCAGTCACCACGGTAATTCGAGTCGCCCGTGCTCTTGGGCACAGGGGGGGCAGGTGCGGGCTTCATGTGCAGAGAGTCTGGAGGTGACCCCCAACGGTCGTTGGACGCGGGCTGCTGGGGAGAGGTTGCAAGAGGTTCTCCGGCTGCCGTCGGCGAGCGCGAGGAGCCAAAAGAGCGGGAGAAGGTGTTTTCGTCGACGACGGCGAGCTCGCCGGGTGAATCGGCCAGCGGCGACGGGGTGCGCGGCGAAGTCATGGGTCCCGCGCGTAGGGTGCTCTGCCTCGGAATGTCTAGAGGCTTGGGCGTAATGTCTAAAGGTTTGGGCGTGTTGTCCTTGGGGCGGGGCTGTCTGAGGAAGTCGGGAACATCCTGGCGGCTGTGGGTGCGGGAGGGGCTCGTCTGGGAGCTCGCGAAGCTCGGACCGCTAAAGGCGGAGGTAGCCGACGACGCCGAGTCCGAGGGAGTGTGGTAGGGGTTCCCAACACCAAACTCCCTAGCCAGGTCGACAGAACCTGGATTCCCACGGGCGGGGCGTATCAGGCTCTTCCTTGGCGGTGGCTTCCTCGACGTATCTGGGCCCATGGACGGCTGGCGTCCGTGCATAGACCTGGGGCTCTGCCTCGAGTCCGAGCTGCGCGTGCCCGGCGCCGATGGTGTTCGTGCAGGAGGCTCTGTGGAGAGCGAAGCCCTGGGGAACGTCTCGGAGCGGTCGAGTGGAACCAAGCGTGCGGGGGGCTGGAGCTCAGTCTCTGACCTCAACGGAGGGCCGAATCCCTCATACCCATCCTTCCTCGGCAGCCTCGGGGGAGCCATGTTTTCACCACTTCCCGTTGAGCGCATCGAATATCCGGTTCCGGGCCTCTCCTCTGGATATGGGGACGTCGGGGCAAGCGAGTTTGCGAAGCTTGGGGATACAGAGCCAGATGCAAAAGGCCTGCCGGAGGATACGGACCCCGCGGCAGAGGGCCTACGGTGGTCAAACGGCCCGGGGGTGATGTTGTCCATGCGTTGGAGGACACCGGCGCCCGGGCTGGGCAGCGGCTCCATCGTGTAGGTATCGCTCTCGTTCAGACCCCCGTGGCCATTGGATCGCCGCGCGCTCAGTGGCGAGGGGACGTAGCCTTCGCTACCATTGTCTGAAGATGAGTATAGTTCGCTGGAACGCCCCTGGGCAGGCTCAGCAAAGAGGCCCCCAGGAGAGTTATGGCTGCCTAGGTTCATAGGCGTCCTAGGAGCCTGCTGCGCGTAGGGCTTGTCTACGGGTTCATGTCAGCCAAAGGTCATAATGCTTGATGGGCCAAAGCGGGATGACGGCTACCACCGTCCGGCGCAACGTACTGGCAGCGTCAATGTCAACTGGCACCAGTTTACGTGGTGATTTGGATGCTGGCGCGGGGTTGCGAGGAGCATCGTAGGGTTCTTCCTCTTCTATGGGTGGTGGTACTATTCATTAAGGGTGAGCAATGCCGTACGCGAGTGCGGGAGGGGCGTCGTTGGGGGGGGTTACATTGTTCATCGCCTCCAGTAGCACAGATGTGCTCTCCCATCATGGAGATCTCAACCTGTGCACCACATTGCGAACACTTGATGGTCGGCAGGAAAGCAGACTCTCTAGTCATTGCCATGGTGAGTGCTTTTGTTCTTGCGTCGATCCTCTTCTCTTGTCTTCTTTCGCCTTGCCGTCGTTCTATGGGGTATACGTGGGCATCGGTCCAAAGTCGAGTTAGACGGACGAGTCGCGTCTACCTGAAAGAATCGGCGTATTACGGTTGCTGGGTAAAGTCACAGACAACCATCGATGATGTGTGTAGGCGGGTTCTAGGACTCGCAAGCGGGGAGCTGAGAGGTAGGAGGTGGGTGGTGAATGGCTGCTGTGGTTATACTGATAGGGTCGTGGTGGTGATTGCGTCTGCGAAGTGCGAAGTAGAATGGCACAGCGGCCCTTTTTTTTTCTCTCCTCTGCAACAGGATATGCGTGAGGACGTTTCCAAGGGGCGAAGATGGCCAAGGAAGGGAGGTTGAAGTTGTTGAGTAGAAAACGGTTCGTCTCTGCCAATAGTCGACGGAAGAGTCAAGGCAGACAAGACTACTGCGTTCCCATGGACGATGGTTGGAATAATAACAGAAGCATGGGTGTCTAGATCCCTGCTCCTCCCCCTGGACATGGCTCCCTGAGACTAGCCGGGGTCACCCCTGCCACTTTGTCGTATTGGGATGGGGATGACCACCTGTAGCACCTTTAGAGCTTGTCCAGCTTTCTTTCGCATGAACGCTTTACCGTAAGGGATATCGGCTGCCTGTCTCCTGCAGAGATACTATGAATGTGTGTCGCACCTTGTTGCAGCAACCCATCATCCGCCTTGTGTCCGTTTGAGTCAAGAGTTGTATCGTATGCATATTGATACCAGGAGGAGTATCCGTATACTCCGTGACACTGTTGCATTTTTTTTTCCCATCGTTCTTCGATGGGATGGTACGAGTACGAGAAGGATGTTTTACCCAAGGCTGGGGCGACCGTTGGAGAGCAAGCCGTACCCTTGGTATAAGGTAATTGGGAATAACGGCTATCAGTACGAAACATTACGTGGCACATGGGGTCCGGGCAATATCTCCCGTACTAAAATAGCATTACAAGTATTTACTCCGTAGACATGTTTTCACTTGCAGGTGTTCTATGCGTGTCTGTGCTGCTTCTCGGCTGTCTTGTGTGTGTGTCTATATATGTCTGTCTGTACCGTACAGATACTAGTGGACTGGTGTGTGTGGGCTGTGGCTTCTGTGTCTACGTGCCTACGAGCGACCGTAAATTATAATAATACTACGAGAGGTCCGGCGGTACTCCATACATGCTGTAGCAGGTGATGATAGTGTGCGGTGCGGTACGTATACATAATTCATGCGTGTGCGACGTCGGTACATCCTGGCTCCGTTCTCAGTCTCGTACTCTCAGTCTCCATCGCACGCACCACTTCCCCTTTCTTCCTCTCCTCCACCGTCAGTGCCACCACCACCACCACCACCGTCATCATCAAACGAGCTGTTGCCCCAGCCGGTGCTTTTCCTGAAACAACAGTCATCAATCCCTCTGTACGGCTAGACTCTATCTGGAGTACTACATATAATTCATTCAGGAAGAAAAAAAAGGACACTAGATAAGGGCTCTTTGCCACTTCCTTTTAGATGTTTCTAGAGGCGAATAGTGCTTTCAGTATCCAGGGAGAGCAATACAGAAATGGATAGCAATACGAGTAAGATGAGAGGCACATGCCTCAGTAGGTAGGTAGCATCAATAGCTCTGTCTCTCCCTTTCCGAGTGCTAGCACTACGAGTAAGAAAAAACCGACGGGCGGTCGCACCTTCCCTCTCCACTCACCTCTTTTTTAGTGTATTATTATTATTGCTTACTTTCCGTGCCGTGTGCCTGTCATTGCCCTTGGATCCATTTATAAGTCACATGGTCCCACATGTCTGTACCGGTGCCTGTATCTCGTACAGGGAGCCACTGGGGAGCCACTGGGGACCGCAGAGGACCGCAGAGGACCGCAGAGGACCACAGACGGCCATGGAGAGCCGTAGAAAGACACAGAGCGGACTGACCTGCCTAGATGGCGTGTGTCAGGCGGATGCCCTGCCACTGCCCACGAGTATCTTTTCACTTGGCAGTAACTTGACAGTAACTTAGGAACCCCCTGGGAAACTCCTGGGATCCATCCTGGGAGCCTCCAGTGTCCGACCTCATTAAGAAATCCCCGCCATCGATGCACCGTCCCCAACCGCCATCGACGCCTTGCGTTGTTTAATGGAGGGCACATCATTTTACCACGATGGAGCATTTACCGGCACCTCCAACCACTCTTCTTATTGGCGCCATCGACTCCAATTTGCTCTACGCCGTATAATTACGCTGTAATACATTCATTATATTGCTGTTCCTGGACGTATCTTGCAACTGCCAATGCATCGCTTCTGTTTCCAACCACCCATCCCGTCACGCCTCACCACCTCTTCAACTCTACGATACGCCCATCCGGTACCAAGGTCTGAAAAGAAGAGGTCCACCCGCTTCCGATACGGTAGGTGCGAGCGCTTATCATGCTCGCACAAGTCTAGGCATTTAACACCGCACCTCAACGCTTGTATGAGTACGCACAGAGAGTACGAGTACTAATGCCCTAGGCACGAAAGCACGATAATGATACGGTGTACCTGTAAATTATCACAGACCGGACCCCCTGCAACTAGACCTCCACAGAATACGACGTGTCACGGTCCGGACGAGAACGAGAACGATACGGAAACCAGAGTACAGATAACAGATTACAGATTACGGAGTACGGAGAAAGGAGCAGTGATAGTCAACCAAGGTCCCAAGGCTAAAGCACACGGGAGCCCTTCTCCCCATCCCATCTCGCCTCACCCATCCACAAGCTACGAGCGTACCAGTACACATATGGACAAGTCCCAGTCAATAATGTCTGCTGGCTCCCACTCCCTTCCCAGAACTTCGACCGCCCCTCTCCGCTGGCCGAGACACAACCGGCATACCACATGAGCGTTATGCCCTTTCGGGTACCGGGCGTCAGAGACGGATGATCTTCATTTTATTACTCCCAGCGCACATATCCTGCTCCTACGAGTCCGCGTATGGCCAGCACGACCCCTCATTCGCAATTGCCATCATTGAGTGCGCGAGTGTGTACGGCGTACGAGCAGACGCCGGCAATGCCTGATAGCGTGACACACTTCCGAGTCTGGCGATGGCAACGATGAGACATGTGCAGTGTGGACTACCGAGACCGGGTATACATTGCCTCGACGATTGAGCAGAATACTCTAAACTTCCCAAGCTTCAGATATTCTCTCCGGCCGGTATTGCGAAACACAACGGCGCCTATCCTCGGTACGACGCATTACCAATCTACCATATGACCCTTCACACCCAATGCGACTACCGAGGGCCGGTGCACTACGATACACGACAAAGCTACGGTACGACGTGTATATTCGTGCTTTTGGGTTGAAAGCGCTCCTTTTGACAAGGACGGGGTACGGTGTACAGGTATCGCTACCCCACAGAGGATGCAATCGTGCGTAATGCTCGTGCATCGCAGTCGTCTCATGTTAGCCGGCAATGGCCGTGATGAGCTTGGAAAGCGGCTATGTGCCACGCGAGATTTCCTACAGCCCGTTCCCTTCCCTATGGCTAATGCATCCGGGTACGTAACATTGGGCGCTGTAACAAAGTTTCAATCTGGTCAAATTCGCCAGCCCATCATCCAACAGCATTCAATCGCAACCTCGAAGTGAAGCGGTGAGGTCAAAGATGGGCTAGGTTGCATATACTCGTGTGCAGGCCGTCTCTGTATGGTCAAAAACAAACTGACTGCTCCGCTCTATTCGCCCTCTCTTTTCATCATTTATCAATCTCCGGACTTCTCCACGCCAAGGAGCGATGCATGTATGTAATATTTCTACGACTATGATATTTGGTCCTTGGATGCATCCCCCGTTGCTCGACAACAAGCGTCTTTTTTCCTTTTTTTTTTTTTTTGCCCGCGATAGCGCGATAGTACTACTTGAATTAATATGGATCCAGATCCTGGATAGTAATGCTCCATATGGTATACCACGTACGCAATCAACACCCACCACCATGCAAGCAAGAGAGATCTGCATCGACTTTCTTCTAGGATATGAACAAGACCCATGGTCTCCAAGCGAAGTGTACTGGGTCCGAAGAGGGTTGGAGGGGTCAAGACTCAACGGTCAACTAGGTCAATCCTCCTCTACCCCTACCTCCCCTATTACCCCCTACCTCCTACCCCCTACCCCCCCCCCCCAACGGCTATTTTCAGCAATACCTCTGAAATCCCACGCAGGTGTGATAGGAGGCTACCTCTTCCACTTTGATTGACGACAGGCTCCACCAAAGGGAAATGGGTATTGACTTAGTCGTGGGTCGTGGACTAAGAGAGATGCTAGCACTACGAAGCAGGCGTGCTCATCCTCATCTGGTACGGGTACTTACGAAGGATCCTATCAGTATTGCGGTTTACGAGTACATGAGCGACCACGCTGCACGCTGGTGGATCATGGTTAGGAGAGCACTGGCATACGTGAGCAATCTTCGCGCATTTTTGCTTGTATAAGTAGGGCCCAATTTTGAATGGACCATGTGCTGACCCCATATCTTTCTCCAGAGGTAGACTCGGTCCTTCTGCGGTGTCTGAAGACAAAGGGATTATGGTATCTCATTGTCATAGGCCAAGACGCTCACTTCGCTGGTGGTAAGAAGAGAGAAAAGGAGTTACAGTATATATTAGTAATAATCCGTCCCCCCCCCCCCCTTGGCGTTGTGTCTCTGTATTGATCACAAGATATTTGAAAACTTCAAAAGCAAATAACGAAATAAAAGAGAGGGGGGGAGAGAAAGACTTACTTAAAACAGATAATTTGTTGACTAATCACGGAACAAAATAGTAGTAGTCATTAAGTCTTATATGTAGAATCCAGAAAGCCTTCTTTTATTCTATCTAATGGAATCAAGATGTGGTGATTCGGATTTCCATTATGCCGTCATCCTTGGCTTGAGCGTTATGAAAGGCGAAAGATGTCTCGAATATTGACAGCAGAACAACTACATGCCAACCTACGAGTATGGGTCCAGTATATATATTAACACTGCTCGTGACGAGTGTGCTGTGCATCTGACTCACTCCGTACAACGCACACGTGATGCGTATACAAATAGGTCTGCAGTTGAAGTCTTTGATAGTTGTTTTTTGAGAGGAAAGAGAAGAAGCTATCTGCAACTTGCATAGGAGATAGGATGACATTCTGTACGGTTTTATAAAAGCTATAAGAGTCTCACTATTGTTGGACCCATATCGAATCAACACGTGTGGTCTTAGGTTATCCGTATGCCGTACATGAATGTATTTCATGGAAGAATTCGTATGCTTGGCGATCCCATCCTCCCATGTCTATCCGGGGTAAATAAGACTCGCACGAGCCATGACTAGAGAATGGGGCAGCCTAATTGCGATGTGCAGCCGTCGCATTGTATTAGCTCTATGGAACAAATTTCCCTGGTCGCACTCGTAAGGAGTGATTGCCGAGCGGCTGAATCCTGAAAAGAAAAAGAAAATCACATAAATTATGGCATTGACGTCGCGTCAAAGGCCATGGTTTGATATCATGACCACTTTCGAGTTGACTTGGCTAGCAATAATTGCATACGAGTAATGTCTCTTGAAGATCAGCAAGTTCCATGTTGTCTTCTACATATCCTTCCGGATATCCTGGACATTCCTATTGAATATTAACAAGAGTTACACCTATATATCGGCAACACTACGTGTACACTGCAGTGTAGTCAGTCTCCAAGATGCCATAGCGACGGCAAGCTTCAAAGTTTTGAGTCAAGGCACATGAATATGGAAATCTGGTAATATTTCTTTCAGTCATAGTATATCGGAGGCTTACGTGATGTTTGCTTCTGATCTGCGATGGAAGCGTCAATAGTTCGATATAGAGATCATAGCAATCAGAGCATCTGTCTTGGCACCACACGCTACCTCCCAACATCGTCCTGGGCCGGATATTAGGATACATCTGTATCTTCTAAGCCTTTCCAGGGTAACCTAGCTGATTTAATCGGAACTGGAGGTGGCCAAATTCTGCAATATAGCGAGTTTCTGGGTGTTGGCAGTTTCGCTTACCCTGTACATGGCCCTTGTTTTTTTAATTCAGGGAACTGGAGTCAGATGCCGCGAGTAAGTGGCATAAAAAATACATGTTAGTTGATTCATATTTTACAATACTTGCAGCTACTATACGTCAAAGCAAAAGATATGTCTGAGGTTCAGGAGAGGCTGAGCTCCTGTGATAGTAGAAGCATGCTCCATGACGTCAGTGAATCTCCGATATCAAGACACGTGGATGTAATACTTGGAAGCATTCCCAACCACCTAAGCCTTTTCATATGTAATGAAAGTCTCAATATGAGTTCGATTGGCTTGTATCTGCAAGTCATTGGATGAATAATGATACAAGATGGAAATACAGGATGACAAAGGTGTCGAGCAGAAGAGGCCATGGAATGACTTGTCGCGACGGGCGCGCCAGGAATGGGAAATCAAACCTTAGGCCTTTGATACCCCTTCCCTTCCTCTCCTCCTCCTCTCCGCCCCCGAACCCTTGAGTTCGTGTGCCTTTCGTCAATCAGTGTATGCCAATGTGTGAGACAGCCTCGGCAATAGATGCCAAGAGTCGACCTGGACACTTTTGTACTACTGCTGACGGCCTGGCGAATGTTGATTATGAAGTTTGGGGCCTGGACCTATGAGATGTGAGGAGAGAGGGACAACCGACATAATATAGACTAGCCTATGATACTCGCAGTAGAACAAATAGCCAAAACATCGAGACATGTAGAGCCAAGAAAAAAAGGCCTCACACGACACGGACTCTCAAATGGAGGATTGCTCGTGCCTGCGTCCAGTTTCTGCATACGTGTATCCGGCAACCACAGCGATGTCAATTCGACAGCGTGGCCCTGCATACTACAAGCAAAAAGACCTCTCCCCCCTCCCCATTGATGCGGAGGCACAACGTATGTATACGTGTATGTGTATGTGTGTATGTGTGTGTGTGTGTGTATGTGTAATGCTGCTTACCGTACATCAAGGGACTCAACAAGACGATGGAATTGACATTACTCACGGTATATACACGCACGTAAATGCACTGGGAGTCATCAGATGTCTGGAAATGTCGGGTTCCTACTGGCTTTGCGAGGGAACTCCGCTTCGACGCCACCAATTGTTATAGGTAATAACATTGGATACTCGTCAAGCCCGTACTCTCTCGTACGTGTGTGTAGTGCAGCCTTGGAACCCTGGGCCTGGGTTATCGTGGCTTCACCGCTCCAGAGTTGGGAGAAAGGAGGCCGGGCTAATGCGGCATTGGACATATTGGCGTTTTCATTAGCTACACGATTGACAATGAGTACGGATAGACAATCTGATTCGTTACCACCGTCTCTCTTTTCTGATTTTTTTTTCTTTTCCTTTTCGGTAAGCGGAAGAGGAGAGAGAACTTTCCCCTCGTATAGCCGTTGTCGGTGACACTAAGATTGTTCTTGTTTGACGAAATCGGAAGAGGAAGGGGAGGGTCCCATTGAGGGGCCGTGAGGGTCCATTGTATTTCAACCCCCTACTTCCCCGTGGACTCGTCATTCTTCCTTTCTTCCCTCTCTTTTTTTTTTCTTCCTTCTTCTTCTTCCCACTCCCTCACCCGAGAAACAAGCAATCACACCTTCCTCATCGACTTCCTGCCAACCGGCTTACCCCCCCTTTTCTTCTTCTCCCCCCCCCCAAGACAGCAACCTCCTTCTGATTTGAAAGCCCCCGCTACCCCGCCATTACCCCAAACCCACCTCATTAGCTATCACAAGCTAAAGATCGAGGCGCCCTTGACCTCGATCACAGAAAGTCGCAAAGACGTTCTCCAACCTCCTTAACTCGTGAGTTCCTCCTCCCGGCACATTATGCATTCATAAAGTAGACGCAGCTGCTGACAGTCTTTCGCAGGGTGCATCACCCGTTCGCCGGAGCCCGTTGTTCTGCCGACAGCGGAGGAGCAACGGACTCGATCCATACTCAGTAAAGGGTCCACAGCTCTCCAAGAGACGAAAAGTAAAAGCCATGGCTCCTCACGCAGATGAGCACACGGGCTCCTCGAACGGGGCGGCGCCTGCCAACAACGGCCACCCGGCCACCGCCGCCCATGATGTTTTCACCGTCAACTCTCCCAACGTCACCTACACCGACGCCGAGATCAAGTCCAGGTACACTTACCGCACCACCAAGGTCGAGACGGGTGCCGATGGCAAGTTTGTTGCCACGCCTACCGAGACCCTGTATGACTTCAAAGTCGACCGCAAGGTGCCCAGGACGGGCATGATGCTGGTCGGCTGGGGTGGTAACAACGGCACCACCGTCACGGCCGGAATCCTCGCCAACCGCGGCAACATGGTTTGGGAGACCAAGGAGGGCCCCCGCGAGGCGAACTACTACGGCTCCATCGTTATGGCGTCGACCATGAAGCTCGGTACCGAGGCCAAGACCAACAAGGACGTCAACATCCCCTTCAACCAAGTCCTCCCCATGGTTCACCCCAACGACCTCGTCATCGGCGGCTGGGACATTAGCAAGATGAACCTGGCCGACGCCCTGGACCGCTCTCAGGTCCTCGAGCCCACCCTCAAGGCCCAGGTCAAGAAGCAGATGGTCAACATGACTCCCCTCCCCTCCATCTACTACCCAGACTTCATCGCCTCCAACCAGGAGGATCGCGCCGACAACGTCATCGAGGGCAGCAAGGCCTCCCTGGCCCACGTTGAGCACATTCGCAAGGACATCCGCAACTTCAAGGAGCAGAATGGCCTCGACAAGGTCATTGTCATGTGGACCGCCAACACGGAGCGCTACGCCGACCTTGTCCCCGGCATCAACGATACGGCCGACAACGTCCTCAAGGCCATCGAGCAGGGAAACGAGGAGATATCCCCCTCCTCCGTCTTCGCCGTCTCCTGTATCCTCGAGAACACGCCCTTCATCAACGGCTCGCCCCAGAACACCTTTGTTCCCGGTGTCATCGAGCTGGCCGAGAAGCACGGCGCATTCATTGGCGGCGACGACTTCAAGTCGGGCCAGACCAAGATGAAGTCGGCCCTCGTCGACTTCCTCATCAACGCAGGCATCAAGCTCACCTCCATCTCCAGCTACAACCACCTGGGTAACAACGACGGCAAGAACCTCAGCTCCCAGAAGCAGTTCCGCTCCAAGGAGATCTCCAAGTCCAACGTTGTCGACGACATGGTCGAGGCCAATTCGGTCCTCTACAAGCCCGGCGAGCACCCGGACCACTGCGTCGTCATCAAGTATATGCCCGCCGTTGCCGACAACAAGCGTGCCCTGGACGAGTACTATGCCGAAATTTTCCTCGGAGGTCACCAGATCATCTCGTAAGTTTATATGTACATTGAGCTATATATACATACGCACACACACACACACGCAAGGCCACATAGGGCTTTATGTGTGGACAGTACTTGAACTTGCAAAAAAAACTTGCCCGCTGACTTTGACGTAACGCACAGCCTCTTCAACATTTGTGAAGACTCCCTCCTGGCCTCCCCCCTCATCATTGACCTCGTCATTCTCGCCGAGATGATGACCCGCATCCAGTGGAAGGCCGCCTCGTCCGATGGCACCGTCACGGCCGAGTACAAGAACTTCCACTCGGTCCTCAGTGTCCTAAGCTACATGCTCAAGGCCCCCCTGACGCCTCCCGGAACTCCCGTCGTCAACGCCCTCGCCAAGCAGCGCTCTTGCCTGAACAACGTTTTCCGCGCTTGCGTCGGTCTCGAGCCCGAGTCTGACATGACACTCGAGCACAAGCTCTTTTAAGTGTTGAATATTCTCCGAAACTCTCAACCTTGGTGCCGGTGTTGAGGCTGTAAGAGGCGCGAGAGAGGGAGGTAGAGGCGTTATTGTCCTCAATCCCACTCTTCTTGTCGATCCTGACCGATGGTGAACCACACCCGTTACTTTCTTCCCCTCCAACTTGAACAACTGTCCCTACCGATGAATTTTTTGAAATATTTTTTTGGTAGACTGGCCTGGCCTCGAGATTGAGAGCCTAGCGCGCAAATGAAAGCCTTTCTACGTCCGCAACTTACATCGTCATCCTCCTTGTAGCCGTGACTGATGCGCACAATTGTGTTTCAAGCGCTCGGTGCATACTTGATAGGGCCATCAAATGAGCTGAGCCTTGTAGATGGAAGCCAAGTCTGTAGAGTATGGACGAGTATTTACCTCAGTTGAAACGGAATACAATGTATAGCTGTTGTGGGCCTGGCTCTAACGGTAAGTAGATGCGAGCACCTTGAGGCAAAGGGAAAAACAAAGCCATTGAGAATCATTTCGTAAACCGATCGATTCTTCCTTGTGCGATTCCTTTATTCTCGTATGTCTCACAGATCAATTCAAGTGGCGGGATTGTAGGTGTTATGTACGATAGTATGCCTGGACCTTGTCTTGTACATGTCAGCCGCAGGGGTCAACGCGCTGTCTACCATTTTGCGGGTGGCGGGTGTCACGCGTCATTAGACAAACCCGCGTCGCGCGTCTCGATCCAAGCCCAAGCTCCACGTCCACTTTACACGTCCCATGTCCTCCTCCTCCACCGTTCTTCACTACACCGTACTGCCTCATTCTTCCCACAACCATTCCGCCATATTACCGTCAAACCTGTTTTTCCTCTCCTTCTATTTGATATTCGGACAACCAGCATAGCAAGGGTTTTGTTTGTGTGTTCCTTAAGCATATACAACTCGCTCATTCCCCCCCCCGTTGCGTGTTCACACGCACACGCGCACACGCACATCACAACCATGGCCTCGACGCGTTCACCATCACCCACGTCAGATGCCGGTTCGTCTGAGCATCTGTCCCCGCGAGCCAAGATTAATGCCCTACTGGCTGGGCTTGACAGCAGCGACGATGAGAACACCGCCAGCAAACCCCACCCCACTACCAAACTCACATCGACAAGGACAGTGCCACCTCGACATGATTCCGACAGCGAGGAGGAGGAATCCGACGTTGAAGTCAGGCCGAGGGGTAGGCTTGCCGCCCGCATGAATGGCGCTGTTCCTTCGAATACCAATGCTGGAGGGTCTAAGCAGGCTCCGCCACAAAAGAACGCCCCTGCTCCTGTTACCACTGCCAACGACGACCAAGAGGAGGATGATGATCTTCCTGTTGCCCCCAGGCGTCTGCAGAGGAAACCTCGAGAGGACTCGGTTCTCGAGAACATGGCATCTAGGGGCTCCAGCCCCGGGCTCTTTGTTTCTTCACCGGTTCGCCCCTCGCCGACAAAACAAGCACCGCCCTCGGATGCAGAGGATGACGACGAAGACATCCTGCCCGCTATGAAATCCGACCGTTTCAAGGCTCTCGTCGAACGCAAGAAGCAGGAGCGTCTCGCTCGTGAGGCCGCCGAGGAGGCCCGTAGGGCAGAGCGCCGAGCTCAGCAGGATAAGCTGTCCTCGGAGATGGACCAGCTGGTCTCGGACGACGGCGGCGACATGTCTGACATAATCGACGACGATGGCGGCAGGATTCTCACGCAGAACGCCAACCGCCGTCCAGAGGCACGAAAGGCGAGCAAGAAAGCCGTCGAGGAGATGAACCGTGAGACGCAGCGCATGGCACGCAGCATGCAGCTCGCCCACGAGGCCAGGACGCGCAAGAAGATCACCAAGAACAGTCTCTTTGAGAGGTTCAACTTCCGGCCCGCCGGCCATCCTATGCCCGAGCCCAAGGCGGCCAGCTCCAGCCTTCCTGGAAGCCCTCCATCCGACGGTGTGGATGCCAACATGAAAAATGCGGACACTCCGCCCAGCTCCCCCCCTGTTGACGACGTTGATCCTGACGACAAGAAGGCCGTTGAACAGGAGCAGGAGCAACAGCAGCCTATCTTCGACAAGGGCAAGGGAAAGGAGGTAGTCGTCCCTGAAAATCTCAGCAAATCGCTCAAGGACAAGACGAAGCGTCGCATCCGCGTCAAGATGCCCCAGCTGTCTGTGAACTACGTCTCTGTGGATTCTGACGACGAGCTCGAAATCACCCGTACGACAAGAGACAAGATCGACGCCATCTTTGCCAGGCTGCCCGCCAAGGACACTGAGACGCACTCGCTCGAGGCCCTACGCACCTTGGCTCAAGTCCGGTCCCCCAGCAAGGAGAAGCGTCGCAAAGACGACCACTCGGGCATGACCATCGGTCAGCTTGAGGTGTACCTGTACCAAAAGGCAAAACAACAGGCCAAGCTGGAGCGCGACCGTCGACTGGACATACTCAAGGCCCAGGGTGTCGTTGTGCAGACGGCTGAGGAGCGCGAGCGTCAGATGCAAGAGGTCGACGACATTGTCGCCAAGGCACGCAGAGAAGCCGAGCATATTATGCAGCAGGAGCGCGCCGCCGCCAAAAAGAACAAGAGCGCCAATGGTGAAGTCGACCCCTTGGCCTGGGATGATAGCGAAGATGATAATTACGAGGACCCGGCAAACGAGGCTGATGGTGAGGCCTCGGGCCTTGAACTCTCAGGATCAGAAGACGAAGAGGGCGAAGCTAAGGATGAGGATGAAGAAGAAGAAGAAGAAGAAGAAGAAGAAGTTGGCCACGAAGATTCTGCCGTGATTGATGTCGCTTTTGAGGATGACGGTGCTTCTGAGGAGAGCGATGCCGAGGACCAGCTTCCCGCAAACGTCAACAAGATGCGGCGTTCAAGGAAACAGGCTGCTGTCCTCTCCGACGACGACGAAGACAGCAACACTGAGGTGCCCAAGATCGAAGCAACACCGAACCCCAAGGTCAGAATGACTCATGTATCTCCCAACATTCAGGGTGCGACCACCCCCAACGCGCACGGCTCCGTCCTCCGCTCAGCAAAGAAGACGTTCATACCTGGTCTCCCTGTCAATGGCCCTGCTGGCCTCGGCCTGACGCAGATGTTCGCTGGGACCATGGATGACAGCCAAATGTCGCCCACCAACCAGGGTGGTTTCGTCCCTACGCAGTCAATGATGCCTGACTTCGACCACTTCCCCAACTCCAACTTCTCTGCCACCATGGACACCACGGCGCCGTTAGACACGCAGGCGGTAGAGACGCAGCCTATGACCCAGAACGGCATCCAGCTCAACCTGGACCCGGCGACACAGGTGCACTGCCTCGACAGCCTCATGAGGGACGATGTGCCGCTCACACAGCTCTCCGAGCTCATCGAGCCCTCTCAGGATGGCGGGTTCCAGGAGCACACGCCTCTGAAAGAACGTTTCATTGACGCCCCGCACTCTACCATCGACACTGTCGTCCTCAGCGGCCAGGGTGAGCCCGCAGAGCAGCAGCAGCAGCAAGATTCGCCACTGGTCCGCAAGGGAAGGCTTCGTCGCAAGATGGAATCTGTCGCTACCAACGACACCGTGGTGGAAAGCTCCCTTCCTCCGCCCCAGTCCCAGTCCCGGCCGGCATTTGGCACTATGCAGGACGCGGCCAAGAAGGAGGAGAAGATGAGGAATAAGCGGGCGGTTACGGAGGAGTTCGACCGCAAAAAGAGCAAGGCCAAGGAGATGGTAGAGGAGCTCGCTGAGGAGTCCGAAGATGAATATCAGGGTCTTGGCGGGTACGATGGCGAAGACAGCGATGACGAGTCGAGTGCGTCAGTCAAGGACATGATTGATGACGCCGTGGGTAACGATCCCGATGAGCGAAAACTGGCAGCCTTTTATGCGTGAGTTTCCCCCCATTTGCATGGAGAGAAAATTTCAATCAATACTGACAGATGATGTTATAGGGACCGTGAACGTGCGAATGATGAGAAGCAAGTGGAGCAGCTCTTCAAGGACATAACTAACGGCATGCTGCGACGCAAGCGCGGCGCCGATTACGACCTTTCGGACTCGGACGATGACGGCGAGGCTCGCAAGAAGCTGAAGCGTCGCCAGTTTGCCAAGATGCAAAAGGCCCTCTTTTCCGACGAGCGTGTCAAGAAGATGGCCGAGAACCCGGGCAACGAGGCCTTCCTGAAGACGATTGAAGATCGAAACAGCGATGACGACATGGACATCCTGGACGTTCAGGAACCATCGCAGTCTCAGTCGGAATCTCAGTCGGCAGACGAGAAGCAGCAGCAGCAGCAGCAGCGAACCGTCCCTGATAGCCAGCCCCGTGCTACTACCTCAGGGTACAACAGCAACAGGCCCCCTGCTCGTCAGCGCAGGACAGCCAACGGCAGGAAGCCCGCCAATATCGGCGAGGTGCGCGAGACGCTATCCGACCTCCTCGAGGATGAGCGCTTCAGCTCAGTCATACCGGCTACAGAGGCCAGTTCCGGCAGTGAAGACGAGGGCGATGACGACGAAGAAGAGTCTGGCTCCCAGCGCAGCAACAAGGAGAACCGTGTTCCCATCCACAACAAAGGCAGCAGCAACCCTCGACGCACAGCCACCGGCGTCGTCGACCGCCTGAGTCTGAAGCGTAAGGCCTCTTCCTCGTCGGTGTCCGGCTCGCGCATGGCCTTCTCGGCCGCCCAGGCCGGCCCCTCATCGTCTTTCAAGGTGCCCGCTCTCCTCCGCCGAGCGACAACCAACTCGCTTATGTCGACCGGGTCATCCGAATCGTCGGCATCTGGCGCGACTAGCAGCAGCAATTTCGCTAGCGCTGCTGGGTTCGGAGACGACGCCAAGGTCAAAAAGGTTGCCACCAAGAAGAGTGGTGTCAATGTGGTCAGAGGCGAGAGTGGTGCTAGGTCTAGGCTGCAGGAGAATGAGAGGAGAAGAGAGGAGAGGAAGGTCAAAGGTGCTGAGAGAAGAGTGGGTGTTGTGGGCGGTTTGCTTGGAAAGGGATCATTTGAGTAGGCGTTTATTTCTTCTTTCTTTTCTGGTTTTTAGGTTTGGCGTTGGGAAAAGGGTCATTACATATATCATTGGGAGTTGGGCAGTCTATATCCAAGCAAAAGCTTACAGGTCATGATGGGATGGATATATTCAATATTCTTTCTCCAAGAGAATCAAGAAGTAACGTTTCTCGAGGTCTAAAAAAAGGCCCATCTAATTGGTAAGTGAGTGATGCTGTCTTGAACATCAGAATTGGATATGGTTGTGTACTCGTATCGTGTGAGGTCAGAGGGCGAGAGTACCACAACATAGATAAATATACTACCGCTAACTTTCAACAATTCAACGACCGGTTCCGTGGTCTAGTTGGTTATGGCATCTCGTTAACAGAGTTTCTAAACACTGTTCATCCGAGAAGGTCCCCGGTTCGATCCCGGGCGGAACCACATTTTTGCTTCTTCACCAAGCTAAACCACCCCTAGTTGCCGCCTCCCCCCCCCCTTTTCTTCTTACACTTGTCCTTTTCTCTCCCCTCATGATATTGTACATTGGAGTGTACGAGCAGCAGTCTGTTGATTTCGTGTCTTGGCTTATAATATGCTATTCCTATGTGAACGACACGCTTACAACGCCCGTCAACCCGGTGTTGTGTCCTTTTTTTCTGGTGGAAACTTAGTGAATTACCTATGTGCAGATGTCAAATGTCGTTACATGTTGGGGGATTTTGTGAGCTGTACCGATACCGAGGACTCGGAGTAAGACATACATGATTTTCATGTATTTGATGAACGATGCATGCCGTTCATGTATGGGAGGAATAAGTCACCATGGCCAATTTGAAGCAACCAACCAACTCTGCAAGATCTGTTTGAGCAGTTGGATAATGATACCTTCCCTATAAGAGCTCGGAGAACAAATTCGGTTGTGATGTCGACATGCAGTTGCCTACTGTATCATGCATGGATCACATTGTATTTACTGGACCCTACGAGCATATTCGTACTTGTGCATGCTGCATGCAGTCTTCTTGACATTGACACTCCCCCCCCTTTCCTATGGCCCGACCCAGTCCGTTTGCTCTACCCTCTCTCTCCCTCGCCTTTTAACCACACTCTCAGCGCCCCAAGTCCAACAATTCACAAGGTTTCGTGGTCTAGTTGGTCATGGCATCTCGTTAACAGTTTCCTTCCTCTCCCTCCTCACAGAGAGTCTGAAAGCTGCTTTCCCGAGAAGGTCCCCGGTTCAATCCCGGGCGAAACCATTGATTTTGCTCCGAGAAAGAAGGGTATTATGTATTTTTTTTATGTGCACATTATTCTATTTTAGATGGTGGATTTGAATTCCAAGGTGGGTAAAGGGGGGGGGGGGTGGGATATTTTGCGAGTAAGATAGGTGTGTTGTTTTGATATTTTGCGAGTAAGATAGGTGTGTTGTTGTATATTGTTACAGTAAACAGAATAAGACCCCTCCTTTTAAAAAACTAATAAAAGAATAATATATGTACAAGTGTGTGTATGCGCCTCCATGCTCTCGTGTATGTCTGTCTATATTGTAGTAGGAATCTTTTTGTGTGTTTTGTTTTCGTTCTGGCCCGTTTATGTCTATGAAGAAGTCGACGGTGGTGCTAGCGAACCGCTTGGAAAGTTGGAACCCTTGAGCCCGAGAATCCTCTTGATCTTGAGCCACATCTCAAAGGCCTCAAGCTTGACCTCGACACGCATGTAGCCCAGCCAGGCGGCAAAGACGCGAACGGCGTTGGGAGGCCAGAAGAGGGATCCAGCAGCACGGATGTTCTCGAGCTGCTCGAGGTAGACGGTGCGCATGCAGTAGCGGGCGAGTATCATAAAGCTGCGGATGGGGCCCTCGCGGGTCTGGAGGTTCTCGTCGAGGCTGCGAGTAAGGTCGTTTGTCTTGAGGATGAGGAGGATGATGCGGGGCACGCGGGCGAGCAGCTGGACGAGGTCGACGATGAGGCCCTCCTGCAGGGATCCACTCATGCTGACCTCCTCCTCGGACGAGCGAGCCTTGAGGATGGAGCCCTCCTTGCTGACGACGCTGAAGTCGCGGCCCGTAATGGCCGACGCGAACAGGGGGAAGTCCTTGTCCTCGATGCCGGCCACTTCGTGGGCGTATGTCTTCATGCGCGCCATGTCACCGTCGATGACGGCCAGCCACATCTTGGCGTAGGACCGGCGCAGGTCGAGCGGTATGTCGCGGTAGAGGCCGTGGTCGTAGAGGATGATGTCGAAGTTGGGCCCACGACCGAAGCGGCGGCGGGACTCGTTCTTGCGGATGGCAATATTGCCGCCGTGCGGGTCGCAGTGCAGCGGGGCGCCGTCGCCAAAGATCATCTCGTTAAAGATGCGGCCCATGGTGGCCGACACCTCGTCACGGTCGATGCCGTTAGCGTCCAGGTACGCCAGGTCGTCAGGCCGTGAGCCCGACTCGCACGCCATGACCAGGATGCGTTTCCTGGCCCACAGCACCTCAGGTATCACCAGCGGCATCTCCGGCATCTTCTCGGCGAAGTGCTCCCTCATCCGGTTGGCGTTTTTGGCCTCCTCGGTGAAGTCGAGCTCCAGCGGAAGCGACTGCTCCATTTCGTACGAGAGCCACTCAAGGTCGTACTCGGGGAACACCTTCTTGAGCGTCGTGAAGGTGTATCGCGTCAGGGCCATGTCCAGCGGCAGGTACGACTCTAGTTCCGGGTGCTGCACCTTGACCGCCACCTGCCGGCCCGTCTCCTTGATGGTCGCTAGGTGCACCTGCGCCAGCGATGCCGCGCCAATAGGCTCTGGGGCGAAATCGGAGAAGTATGCCGATAGGTCCTCCTGCGTGTCCTGCTTGAACATTTTTTCGATCAAGTCAAAAGGCGATACCGGGCACTTGTCCTGCAGGGGGATGAAGGTCGTTGTCCACTCGGGTGGGAGGAGGTAATTCATGGCACTCTGTAATCATGACATTAGCCCCTTGCGCAGCATTTCGTGGTGGTGGTGGTGGTAGTGTACCAAGTGTTGTCCTAGTTTGATGAAGATGCCACCATTCTTCTCCAGGACCTTGAGTGTGCGCTCGGCGCATCGTTTGTGACACGCGCGCAGCAGCTTGTCCTTTTCTTCTTCGTCGTCGATCGCGTCTCTCCGATTTAGTGTCGTGCGGTAGCTAGAGAAGAATGTCGAGAAAAAGGAAAACGATTAGCCAGAGGCCGATGCCGATGTTGTATAGGGATACATCGTCAGCTCACTCGTTGATACAGAGCGCCAGACCGGCAACCACGCGACCGGTGCGCTCAACCGACTCATAGCCATTCTTGATGTCATCGGTGAAGGCTAAGGTGCTTGCGCCGAGAGCAGCGGTACCGGAAGAAGCGTAGACGAGGATGCGACGATTGCGACTGCGACCGTTACTCCCGCTGTCATCTCTGCGATTACTGCTGCCTCGCGATGGGAATGCGGCAGGCTTCGTCGTGGCAAATGCCCTGCTAGTGAGACTGCTGCGTGCCGCCACCGAGCTGCTCGGACAGGCGCAACATGTCCATGTCCGTGTGCTGGCGGCGCGAGTTGCAATACCAGTCAATGAGAAGGCCTTCATCAGAGGATTTGGTGCAGCGTCATCGAGGACGTGGACGGTTGGAGGGGTGAGATGCAAGATAAGGTAATACAGTCTCTTTCTCTCTCCCTCCGGTCACGGGAGTCGGGTACTACCGCAAGACCGGAGAAAATGCTGCCTCCCCAGCGAAAATTATTACGTAATCTAAAAATGGTGCATTATGTACGCTTTTTATACATATGCCTCGCGTCATTAGTCATAACAGGCAATCCCCTTATTAAGTTGGTGTGGGTGGCCTAAAGGCCTTGGAGGAAGGGATTGTAATCTGTACAGAATATTGTTGTGATAGTGATCTGAGGGTGTGGCTGCAGTCACCTTACCAGTGGCGGTAACCCATCAACATATCTCAACCCATTCTTTGACTCATTACCGTTTTTACATATTTCTAACAGCCATCCAACGTAGGACATAGCTCTAGATTCTTGTCAGCATCGCAAGCCAGATAAGAAAGAACAGAATGGCGACGGAGCACGATGCCATAGAGCTCAGCGCCGAGTCCACCTGGAGACTCGGCGACGGAGCACGCCCTATCCTTAGCACTGGTCCTAGTACTGCCAGGTCGCACTCATCGTCGTCGCTCCCACCGTACCGCGCTCTATCGGAGGAGGATGACGGCTTAATAGGCGGGGGGCTCCCCGAACCTGACGTGTGCTTCACATCGGTTCAAGCTTTGATAGACACGATTGATAACTTGCCGCGGGATTCCAATGGCATCGTTGTCGGCCGGGTCACGCCAGGCAGCTTCGACGAGATCCGACGCAGGCGAGATGCCGACAGCAGGGGGTGGAGGCTCTCTTACCTAGCTGACCATTACTTGGCCATAATGACGGTCCCAAGCTTCCCGCACGATAGTCTCCATACGGCACTGAGCCATCGTCTGAATACAAAGATAGAAGGCATGGGGCTCCTCGAGAGCTGGTCGCCAACGGCCTAGACCACCTTCCCGGCCAACCGCAACCCTGGTGCCTCTCAGGGGGAAGGCGACACCGGAGGTCGGCCGTCCGGGCCAGGTGACGGCGATGGCGATAACATGTGGCCGACGATAGTCTTCGAGACTGGCTATTCGCAGACTCTAGAGAGCCTGCGGGCTAAGATGGGGTGGTGGTTCTCCACGTCTAGGAACCAGGTCAAGATCGTCGTGCTAACCAAGGCCTTCCCAACCGACGAGGCCACCAAGCGCATCTTATTTGAGCAGTGGCGCGTGGAGTCGGCCCGGCCACCACGCCCCGGTGCAACGACTACGCGGCTGTTCAATGCAACGTCCGGCACCGCTCTACAGCCAATTCGCACCCAACTGATCAATGTAGTCTGGGCCCTCCCGGGCGTACTCTTCAGCGACGCGACCGACGCGCAGAAACGAAGCCTGGATTCGTATAGTGTGACCAGGGGTCCATTGTCGCTAAGCTTTACCTTCCTCTTCCTCCGGCCCCCCGACCTCCCTGTTGCAGGGGACATCATCATCCCGGACCGGGACCTTCAGCTATGCGCAAGGCGAGTGTGGGTGGGGTGAAGGAGCACGATCCGGCCATAAAAAGCTCTAATCTTATGCTCGTACTTCCTTATTATCAAGGGAGCATTCACAGACTCTAGCCTATTGCTTAATCAGTACTCTAAGCTACCTTGACAGTACTACGTTTCCAAAGACATATATGGACGGATGAGGAAAGTGAAGTCTCGCACAGAAGGACAGGCAAGTAATGAGACTTCGCAGTCAAGGGACAATCAGGACATGGGAAAAGGATTTAAAGGTAGGGGCTGTATGGCATGGTCACTCATCTCTGCCTCCTCTCTTTCCTCTATGACTTCTCTGCCTCTTCATACATAGAGACCTCAGACTTCTTCTGAGGCCGGCTTCTGACTTGTAACATTGAGGATTCCTTATGATTTCTTCTTGTGAGCCTCGTCGAGCGGCATTTGCCCCCAATAATGACGGCTTGAACGTCGTTATTGGCGGGAATCAAACCCCTATCCCCTATGCGTTCCACTCAGTATTGACCACACTGGGCATCACGGTATCCGTTAGAATGTGGATGCCGTTGCAAGGCGCCACCAAAGATTCAGAGACGGATGTTGATTGATTGATAGCAATCGTCAGACATTTCACTCTCTGATGATTACATAAAAAATCTTGTGTGTGAGTGTGTGCGTGGCGGAAGAGGTGGCGGGATATTCCTGTATAGGTACTCTGACAATAGACAGGCCTCGTGACATCACAGTAATAATGAGGTGAGTGAGTCTAAGTCCACTGAATAGCAAAAGTGGCAGGATCATAGACTTCTAGCGAACATGATTCTCTCCCCTCACCCTTGCCTCTTTTGATCTTCTTACTCTTCTTACCCCGACACCACACTGTCGCCCCCAATATCGATGCCCTGAAGCTGTTTTCCACCATGCCACCGAGGCGCAAGCAGATTGAGGTTTCCACCACAGCAGACATCATTGTCTCCTACGTCGGCAAAAAGTCAATCCTTTGGGAGCCTGCCGAAACAGATAGTAGGCAAAGTGCCGAGAAACCAACCACTGATCCCACCAACCAAGAAGAGCAGAAAAGGGCCTATGGCGCCTTCGTCAGGAGCGAGATCGAAAGGCTGTCCAGCCCCGCCGCCGGAAAGCCTGCTAGCAATAAACTTTGTGGACGGATCCAACAGAGAAGGGACCTTGTTGCTCTCCTGGCGGTGGTTTTTGACCCAACGTCAGACGTCAACCGTGTGCTCGGTATACCTAGAGATGGATTCTCTAGAGAAGAGGAGCTCAAGTTGTCGGTCCACACTAGCTGCTCCCGACTGGGTAGCATCATATCAGCCTGGGACATGAGTGCAGGCGGCGCTGCTCGTGATGGTACGAGAGAGGAGAACAAAGGAGAGGGCAGCGACCTTGAGGATGACGAGCAAGAGGAACAGCAGGACGCGCCTAAGACGCTTACTTCCAAGTCATCGAAGAACAAGTTGACTCGCGGCAAAAGCAGAAGGAAAATGACCGGTAAATCTACCGAGGCGAACCGCAGTCCAGCGGACCTTAGCGCGCAGCGCCATGTTCCAACATGGTACGGCAGTCGTTGTGTGCTTTCCGGCCTCATCAAACCGGAGGGTGCACACATTGTCCCAGCGAGGACTGTTCGTGATACTGATATGGATGTTATCTGGGTGCTTTTGAAAACATTCTGGCCCCTTCCACAGCTGGAGGGCCTGGGGGTACAGGGCTGTGAAGTCACAAATGTCCTTCCTCTGTGCCCAGATGCTCATACGCTGTGGGACCGATTCTATTTCGCTCTTCGCCCGATCGAGCATCCTTCGAACTCAAAACACAGACTTTACCTGTAGATGGTGTGGCTCCGGAACCTGGACATCGAGGGAGGTTTAGAAGCCGGGTCCTGGGATCACCGTGCCCTCGGAAGCATCGCTGACTTTCGCCGAGGTAGTATAAGTGAGTCTCAGTACCCAGTAGTCCATCACGGAGATGTTTACCTCCTGACAACAATCGACTGCGAAACCCACCCCCTGCCAAGCCTCCGCCTTTTGCCTATTCAATATGCAGCGCACAAGATCACGGCCGGCATACGGGCTGCTGGCGCTCTCCGAGTCATCTTTAGCGATATCCCTCCAGACGACCCTGGGCCAGCCGGCTACGACGTCGATGTGCCGGACGAGTGGCAGTCATTGATCGAGGCATCTGTGGACGCTGGTGTGCTGGGACGACACGGAAGAATGGCTTTGGGGCCGTGCTTTCACCCACCATAATATTGAAGAGTGCCTAGAAGCTGGCATTGAACTACCGGTCCTCGAAGACGACGAATAGAAGCCGTCATCCTCTGACCTAAAAGATGATGCTTCCCTAGAGAAAGTCACTCATGTAGACTCGGCACAGGGAAAGGGCAGTAAGAGGGAGAACCATGAGGAGGAGGCGAAGAGTGCTACGATGGACAAGTTGAGGAAGATTGCCGATCGACTTTCCATCTCCCGTGCAAGGAAAAAAAAAGACATGATATTGGCAGGGGTTACATGAATACATGTAACCTCACACGATGTATTGTATATTCTCCATCCACCACCCATCTTATGCGCTGTCTATCTTCAAGCTGCCACTAAGCGTCGATGCGCGCTGTATCGATTCTTCTCAGTGGAATCACCAAGCCGGCCATGATGGATACGCCGGTAACGGCACAGATCAGCAGAAATGCACTCTGAATACCGTCCGAGTAAGCATCGAGAACGCCCATGAGCTCGTCAGACTCAAAGACCTTGCGTAGGTCTCCAGCGCCGATAGCCAATAACTGCTCTGGGTTCACTGTAGGAGCCATCTTGGGTAGATTGATCAAGACGCGGTTGAGAAAAATCGCCTGCGTAGCCGACACCCATATCGCGCCACCGAGAGTCTGGAACTCCATCAACATTGCCGTGGCGGCTGGCAAATCGGCCGGCTTGACACTGGCTTGAGCAGCCATTAGGGGTACTTGGAAGCCAAAACCAAGGCCGACGCCTGCGACAATCTGAACCCCCACCCACACTCCCGTCGTGGTGTTGATGTCAAACAGATAGCAGAGGCCGCAGCCAAGAGTTCCGATAGCCGACCCGACGACCATGGTGAGCGTGGCCAAACCTGTGTTGGTGACAATGACGCCGGAGACCAGGACGGCGGCCATAGCTGGAATGATGAAAGCCAAGTTGTGGGCACCAGCGAGCACAGCAGAGTCGCCGAGGATGGCCTGGAAGTATAGGGGGAGATAGTAGACCATGGAAAACAGAGCGCCGCCCTGGAAGCAGATGTACACCATCGACATGCCGACGAAGCGGTTCCCGAATAGCCTGGGGACCACCGTTGCCCTCTCATCTTGCCACCACTCGACAAGTCCGAACAGAGTGCAGGCCACGAAGCAGACTACGAGAAGCGCTATGACAGTTCCCGAGTTCCAGGGCCGGGTCACGCCACCCATCTGCACAGCAAGGAGGTAGGTGACGATCCCCCCCAGCAGGAAAATCGAACCGATAGGGTCAAGACGGAGCAGTCTCTCCCGCAAGGGTGTCTTTTGAGGTTTAGCGATTGACGGGAGGCGCAGAAAAAATATGATGCCCAGTACAGGTGGGACGCCAATGGGAAGGTTGATATAGAAACACCTGGAAGTCTCATGTTAGCTTGTTATCAGCAGGACTGGATGTGGGAATCATATGTATCTACCATCGCCACGTGAGACTGGTGGAAAATGCTCCGCCGACGAGAGGGCCCAGGACACTTCCGATACCAAAGATGGCTCCGAGAAAGGCGGTATGATTCGCCCTCCTCTTAGGCTCTGAGATGTAGGCAACGATGGTATAAGAGCCTGAGCCGACGCCGGAGGAACCAAACCCGGCAATGACGCGGCCGGCGATGAAGGCCGGCGACGAGGGCGCAACAGCACAGATCAGGCTGCCGACTTCGAAAATGAAAACGGCTGTGAAGAAGCTCATTTTTAAGGGGAAGCTCTGATAGATCTTGCCCCATGTCGACTGGAAGCCGCCTGCTGTGAGGAAGAAGGCAGAAGCGTACCAGGCCTGATCGGTGATGCTGTTAAACTCGTTGGTGATGGCTGGAACAGCTGTTGCAACAATCGTCTGCGCAAGTCAGTCATCGACCAAGAGCCCAGAGAGATAGAGATAGTGGGATACGGAACAAAGCAGAACGAAAGGAAGAGCCCATACCAGGTCCATGGCAATCAAGAAGATGCTCAGCATGAGCGAAACCATGCTGACCCACAGTGCGAAACCTGTAAGGTATTCCGGTCTTCCAGCAAGAGTCTCATCTTGTCGCTCTGCCGGCAGCCCTGGGCCATCATCGTCGTGAAGCTGCAGCTCAGACATGGAAACGCCAGGGGACCGGCGGGAGCTGGCGGTCGAGTTGGTGAGGTGGCGCGCAGCATTGACTTCATCCCAATTGTTCGCCATGCTGGATGTGCAAGGCGTCAAACACGCTGTACAGGAATGGCGCAGACAGTTCCTCACACCCAGGTAGCTTCCGTGTAGTCAGTAGAGGTTGCGATGAAGACCAGAGAATGTTATGGTGTAGAACAAAGTCTCCCATGGTATATGATGAGCAAGCCGTGACTGTGCTGTTGTGTGGTTATCGCGCTTGACGATAAAGGATAGTAATACCCTGCTGCTCCTCGAACTCCATAATGCTCTGAGGCTCGCATTCGGATATCAGCAGATGAGCGAAGCAAAGGGGAGGGGGATTTCAAGGACCTCCACGGCACGGGAACAAACGCAATCCCACCCAGCATCATGGACAAAAGGGAGACCGCACGATGGTGAGCGCTCGGACATGGCTAAAATCGACTTTGAGAAGCCAGAATGTCCGTCCATTCTGAAATGCACGCGGCACCCGGGCAGATGAAATCACCCGACGGGATGACTGTCCTCCCGCAAGACGTCTCACCCACACCCTGCGGGATGCTGCGTATGCGATGTACCGGTACCCAGTAATCCGGATAAGCGGCCATCCTAGGATGACGAGATGACATGTATGTATCGTATGGTGGCCGCTTGCTCACCCCCTTGTCTTGGAAAGACCGAAGACGCGATTCAAGCATGAAAGGCGGCCTAGCCAGATGGGGAGCGGCCCGTTGGTCCAGCACTCTGTAGACCGCAATACAGCACGGAGATCCGTTTTCTTTGAACTTGATTGCTCAAATTGATGGCCGATGCAGGTGGTCATCAGTTGCTCAACGTTGGTCAGATACATGAAGAATTGAGATGGAATACGGCGTTTGCGCCCAAGCTAATCTGCAATACATATTACGAGGTACATATACATGTAGGAGATACCCCCCAGCCAGGAAAGCCCAGTCTATCCTCCGTGGCATTGCCGTATCTGCCGGCCCGTCCGAAAGCTGGGATTTCCCATCCCGGCTATACTTTGTCGTATGCGGGGTCGATCAGAGTGCATTCCTAGTGCCGCTGGGATCTAGGGGCACAGGGAAGGCCGACATCGTGCATGCCGCATAAGCCAGGTATAGGTACATGTATGCATATATGCGGATTTGTGGCACCGGCTGGCGGCCGCCCAAGTACACGTAATCCGAAGGGAACTCTCTACGTCGGACATGGTCGAGGTGGAAAAATCCACCTCCTTTATTGGGATTGATTGCAGCTAGCGACCTGGCACTGCTGAGGCATCCTTCTCTGAATCTGTACAAGGCGGCCCGATCCCGTTTGGGCCGGAAGCCGGCTCCGGGCGCACGTCCAGTGTTAGCCAGCACCATCCGTCCCGGTGTGGGGCGCCGATGCAAGATGCTGATGGTGATGCCGGTGGGGTATTGCTGGCCGATACGCCGTGTAAGTGTCTATATCGTCAGTCCAACGAAGGAAGTATTTATGCCATGGGTGCGTGCCACGCGGTTGATATATGTCGACGGGACACATCTCTGAGCGCCTCCATCGACCTTGACCCTCCTTTTCAATTGCAAAAAGAAACAGAGGAAGAAGAAACACCCCCAAACCTCCCATATCATCGTCTCATAACCAAGATACAGCCATGGGTAGCGTACCGCAGAAGCAGCCCACCGAGGCCGAGCTGCTCGCCACCAGTGCCGGCTATGTCCAGACCTTCCCTGCGCCTGGTCTTCGCCGAACTGTCCGCCACATCACCGGCCACAACGACAAGGGCGAGGGCATCTTCATGACCACCGACTGCGGCGAGCACCACCGTATCATTGGAAACGAGCAGGCGCTTGCCAACATCATCTACTCCACCAAGGAGACCCCTGTTGATATGGCTGGTGATGCCGACCTGAAGTATGCCAAGGAGAACGAGGTAAGGTGACATACTTGGCAAAAAAAACAAAAAAAAAAAAAACAAACCAAACTCCGTGCACAGTCTTCTATTTCATGTCATGGGCCATTTTCTGACGTCTACTGTCCTCTTCAGCCTGGACTGCACATCCACAATGGCTCGGTCGTGCGTATGATGGACTTTGCTCCCGACGTGCTCTCGCCGATGCACCGTGCTGTCTCACTCGACTATGGCATCGTGATCGAGGGAGAGTTCAAGCTGATCCTTGATTCTGGTGAGACCAGGATCATGCGACAGGGTGATGTCAGCGTGAACCGTGCTTCTGCTCACCAGTGGCACAACATTACCGGCAATGGCACCCTGCCCGGCCGGATGATGTGGGTTCTCCTCGACTGCAAGCCGCTGACCATCGCCGGCAAGGAGCTGGGAGAGGAGCTCAACGAGCTCGCTCCTTACTATGTTCAGAAGTAGATGGATGAGTTATGAACCATGGCTTGGAGGACAATCAGCACCTTTGTATAGCTTGATCAGATACTGGAATCAATGAGCAAACGAGAGCACGTATATGCTCCATTATCCCCCATGCACTATGATTATGATGTAGAACCGTAGCATGAGTTCCCCAGAGAAAAAAAACAAAAGATGTAATAATGATTATAAATTCCTATAAGCTCACCTTTGATTGCGCCTTACCAATACCAGACTTAAGGTAGTGTTAGATGCGGCATTATCGTACACAGTCACCTTTATATATATCGGCAAACGTCATATCATGTGGTAGTCAGGCGATGAAGGGTTTCGGTATCATCGTTGAAGCCGAGAACATCGTCCCTGATACCGGAGACAGCATTGATTGATGACAAAGTACGCCAGCCGAGTACGTCAGTTTCCCATGTATGACCATCGATTTAGGTAATGTGTAAGAACACTCCCGTACAGAAAAGTCTCTAGCGCTCCAGTAACTCTCCTCATCAGCTTCCGCCTATGCTCAAGAGCAAGAAAATCCTGTGTGGTCCAATGTAGTCTACACCTTCTTCTTGAGATTTGAAGAATACGCCACCCTGACTCTGTCCAAGCCGAAATCCCTGTAGAAGAAGAAATCCTAACGAACGCTGGTTAGCATCATCTCCCTCAATGTTACCAATCTCAACGTAATCAAACTACACTCCCCAGAAACGTACAAAGATAGTCCTCGGGAAGAACATGTCTAGGAATCGTATGATGCCGGTAGCGCTGCCAGTCCAAAACCAAGGGGCTGGAGACCTTTTCAGGCTCTGCGATACGACATTGGACGCGTACTCGAACCGGCTAGTTGCGTCTGTATGTTTTTTTTTTTAAGTAAATATTCGGAATCACCGCTGAGACTGTTGCGGACCATTGACTTACTTATCACCGTTCGTCGAACGTGGGACTCAAAATCGGCTGCTAGAGGCGAGTAATACGACCCTGCATGCTCTGTAAGCAAGATGGCCATAAGCGTATTAGGCAGAGGTACTGCTTGCCTTCTGGGAGCTTTCGGTGGGCATCATTTTTCAAAATATTGGTCCCGACCTCTCCGGATATTACCTGAGATGAGCAATTAGGTCAGAGCTGAGCGAACAGATACATGACGATCCTGGACGGGCACTGGATCACTTACACAGATGACCCTCACTCTGTTTGAAATATCCTGTAAGTAAAGTGTCCCTATACGGCGTAGGAGAGAGGGAATCTTACTTGAAGGGAGACATCTCCAGACGCAACGTGTTGGAATAATGGTGAAGTGCGGCTTTGGAAGCATTGTATGACGCTTGGGGCATGTCAGCGCGCAGTTCGAGGCTGGCCAGAGTTCCTCACTTCATCTGAATGATACATGTAGCTTACCTCCATAGACGTATGGCACAACGCCGCCAATAGAACCAATATTGATTATGGCACCAGAGGCCTTGATGAGCATGCCATGGAAATAGTGAACCATTTGCATCGGACCGAACAAGTTCACTTCGAACATGCGTCTCACAGACTTGACGTCGGTGTCGGTGGCAGGCATTGTATAGCCTAGAGTTGAACACACACACACACACACACACACACGAAATCCTCAGCAGACGAACCAGAATCGACCAAGTCTATCAACCGTGACTTACATATTCCGCTGAGTGAGAATCAGCATCCCGCTCAAAAGACTTATGATAGAGTTCAAGTTGGTAGCAAACTTACGCGCAATTCACCAGGATGTCCAGGAAACCGTCGGTGAGAGCCTGGATCTTCTCCTTCAATCCCACGACTGAACTCTCGACTGTCACATCCAAAGGAAACCAGGTGATTCCAGCCGCAGTCAGATGATCACTGTTTTCGTTCGGGAGTACCGTGGCGATGGCATGAACACCCTTCTTGAGGTATTCCTTGACGAGGGCTTCGCCGATGCCACCCTCCCCACACCTAGAAGCCATTGGGATCTTAGCATTAAATGAAACCTCCCTCAGGGATACAGTACCAGGCTGAAAGCGTACCCGGTGACGAGCGCAAATTTCTTCCTTTGATCCATCGAAGAAGAATATTCAATCAAGCAGATTGTAAAAGGAGATGGCCTAGGTGCTGTGGGCAAGCTGAAACAGACGGAAGACTGAATTATCTCCCTGCCTTTCTACCAAAGACATGCTATTAAATCAGCAGCATCTGTGCAGTGTGCATCCGGTCAGAGTTACATGTACGGACACGTGCGTGTAAGTCTGCCAAACCCCCGAGTACATTTCTTGACCGTCAGCACTAAACCACTTCCTCTGCGGACCGAACGGTGTCTTGAGCACTGAGGGTCGGACTCGATTGGATAACACCCGTCTCCACAGGCCCGTGTAGGGACGTTGGGGCCTTGCCGGTATGAGGAATAATTGAATTGATGGAGGTGAAATCGGGGACTTGGACGGGGACCTTGTCTGGACAGAATGTGACGTGAGATTAGCCGCCGAGAAGGCACATATTGATTACCCCAGAGAGAGGGAGGATCTCGGTTGGTAAGCCTCCAGTACGCTCCTATTGCAGTCTGTATCCCGATGTTAGCCCATGCTACTTATAGTATCCATGTCTGGTTGGCAATCGACACCAGATACTTCACTCAATAGAGTGTTCGACCGTGTGTCAGGCTGTTAACCGTATCCTGTGGATATCTGGATCCTGCCACTCTTTCTCCTTCCATTTCACCTCAAGTCATGGATGTCGCGAGTTTTCCGCGGCCCTGGGTCGTCCTTGGCGTCACCGGATTCTTGATGCTGCTCTGGCGGCTCAGCCGAATTGGCCGACGGCCTCCCAACTTCCCCCCCGGGCCTCCGACCTTGCCATTGATAGGGAATCTACACCAGATGCCCAGTCAGAATTCTCACCTGCAGTTCCAGAAGTGGGCGGAAATCTACGGGCCAGTATACTCACTTATGCTTGGGACAAAGGTGGCCATCGTCTTGTCGTCTGACACGGCTGTGAAAGACTTGTTGGATAAGCGGAGTGCTATATACTCAGGAAGGCCAGACATGTATATGTCACAGAATATCATGAGCGGAAGCCTCCGACCCCTGTTCATGGTATGTACGCTCCCTTCCTGCTGCGATTCCTTAGACAGCGACTGACAAGGCCTCTAGGGGAGCAGTGATGCTCAGCGTAAGGCGAGGAAGCTTGCTCACGGGATCCTGAACCTGACTGTCTCTCGAAGCTACGTTCCATACCAAGACCTCGAGGCAAAGGCCATGTTGGTGGGCTTGCTCGACTCCCCCGACGACTTTATCAATCATATTCGCCGTTATACCACTTCCCTGACTACGCAAATGACATTTGGGTATCGGACCCCGACTAGCGACGATCCGAAACTGTTGGAAATGTTTCACGTGAGAAGGTTCCAGGTCCGAAATCTGGCACAACTCATGCTGACAATACCCTCAGAATTTTGAAGAGCTGGCCAAGATATCTAGCGAAAAGGTGTGTGCGCCTTGATCTGAGTGCGTGCCTCGGTCCTGATACTGATCATGATGTGCATATTGTGCAGACTGCCGCAATATTAGACTTCTACCCGATCCTGAGAGGCCTCCCGGATGCCTTCCTCCCGGTGGTGAAGCGAGGCAAGGCCTACCACAAGAGAGAGAAGGAACTGTTCATGGGGCATCTCTCAAATGCTCGTCGACAGCTCCAGAGCGGCACGGCAAAGGTCAGTTCGAGAGCCAGAGGTGCATCTATCAAACAACATGTGCTCATAAGCTGATATCCACCAAAGCCATGCTGTTGCATTGATCTTCTCCGTGCACAGAAGGAATACGGCTTTTCGGACGAGACTACCTGCTACCTGAGCGGTTCGCTACTGCAAGCCGGTTCCGAAACAACGGCGGCGGTTCTCATCGGATTCTTTCAAGCTATGCTAGTCTTCCCCGACGTTGCTGTGAAGGCCCAAGCCGAGGTGGATCGCGTCTGTGGAGACCGCATACCAGATCTCAACGATGTCCCTGACCTGCCCTATATCCGTGGCTGCATGAAGGAAAGCCTGCGATGGATGCCGGCCACCGCCTTGGGAGTACCGCATGCGCTGACGGAGGATGATTCATATCTCGGATATCATCTGCCGAAGGCTGCGGGTGTGATACTCAACGTCTGGTACGCAATCTCGCCTACGCCCCCCGCCTGGAGAGAGAGAGAGAGAGAGAGAGAGACCAAACCTCAACGACGGCGCTGACACTCGTTTTAACACAGGGGTATCCAGAACGACCCCCAGAGACATTCGGATCCTCGAAAATATGATCCGTCTCGATGGGAAGACGATCATCAGAACTCTGCTCAAGCGGCCGTCAACCCAGTGGTCTCCAAGCGCGATCACTTCGTTTTCGGTGCTGGAAGAAGACTTTGCCAAGGCATGCATATTGCTGACCGGTCTCTCTTCTTGGTCATGGCTCGCACACTGTGGGCATTCGACCTGAAACGGAAGGTGGACTCCCAAACGGGTCGAGAACTCATGCCCGATATCGAGAATCTCGAGGATGGCATGTTTCTATGTCCGAAACCCTTTTCAGCTGATATACGGCCCAGAAGCCAAGAGCGAGCCATGGCGGTCAGGGAGGAATGGGGCAAAGTGCTGGGGTTGCTCGACGACACGATGCAGTGGAAGACGGTCCCCGAAGGTCTCAAATGGAAGGATTACGAGCCAGACGATGAGCCTATAGATAAAGTCGAGCCAAAGATGTAAGGATTCAATCATGTAGATACGTGGGATGGGATGAGACCCAGTACATTCGGCAACTTGGAGAATCAAACCCGTACCACCTCGGATAAGATGCCCGGAAACGAAGTGTGGTTCTCCTATCTTCTCCAGAGAATCAAGTGATGAATATGATTATATAGATGAACGACTCAATTCTTCTTTTCAAAAAGCTCCGTGGAAAAAGTACTTGTAGGGAGGTCATCGGCAATGATCTACGACAAGGACGCATAGTTAGACCGATCTTGACCCTAAAGGGGCATGCACCTCATAATGAATCGATGCACAGACAATGAAGATCACGAAAAGCATAGGAAACGTTGAGCGAATAAGAAAGTGAAAAAATTAAAGAGGATTATAGTAGTGACTGGACTACTAGAAGTCCCACCGCAATAGCTAGTTATTACATGAACTTCAAGAAGACCAAGCTTATACAAGTAGTTGTCAAACTTCCTCCTCTGTGTCTCCTTCCAAATATCAAAACCTGTAGATCTCCGAAAAGAAAAAAAGAAAAAAACAGCTAGCCGTCTCACGGATAGGACGACGGAATGGGATGGGGAAAAGAAAAGAGGTTGTGAGGGTCGTACTTCTTCTTCAACTCGATCAGACGAGGTAGCTTATCAGCTCCATAAATGTTCTCAGGCGCCTCATCTCCACGAGCATAGTTGAGGAAGACGACCTGATCAGAATAACCACTGGTCTCGGCGAATTTGTCGCGGATTTTGGGACCAAGCGTGTTGGCTGCATCCTGCGTGGCTGTATCTCCGGCCTCATAGGAGAATTGCACCTGGCTGTTTCGCGACGAACGAGTTAGAAATCACTAATCACGGGGGCGACCTTTCAAACTTACAAGAAGCCCCACGTATCCCTCCACGGCCAGCAAGTCTCGTCTTCGGAGACTGCGGCTGTTGCTGCGTTCGAGAAGAGCTCGAGCAAGATCTGACTGTCTCTGCCGCCAGGGACTTGCTCGAAGAAATCCTCAATCATTTCGAAACCGGCTTGCCATGTATCGGCATTCCAAGCCTTCTGATTAAGGCTGAAGTTGTTGCGAGGCTTGTTCGGCTGGCAGTTGAGCGGGTCATACCCTCCTCCGCTTATAGCGGTAATCTTGTTCCACGGAAGCACAGCCGTAGAAAAGGATGCATCGAGTTCGAGAATGGGAGCCAGTGCCTTGCGGCCCTCCTCCTCCGTACCGTAGAATATCCAGTCAGAAGCGACCTCAGTCTGTCGAGAGGTATGGGTGTCAGTCCCGAGTAAGATGGCTAGAAAAGCACGAGGCAAGACTTACGGCGTTCGAGGTGGCGTTCCATTTCAACACCACAACGCCGGCCAGGTTGGTGGGCATGGGGCTGTAGTTCTGCTGAATTATGTCAAAATACTCTTGACTCTTCTCTGCCGGCAGGTGAAAGTCCACCATCCAGACGTTTCCATCGTTGTTGCTAGCCAAGGTCTGCACATTGAAGGTCGCCGAGGTTACGACGCCGAAATTGGCGCCTGCACCACGAACCGCCCAGAACAGGTCTGGGTATGAGGTGGCCGAAACTGTTTTGGCAATCCCATCGGCTCCGACAAGACGCACAGATTCCAGCGCATCAATGGTGAGACCGAGCTCGCCCTGCGTCGTAACTTGGTCAGAGGAAAGATACAGCAGCATCGTCTTGTGTCGGAGGTAAACCTACCATGAGACGGCCAACACCACCGCCGAGCGCAACGCCGATGACGGAGGGGCACGAGCAGCTGCCGGTCTCTGGTCGTTGCATTCAGTAAACGTCAGCCATCCAGATGGCATCCGGTGACCGAGGGGAAGTGCAGACACTTACGCATGTAAAACCCGGCGTCGTACAGGGGATCGAAAATATCGTCGTAGATGGCGCCGGGGCCAACAGTCAACGTTTGAGCGGCAGAGTCAACCTCTACAGAGTTCCACTGGCTCAGGTCTAGAGATATTCCACCCTGGAAGTTGCCGAGGCTCTCAGCGTATCCGTGTCCAGAGCCCCGGCTCAAGAACGGGATCCCCGAATTGTTGGCAAGCTTGATCTAGAAGCATACATATTAGAGTTTGATCTCAACATGATGGCTGATTGGCGCGCGGCACGTACTACTTGGACGATGTCGCTCTCGGTTCCTGGCCTAATAGCAGCTTCGTATGTGGGTGGACTGAAGATGGACCACCTTTCGGTTGCGTTGGCAAAGGCAGGCGAGCTGGGGAAGGACAAGATAGTTCCGGCAGACCAATCGCGGCTTGGGTCAGTCAGAATGGACCTGATGTCGGTCGAGCTACGTTCCAGAGGCGTAGGGACAGCTGCAACAGGTCTCGAGAAGAGAGAAAGAGGGAGTAGTGCTACCGCCGAAGCGACGATCTTTGCCCTGAACATATCTGCGGATGGCATTGCCTAAGTCCGTGGAGGGTGGATGGTAAGGTAACAGTCACGCCGGAAAGACACAGGTGCAGAGTATCACTGCATATGCATATGTACGTGGACCTGGAACTTGGCAGAAAAGAGAGGTGAAGGCTATAGATGCAGATTTGTATTCTTGGTTTTCTATCTTTCTACACAGGCGAAATCAGGACAGACCAAGATGCCTCGTGGCTTCTCAGGAGAAAAGGAAAAGCCCAGTTCTGCCTCATCACAGAGACGGCGTGATCCTTCACGGAGGGCCTAACGGCTCTGATTGGACCCAGGCAGGAGTAAGACATTACGAGAGAGCCGTATATCCGTGCGGCCTTGCAAGAAATCGCTTCCCTCCCCGGCGTGAGATGGCATCTGTGGTGATCAGTGAAGGATCCAGCAAGGCTGAGAGCCGGCCGTGAGCACCACAGCGCACTGCTCGTGTGAGAAAGTCGGGCCGGGGATGACGGTCGGGATTTTCTGTTCATACAAGCCTGTCGATATGTGCCCTCCTTAGTCCCTACCCAGCCCGTAAGCCGCAGATGCAAAGTGGGCGTAGGTGTATGCATCCAGGGGTTGCGTAAGCGAGCGGCCAAGCGCGTGGACATTGAAGTCGGGCCGGTGTGCCGATATGGAATTGATTTTCTCCTATATACCCGTCACGATATGTCGGTCATTCTCGCCTTCTTCTAAGCCCGTCATCCGCAGTCGTAAATTGCATCTACGGATCTTGTAAGTGAACGGCCCGGATGCCGGCTCGTTCCAAAGAGGGAAATATTCAAAGTGTCAGTCGCCGCTACGGGTACCTACCTGCATGTACATCCATGTTAGTCTTTACACGCCCTCCAGGCGCACACCCCACCGGCTTCTTCTCCCAACAGCCTGTTGACAACATGCACGCCCCAGCGTCGGCTTAATGAGCCCGACCGGGGGCATAGACGCGGCTGTTGACATGCCGGGGTCACCTTGGAGTTAACTGCTGCAAAACTCTGACGGCTGACATGTACAGGTAGGGAGAGTTGACCTCAATCATTGAGTTGTAGACAGAGACATCTCTCAACTACGCGCCTACTTCTATTTACTGGTGTGAACAAACACAACGCCCTACGTATCAGACTGTAGATGCAGGTACTCGTAGTCGCTATTACATGGGAAAACGAAGGTAATAAATACATGTAGCTAGAAGAAACATTGACAATTGAGGGGTATTCTGTGACTCGTGGAATGAAAGGCGGCTGACCCGCGGAGGGTTATTCCTCCGGAAGCAGGCCGTGAGATCTGACACGTTGCAGCTATCAATATTAGATGATTGGCTTAGACAATAGGAGGACGCTGGTTGTCTGCATCATGCCTGCGTGTGATCCGCTCGGGTGAGATTCCGACCAACAGCTATTCTTGTACGGGGGTTGGGGGATTGTATAGATACTTACGACAGCTTTGTGCATCTCACATGCCGTTGCTGACAGCAATATAACCCGCGTTCCCCTTCCTCACAGTGATATCCCACATCCTCTCTTTTTTACCCCGACACCTGCGAATGTGCTTACCTACTTGGTAACGCGACCGATAACAGGCGACAGATTCTCATCCTCTCGCTTCCCCTCTTCGCGGCCTTTCAGGAAGAAAATGGATGCTCCCAAGTTCACTCTAGCTCAGGCACAGAAGCAAGCTGGCAGATGTGCCTGGGCTCATCGCCAATTCATCGGAAAGACGCCGCCTATAAGCAAAGAGAATGCGAGCCGGGTTGTCGGCAAGACTGCCATTGTCACTGGCTCCAATTCCGGACTCGGCCTCGAGACCTCCCGTCAGCTCCTCGATCTGGGTGTTGCCAGGCTGATACTGGCCGTGCGCACTGTATCCAAGGGAGAGAAAGCTCGCGAGGGCCTTCTGTCTGGGCGGGATGCTTCACGTGTCCAGGTTGATGTCTGGCAGCTAGACCTGCTCTCATACGATTCCATCATCAAGTTCGCCGAGAAAGCGAAGACCCTGGACGAGCTCGACTTCGCCATCCTGAACGCCGGTCATTACCGAGAGTTGGAGCACTTCTGTGAAGCCACCGGCTACGAGGAGTCTGTTCAGGTCAACTACATATCGACGATGCTGTTGACAATCCTACTCTTGCCCATCCTCAAGACAAAGTCGTCGCAGGGTGGGCCGGGCCGTCTCGTCGTCGTCAACTCAGACACCGCATCATGGGCCAAGTTCCCCGAGAGGGGGGAGCGACCTCTTCTTCCCATATACAAACGGAAGACGGAAAACTGGAACCACCCGGATCGTTACGCCCTGAGCAAGCTGTTGGGCCAGCTATTCTTGCACAAGCTGGTACAGAAGATCCCATCTTCCGATGTCATCATCAACGTGATCAACCCGGGACTGTGCTACGGAACGGAGATCGTCAAGGACGGAGACGGCCGCCTCCTAGGTGACCTCTACAAGCTAGGGTTCAGGATCCTTGGAAAGCCAGCAGCCGTGGGATCGCGCGCCATTATCCATTCTGCCATCTCTTTTGGTGAAGAATCTCACGGGCAATACACGGAAGACGGAGAGATAAGGCCGTGAGTACCACCTTGCTATCCCCGCTAGAGAGAAATTGTTTATAATGACGCGAATCACAGATTGGCTCCAATCCTCTATACTCCCGAAGGAGAAGACGTAGCCAACGCGCTATGGGACGAGACTCTGGCCGAGTTGCCTTCTTCTCCTGTGCAGGAGGCACTAAAGGAATTCTCCAACTGATAGCAAGAAGCACTAAAGGAGTTTTCTGGTAAATAGCAGGAGACTCTCATCCATTCAGTCCGTTCTCGGGACTCCGGTCATGTTTCGTGCTAGATTTGATAATACTATGGCTTTTGTATAAACCCAAGGAGGGCTAAATGCCCACACATGCTCACTCTCCTCCACCATATCATGATATATATTTTGGCGAAAACCACAGGAAGTAGGGCACGAGGGACCGAAAAGGCCATAGAAGTAGGCGCCTTCGTCAACAAAGGTCGAGTAAACGCTCTCACTACTACGTCGCCACTTCTCCGCTTGCATTTAGCAGACCTCTTCACTCACGTCACCTACCCTCACCCCCAGTAGATACGTTGTCTGACATACACACCGAGATTGCGTGAACGGATGGGACACTGATCAAGAAACTGCTATGCGATTCTGTTCATAGCAACAGCCAATGGCGGCGCACAACAAGCAAACACAGCAAAACCTCACATCAGCACGTAAAGCCATGACGTGAATAGATGATATAACAACACAATGGTCAAGAACTCTTCCTAGGCAAAGATATCGAGATCGATCAAAGGATCTCCCCAGTAGTAAGGTAAAATGGATATCCACCAGGTGAAACCAACGATTCGGTTTCGTTCCACATCGAGACAATGAGCCTCCCTTTTTTTAAGATATATACTCCAGTATCGTACGCACTCAATCTACCACAGTATCGAAGTTATACTGCATAGACATTGGGCGAGAGTGAGAAGAGTAGAGCTGCAAAACGGATGGTGGTTGAGCTCAACCTCTCACTCACAAGTAGGACAAGTAGGCGAATCCTTATGAAGCCACCAAGCAGACATGTGTTTACCTTGACTTTGAACTGTCACTTGGGTCATTGAAATATTCCGCATAGGTTGGTTTATATCTGCGTATCGATTTCATGTCAGAACCATTTTCCACGAGGGGGACCGGAATAGAAAGATTCTGAACTTCCACATACCCCAGAACATAACCTCCTATCGCGCGGGCCACTACTTTCTGAACGCCACGCAGCAGCCATAAAGGCATCCAGAACGGCGGCGTAACTAGGGTAGCGCTGTCGTAGGCGATGAGTGCCAGTTGGAACAAGGAAGGTTTCATGTTGGCCATCTGGCAGTCCCGCTGATACCCTATCAAGTTGCGGATGAACTTCTCGTCAAAGCTGTTGTCCAGGCCTTGAGGATCGGCCCAGACTTTGAAGACCAAGTCCTCTCTGCAGCTCTCATGTGCCCAGAATTTGTGCCTACGAGTACACGAATCAGCATCCAGGTCGAATGAGCGGCGGACATGTCCCAAGCTGAATGTTTGCAGAGTTTCTGTGCAGTGTGTATGGCCTTACCTAGTTCCCGCCGGTACTTGGACAACGCCAGAATCCTTGGTGGCCTTCAAGATCCGCCCATTTTTATGGATGGCGATACTGCCTTTCTCAACTTGGAAGTGCTCCGTCTGCTTCCAGTGGATATGCCTGATCAGACAAAATGAGCTTGCGGTGCATGTACATGATATGGGACGCGGCTCACAGGGTTGGGCCGGAATGGCCTTCCTTCACCCATGGGTTATCGATATAGTGCGTTTCTCTGATAACCCAACGCCCTTCATCATCTGTAAGGAAATCAAAACGAGCGCCATCATATGGAGACATGATGAAAGGGTCATTAGCGGTCATTGACCGGCTCGGACGCGGCGACAGCCATAGCTGCCATGACCGCGCCATGATTGCTTATCCGATTAAAGGATTGAAAAGCACAGAGGCTAGTGAAGGAGTGGATTATCAATCTCGAGGGTGAAGTTATGGCCCAAACAAAAACATGAATCGAAGCAGGAAACTGCTGTAGGATGCGTAGCCAAGCAATCATATTGAGCTAGAAAAGACATTCAAAACACAATACAGCAAAGCAGTACGTGTACTAATATCCAATCAACCGATCTCCATCCGGGTGTGCCATGTCTGCAGCTATGCATGGGCCGTTACCAGAGTTCCTCCGTCAAGAATGAAGCCACTTCCCGTAACATAGCTAGATTTGGGGCCGCATAGGAAGATGACAGTATCGGCCACCTCTTCGGCGGTGGCGATGCGGCCCAGTGGAACCATACCCTTGACCCACGCATCTATATCCACGCCTCCGTCCCTGGCCTGTTGAATCATCGGCGTCTCCACCCACGTCGGACAGACGCAATTGATCCGGATACCGTGAGGAGCCATGTCCAGGGCTAGAAGACCACATGTAAGCAGTCAGATCCGAGCGTTTGACTACATGTACATGCGCGGGGACAGCGGGCCGGATCCCAGGGGGGGTTAGATCCCGAAGGGGAAAGGAACCTTGGCAACTGACCTGCATTCTTGGTCAATCCCAGAATAGCATGCTTGGCTGTAGTGTATTGAACCATGTGCGGCGTAGCCACAAACGAATTGCCCGAGCCCAGAGTGACAATGCTACCTCGCGTCTCACCCCGGCCCGAGCCCGGAGGGCCATTGGGCCGGAGATGCTGACTGGTCATGGCCGCTGACACGGCCCGCACCAGTGAGAAGGTACCCTCGACGTGGATTTTGAGGAAGCGTCGAAACTCGGTCGAGTCAGCTTCGGAAACCAGACGGGGCACCTGCACCCCTACCTGATAGATTGCATGCAACGGTCAGCTTTGGCACCAGCACCGCAGGCGGATCTCGGGCTCACTCACACCAGCACAGTTGACGCAGTAGTCGATTCTCCCAAAAGTCTCCAGCATGCGCTTGATAGCCGCTTCCACCGACTCTTCCTGCGTGATGTCGACCTGGAAGGCCTCGACACGAAAATTGGCCGCAGTGGCGACGGCACCGCATTCAACAGCGACGGCCTCCGCTGCATTCAGATCCAAGTCGGTGATGAGGACACCTGCAGCCCCGTCCTTTGCAAAGCCGATGGCGCATGCTCGTCCAATACCGCTACCTAAAGCGATTGTCAAAAGAACATGTCAGCTTCGGTCTCCAGGCAAGGTCCCAGTCCACCCCAGGTATGAGGTAGGCTCGGGAGATTATGAAACTTCAATCTTACCCCCCCCGACAATAATCGCGTTCCCGTCCACGTTCATCTTCCGAATTATCGAATGTTGAAGTCTGTTTGAAAATCTGTTCGTCTTCTTCTCGTCTTCTTCAGATGGAAGTGTAGATGGTTTGATCACAGCAATCTTGAACCGTTCAGCAAAGTTCTAAAATAGTCAACAAAAGGAGGAGCATATCGGTCCCTCGAATTCATGTCATTAATCGTTGAAAGTGGTGTACATTGTAGGACTAGTGCTTATCCAGAAAGCAATATTTCCAGATGGGGCCTCTCGGTAGACACCAAGATCGGAAGACCGAGAAGTGTGGGCGGTGCCGGTTTGAGACTTAGATGGGAGATGCTTCAGCACCGGGCCGTCCAGTCCAACCTCTCGTGCTTGTCTATCAAGAGTTTTCTTTATTGTTCTGTTCACGCATATCTCTGATTTTTCTCCCGTAAGCCCTAGCTTATGGCGTGAAACGTATCTGATTTGACCGGTTACGACATCTGTGTGGCGGGAGTGCTTATTGCGGACCCAAGCGAAGCCTGATATCGAACAGAATGTCGTCCGCCGCTCACAAAGAGATCCGGGCCGGTGGGAAAAGCCAACACCGAGAACTTGATTCAACATGACCGGTTATGTGATGGCGATGAGAGGCACGTCTACATCTTACCGATCTCCGAACCGGTACATGCAAGTCCCGTTCCGAACAGGGGAGACAGCGGAAACTCACGTTCTTGGGTGACAAGCTCGGGGATCGTGATATTGGTGATATTGATTCAGGATAGCGATAGAGAGTAAGAAATGGCTGCTTTTCAGCTCCGACAATCAGAATACCTTGCATCCTCAGGAAGCCCTACACCAACTCATCAGACCCCGATACCAATACATTTACCCTGTCAGGACCCCAGACTTCCACGCTTCCTTTTTGCTGAACCTCAATATCTTCTCGCAAAATCTTTATCCCACAAAGGAGATAGCTTGTCAAAGTTCAGAAGCTATTCACTCCGTGTCGATAGGAGTTTCCTTTTGCTAAGCCCAAGTTTCATCTCGTCGCCACATCTTTGACACCTCATCATAATGGCGGCCGTGACAGCAAACCCGGAGCTCGTTGACGAGCCTCAGCTTGCGTACGACAGAAAGCAAGACGTTACTGTCATCTCGAAGGCCATCTCGGAGGCAGCCTACTCGCAGGATGATCTCCCGGTCTTGTCCGGACCGTCCGGCTCTTCGAGCGATGCCGGTTTCGATAAAACCACTTGTATTGTTGGCATGGGTAAGCTGCGAACACTCAACTCTCCGGGACCGTCTGGTTTCTGACACCTGCGTAAATCCAGCGTGCCACCTTCCCGGCGGAATCACCTCACCATCGGGTCTGTGGGACTACCTGTACAACAAGAAGACTGCACAAGGCAAGGTTCCCCTGCAGCGGTACAACATCGAAGGATACTATGGCAAGGACAACACACGTGCGGGTATGATGAACGTCGATGGAGGATACTTCCTGGACGAAGACGTCCGCAAGTTTGACCCCTCGTTCTTCGGAATCAACAACCTGGAAGCTTCTTATATGGATCCACAGCAGCGCAAGCTTTTGGAGATTGTCTACGAGTGTCTGGAAAATGCTGGAGAGACCATGAAGGACATCGCCGGCTCAAACACGGCTGTCTTTGTCGGAAACTTCACAGTCGATTACAACCTCATGCAGTCTCGTGACTCCGACTACCTGCACCGTCTGGCGGCTACGGGAAGTGGAACATCCATCATGTCCAACCGCATCAGCCACGTCTTCGACCTCCACGGTCCCAGGTAAGGCCGATCAATACCGGGCTCTGCCCAATCTCGCCTACGTCATTCGTCGCAGCTGACTCGAAATTCTAGCTTCACGCTCGACACTGCCTGCTCCTCGACCATTTACGCACTGCACCAGGCTGTGACCGCTATCAAAAATGGCGATTGCGATGCCGCCATTGTCGCCGGTGCCAACCTGATCACATCTCCTGAGCAGCATTTTGGCACAGCCAAAGGCGGCTTCCTTTCCCCTACTTCGGCTTGCCACACCTTTGATGTCTCGGCCGACGGTTACGCCCGTGCAGAGGCTCTGAACGCCATTTATATCAAGAGACTATCCTCGGCCCTGAAGGACAAGAGCAAGATCCATGCCGTCATTCGCGGAACTGCTATCAACTCGTAAGTTCCGACCCCACCTGCACCTGTTCAACATACATATTCCAAGCGTGGGCAAGATCTTAACTGACATGATGTGAAGGAACGGAAAAACCCCTGGGATCACCCTGCCGGATGCTAAGATGCAGGAGGCCGTCATAAGGAAGGCATACGAAAACGCAGGCTTGTCATTTGACGACACTGACTATGTCGAGTGCCACGGCACTGGTACCCCCGTTGGTGACCCTATCGAAGTCAACGGCGTTGCTGCTTGTTTCGGTCGCCGCGAAGGCGAGCCTCTGAGGATTGGATCGGTCAAAACCAACATGGGTCACGGTGAGGCCGCCAGCGGCTTGACATCGGTGATCAAAGTCGCCCTCGCCTTTGAGCATGGCATCATCCCACCAACCTACGGTGTGAAGGAGGTCAACCCCAAGCGTGAGTACCACACCGAGCTAGAAGCTACCGAGCGTCATCATTTTACTGACACTCGTGGATCTGGCAGTGAAGCTCAAGGAGCGCAACATGGTGGTTCAGTGTGAGAATGAACCGTGGCCGAGGTCCCTGCAGCGTGCCAGTGTCAACTCTTTTGGTTACGGTGGTGCCAATGGCCACGTCATTCTCGAGTCTGTCGACAGTTACATGAATTCTTCTGCTACTCCTGAAGTGTCGACCACTGAGAGTGTGGCAGACGCGGGCGAGGGACAGTTTCTTGTCCTCCCTTTCTCAGCTTCTTCCGGCAAGTCCCTGGAAGCTCGGCAGAGCCAGGTTATTGACCTTGTCGAGAGGGCGGCCGATGGGGAGACAGTTGGTGCCATCTCATCTGAGCTGAGCAAGCGCCAGACCGGGCTGAGGCTGCGCAATTTTGTGCTCGCTTCGGCCGGCTTCAACCCAAGCGTCGTCAAGATCGCGGACAGTGGCGACAAGGCTGTGCCTGGAGCGAAGCCCTTGCCCCTTGCATTCGTCTTCACCGGACAGGGTGCACAGTATGCCACTATGGGTAAGGAGGCCCTCGAGCAAGACGCCGCATTCTTGGCAACCATTCGACAGCTCGATGCTACACTGGCGTCGCTGCCGACTGAGCACAAGCCCGATTGGACCTTGGAGCAGACTCTGCGCGATGGGCCCGCCACGAGCATGATCAACCATGTCACTCGCAGCCAGCCTATCTGCACCGCTATCCAGATTGCGCTGGTCGATCTCTTGAGAAGCTGGGGAGTCACGCCGTCTGCCGTTATTGGCCATTCCTCCGGCGAGATTGCCGCTTCGTATGCTGCCGGTCTCCTGACCTCTTCCCAGGCTATCAAGGCCGCCTATTATCGAGGCTTTGCGGTAGGAAAGCTCCAGTCGCGCGGCACCATGCTAGCTGCGGGTGTGTCCGCTGATGACGCCAACGCCATGATTGAGAAGCTCAGCCTGCCCGAGGTTCGCGTGGCCTGCGTCAACTCCCCAGAGAGTGTCACCATCAGCGGCTCCACCAGCAGCATTGAAGCTCTCCTGTCCGAGCTGAGCGACTTGGGCAAGTTTGCCCGCAAGCTTGAGACGGGTGGACGAGCCTACCACTCCCACATGATGACCGAGATTGGTGACCTTTACGAGTCGCTCGTCGCTCCCCACTTCGCCGAGGAGGCTCCGGCTCCCGACCCCGAAGTCCAGATGTTCTCAACCGTCGGCCACTCGGCTGAATCTCTCGGGATTGTCAACCCCGGAACTAGCATGTCCTCCTACTTCCGTCGGAACCTTGAGCAGCCTGTCCAGTTCAGTGCTGGTTTGACTAGCATAATCAACTCTGGAAAATATCACCTGGTTGAAATCGGACCTCATTCTGCTCTCAAAGGCCCCATCCAGCAGATCCGGTCTGCCGCTAAGAAAGATAAGGAGTCTGCTCCTTACTCCCCAACACTTGTCCGGAAGGAGAATTCATATGTCTGCCTGAAGAAGCTAGCCGGAACTCTCTACTCCTACGGCCACGACATTGACTGGTCCACGGTCAACAACATCTCCAGGTCAAGCAAGACGATCTCTCCAAGCCTTCCATCCTACCCGTGGGATTATTCCAATCCACTTCTGTGGCATGAGCCGCGAGGCAGTGTAGAGCACCGCCTGCGAAAGCACCCTCGCCATGAACTCATCGGAACGAGGACCACGGCCGGCAACGGAATTGAGTACTGTTGGCGCAATATCCCCAAGATGTCTGAGATGGCTTGGGTCCGTGACCACAAACTTGGAGAGTCCCAGGTTGTTCTCCCGGGTGCTGGCTACATGGCCATGGCCATTGAAGCCCTGTCACAGATCCTGGATATCAAGGACAACCTCAAGGCCGGAGTTTCTTACTCCTTTGAGTTTGAAAATGTCAACATCAGCGCTGCATTTGTTGTGCCTGATGAGAAGGATGCTGAAGCAGAGCAGACTGAGATCCACACCGTCATGAACCCGCGGAAGATCTCGACGGCAAACAAGTCCAAGGACTGGTACGACTTTTCCATTGCTTCTTGGATTTCCGGTGTAACTACACTGCACTGCATGGGCAGCATCCGTGTAGTTGAGTCGACCATGAAGCCAACAGATGGTTCAGTTGAGGTGACGCCCAATGGTTACGAATGCTGGCCTATGGGCCGCTGGTACAAGAAGGCAAAGGAGGAGGGCCTCAACTTTGGACCCGAGTTCCAGTCCCTCACCAGCCTGTACACTGATGGAAACCGCACAGCTACGGACTCCATCGGCACGACTGTCCTGGACCCCCCGTCAGCCGCTTCTGCGGGCATGTTCTACGCCATACACCCGATTACTATCGACGCTTGTTTCCAGGCAGCCATCTTCGGAGGTACAGCCGGTAACGTCAGTGCTCTTCGAGCATTTGTCCCAGTGTTCCTCACCAGCTGCACCATCCAGCTACCGAGCGGTGGCGCTGCTGGCCAGAAGAGCGAGGAGATGAGGATCCACTCCCGCATGGAGAAGACTGGTTTTGCCAGCCGCTCTGTCTCCTTTACACTCCGTCTTCCGGATGGCACCCCTGCTATTGACATGCGACACATGCGCCTCAATGCCTATGGAGGAAAGCCGCCCGTGGCAGCGGAGACCAGCATCTATCTCCAGCGCCAACCCTGCTTGCGCATCCAATGGAAGCCCGATGTTCTACGTATTCAGCCGGAGGCCGGAAACGCCCTACGAGAATACATTGCTGACTTTTCGGTCAAGCAAGCCGAGGAAATGCTGGACAACAATGCTCTCGTCGTTTTCGCAGCCGTGCTTGATCTCCTTTCCCACAAGGTTCCCCGCATGGCTGTCCTGGAGATTGGTCAAGAGAGGCAGTGGTCCGCCAAGGATGTTCTCTCGATCCTGGGAAAGGACACCGCGTTCCCCCGATGCAAATCCTGGACCGATAGCACCCTCAACGACGTCGGTGAGATTGTCCTTGAGGACCCCAAAGCCCCTGATACATTTGATGCTGTCGTCATCCCTCACTATTCTGTTTCCAGAAAGGTTTGGAATGATATGCCCCAGGCCCTTGCCGAGAAGGTCTCAGAGAACGGAATAGTCATCACCCGCAAGACAGATGCGGCTGTTACCAGTCTCGACGCTGCCGGGTTTGCCACGATTGAGCTCCCAAGCGATACACTACTGGCTATCCGTGGTCCCAAGAAGACGGGTCTTGAGGACAAATCCGTCCTCATCGTCAAGCCAAACAGCTCATCCTCCTCGATTGACACTTTGGAGAGTGCTATCACAACTCACCTTCGCGGGACGGGTATTTCTCAGGTTTCCAGCAGTACCATCAGAAACATCGGGGAGGTTGATCTCAATGAGAGTGTTGCGGTTGTGTCTCTACTCGAGATGGAGCAGGAGTTCCTTGCTACTATCAGCGCTGATGACATGGATCGCCTCCGTAAGATCACGGACAATGTGACCAGCCTCTTGTGGCTCACGGGCGCCAACATGCTCTCCTCACCCAACCCAGATCTCACACTCTCCCGAGGTCTATCTCGTTCTTTGATGTTGGAGCAGCCTGCCCTGAGATACGCGGTCCTGGATATCGGTGCGGATGCCACCAAGCGAAGCCTAATTGATACGACATGCGCCAATGTATCAGCTGCACTTGCCTTCCGACACGCCATCGACGATAGCGAGTTCATCCAGAAGGACGGCGTTCTCTACGTGAGCCGCTTTGTCCCGGATGCGGAGCTTAACTCGCTCTTTAGGCAGCGTATGGGGACTGAAGATATGAGGCTGGTTCCTTTCGGCCAGATCGGTCCGGCCAGACTGTCTGTTGGCCAGGTTGGTATGACAGACACCATTCACTTCCAGCAGATCGCGGAAAGCCAGACCGCACCCCCAGAGGGGTACGTGGACGTCGACCTCCGCTCTGTGGGCTTGAATGCAAAGGACATCTATGCGATCAACGGCCGAGCTGATACGAAGGACTGCACCGTGGCTCTGGATTTTGGGGGTGTCGTCAAGGAAACAGGCCCCGGAGTAACCCACTTGAAGAAGGGCGACCGTGTTGCTGCGTTCGTGCCCAATCACTTTGGCACCACGGAACGTGTTAGAGTCGAGACCCTCCACAAGCTTCGTCCTGAGGAGGATATGACCGTCATGCCTACTATCCTGGGTGTGAATGTCACTGCTCTGGTCTGCTTGAGAGACCGCGCCCACCTGCGGGCAGGAGAGACTGTCCTGATCCACTCAGGCGCCGGCGCATTTGGTCTGGCGGCCATCAACATCGCCCAGCTGATGGGAGCTACGGTATACACAACGGTTGGATCTCAATCGAAGCGCGATTATCTCACCAAGGAGATGGGCGTGCCGGCCGAGAACATCTTCAACTCCCGCGATGACTCCTTTGTCGACGGTATCATGGCAGCAACCGGTGGCCGTGGTATTAATGTCATCATCAATTCTCTTGTTGGGGACCTTATGCATGCTTCTTGGTCTTGCATTTCGCCTTTCGGGCGCTTTGTCGAGATAGGAAAGCGTGAGTTGATCGATGCTGGCAACCTTGACATGCACAAGTTCCTGCAGGGCTCGACTTTCAGTGCCTTTGACCTCTCTGAATTCTTCTACGCCGAGGATCCCCATTACCAGCAGGTTGTCTATAAGTGAGTTGTCATCTCAGATCTTGCGGTACCCTGTCAACACTCGTTTCTTGTCTTGTTCAAGACTGACCTCCGTACTCCAATAGCTACACTGCCGAAGTCGTTGATCTGTACCGGGACGGCAAGATCAAGGCCTCTCCAATTGCAACCTTCGATGTCTCGCAGATTGGTCAGGCCTACCGTTACTTCAACAACAAGGACAGGATCGGAAAGGTAGTGATCTCTATGGAGAACCCCAAGAGCAAGGTCCCCGTCGCCCCGCCCATGTACCAGGCCGTCTTTTCACCCGAGAAGTCCTACCTACTTGTGGGCTGCCTGGGAGGTCTCGGTCGCAGTCTCAGCCGCTGGATGATGTCGCGCGGTGCTCGGAAGTTCTGCTTCCTTGGCCGCTCCGGGGTCGACAAACCAAGCGCGGCTGAGCTTGTCAACCGTCTCCACGATGCCGGCGCAGATGTTACAGTCGTTCGCGGCGATGTCTCCAGTCCGGATCACGTCCAGGAAGCGGTGGAAGCATGTGCCAAGCAGGGACCCATCGGCGGCGTCGTCCAGGCGGCCATGGGCCTCAGTGAGGCTCTGTTTACCGTTATGAGCAACAAGGCATGGCATACTGGTATTCAGCCGAAGTGGAGGGGTTCATGGAATCTCAATCACTCCCTCGAGGGCTACGATGGAGCTCTGGACTTCTTCCTCATGACATCCTCCATTTCCGGTAGCTGCGGCACTGCCACCGAGAGCAACTACTGCGCTGCCAACAATTTCCTTGACGGCTTTGCTCGATGGAGGAGATCTCAGGGAAAGCCAGCTATCTCTATCGGTCTTGGTATGATTTCTGAAGTTGGCTACCTTCACGAAAACCCAGAGATTGAGGCCATGCTTCTTAGGAAGGGTATACAGCCCCTCAATGAGGAGGAGTTTCTCCAGGTTGTCGACTATGGTCTTTCGGGACCTGGCGGTGACGCTGAATTTGTCAGCGGCAAGCCCACGACCAGCGAGCATGCGCATATCCTTACTGGTCTTGAGTCATACGGTGTGCGCAAGCTCATGGCCCAGGGATTTGAGGTGAACAATGGCGTCATGGATGAATCCCGCACAAGTATCCTGGCAGCTTCTCTCTTGGCAGAGAAAGACGAGCAGGCTGAAGAGAACGGCAACGATAACGGATCGCTCGAGTCTGCTGCCAAATGGTTCAAGGATCTCCCTGTGGGCGCTGGCCACATGTTCACGTCCGAAGCCAGCGCACCGACGATGCTAGATGCTGCGCTGCGTCTTATCAAGAAGCGCTTCAGCAACCTGATCCTGATGCAGCTGGATGCCGTTGACGAGAGGGCGCCGCTCCCCTCATTTGGAGTGGACAGCATGCTTGCTGCCGAGTTTCGCACCTGGTTCTTCAATACGTTCCAGGTTGATATTCCCTTCCTGGACATCATCAGCCCACAAAAGTGTCTGTTCAATCTTGCAGAGATTATTGAGGAGAAATTGCTGGCGAGCTGGGGAGCTTAAAGGGCCCGCACAGGAGAAGCCAGGGTTAGTGACTTTGTACGAAATGGTGGCAACCCCAAGTCTTTCTACGAGCTTAGAGGTGGGCTTTGTAGGATGAACCTGGATGTTGGGCCACAAAGAGACGGATTTCCTATGACGAACTTTAGAGGTAGATTTGATACGTAACCCTCTACAGATTACACATACATAGATTATTATATGCTCTCACACATGATTGACTCCTTTGCGCCCTTGGTTCTTGATAGCATATGTATTGAATTATTTGGAGCTGCTCTTGTTATATATATATATATGTACGGTAACCAGCGAGAATCCGAGAAGGATACAACAAACCAATCCAGTGCAGTTCCTTTCCTTAATACGAACAACTTCATGCCGCCGCCCTGTTGCCCTCACGCACACGTGAATTGTATTCTAGTTAAAAATGGATCATTAAGTTCCTCATAGCTCTAGAGCCTACCTTTCCCGACATTCACGCACTTACACGCGCTTCCATCCGCGCACTTGCTGGTCTATTTGCATATTCACTATGAAAGTCAGGAACCACTCCGAGACGTTCAAAATTATCAATATAGATAGAATATCAGTTCAACTACGTCAAGTACATCTTCATGAATGAGATTGACTACTACATTGGAAAATGAGCAGACTGCCTCTAATCGCTAAGGGACGTGGGCTCATTCCAACCCAATTCAATGATTCAACCGCATCCATCCGGAGTCGTCAGTTATTCAATCGGCAGCGACTCTACAACGACGGATCTTATATAGACAGCCATGAAGAATCACTCCGTGTATTCCAATTTCAACTTAGTACTGGAAAAGACCACCCTTCTTACACTGTATGCAGCCTTCTATGCCGACGTACATGATCGGGAATATCAGTACAATAATACATGCAGGTACATGTAGGCTCATCAGTATTAGCAGGGCAGGCTTTCCTGTTCCTGATCGTAAGTGAACCAAGTCCAGGTCCCGCCACGCGGTATGAGAACGCAGTCATCCTACAGTGAATATGAGCGAGTCAACGAATCGTGCAAGGACTCACGGGAGATCGTGAGGCAGAGCTCCCGGCGGATCTCATCTTCATCGTCTTGGGGAAGTCTCCCAGGGAAATCGGCATCAGGTCATCCTCAAAAAGGAGTTTAGGCTAAGATGGTTGGGAGCCAGTCACACGCAAGCCTAATAACTAGTAGCAATCTCACATTCGTGTGCACTTAGCTAGCGAGATATATCATCATCACCTTCATCTTCTCCCTCTTGCGTGCCACGTTTGGTGCCTAACAATTCGTTACAACCTAGACTAAAGCGACACTGACTCCCAAGTTCAGTATATTTCGGAGAAACTTTGAAGAGTCGAGGGCGAAATTGTGTACTATTCTATCACCTTGCGACTAGATGTAGGTTTGAATCTCGGAGTATTCAGCGTAGTACAACTACTGTGAGTCCTTGTTCAGGGCGGTATATTGGAATTCCTCCTCGATATCTGTAGATGCATACTTGGGCCTTTGAGGCATCCCTTGAACGGCAGCGACTAAAAAGGTGGTGAATTGGTTAGCCATCGCTAGCTCGTCGATCCCACTTTAGAAGATTGGGCGTTCTCTGGACCAACTCACCAAGATCTGCACCCAGGGCAGCGTTCCTGTAGGTCCCGAAAAATCCTACTTGCAAGGTGACGTGATCGGCAAGGGAAGCCAGGTCAATGCTCTTCAAGGCTTCCTTGTCTTCCGAGAAGAAGCTGGCCACGCGCTTTGCTGTCCAGGATGGGTTCTCGTCACCTAAAGAGCATTGGGATCAATATTGGATTTCCTGAATCCTTTTTTCCTATACATCCAGCTAGTCGGTGCGAGACATACCTAGCCAGTGGCCTGCCTTGGGAACCACGGCCACGTCGAGATCGTTTGCTACCCACGAATAAAGCATACGCATAATGCCCTCGTTTCCGTTGCTTGCCTCCCCGCCGACTGCGAGTGCTGGCATCTCCAGTGCGGCTTGTCCCAGGTGGCCTCGGAAAAACTGTGAGTCTGCGTGGACGGTGGCCGCGGAGTACACGCCCATCATGGACCTCAGAAACCCGGGCTTCGAGATGCTGCTGGTGTACCGGTTCAGTGTATCCTCGCTGAAGCTGGTGCCGCCGGAATAGCTACCCTTGTAGAAGTACCACTGTAGCAGCTGCTTCTCCTTTCCGCGAACGAGAAACTCGGCAAAGTCGGGAACCGCAAAGGCAGAAAGCTGTGGGTTTCCGTACAGGTCCAAGAACGGAGCGGGTGATGCGGCCTGCTCGTAACCGAACCCTGGGAAGATGTACTCGCCAAACGCCAACCTCTTCACGACGGCGGGGTTCTTGATGGCCAGAGCAGTGGCGATGCCGACGCCGCTATCGTGGGCGAAGACATATGTAGAGGTTATGTTGAGGAAATCGAGCAAGCCCTTGAGATCGCCAGCAGATGTTTCGCAGGTATAGTCCCCAGTCGACGGAATGCTGGAATCTCCGGTCCCGCGCATGTCCGGGGCGATGACGGTATAGTGCTCAGCGAGGATAGGACCGATGAATTGCCAGGTCAGACTGAATTGGGGGGTCCCGTGTACGAGGAGCAAGGGTGGGCCAGATCCAGCGTAGCGAAAGTGAATGCTGACATCCTCGAGCGCAACGCGGCCATGCTCCCAGTCGTCAAAGTTGGAGAGTCCGGCCTGAACTGCCGCGAAAGGGAACCAAACAGCAGAGAGAAAGCTGGTGAGACGCACCATGATTATGTTGAGTCGATAGCGGGTGGTCAGACAAAACGGTGTAACAGCTTCGGAAGCCAGAAAGTTTGTTTTGGAATCAGGAAGCAGCTGGATGTTATATTCACGGGAAATGCCGACATAGATATCTGCCTTGCCTATCATCACCCTCACTCTTCCTCGAGAACAAGCCGCTTACGGGCGCCGGAGCCAGCAGGGCCATAAGCGCACCCGGCCTCTTGAGCCCTTCCACTGGCTGCAGCGCCCTGGACGGCGTACGTCAGGCTAGGACGGCCCGGATCGCCGAGTGGAAACAATCGTCCCGAACTGCACAGGGGGTAAGCATATATCCACACTAAGCCCTAAACATCCCGGCCCGAAAGCTGCGATGTTGGGAAGTACCGCCTTGGCGCATATGCATGTGTGAACACGGCCCGTCAGCGTATGTTTGTGATCCCTCCGAGTCTGGATTTCGCTACAGGGTCTCTTTACGTGATTTCGCCCGTCGGTCTGTAGACATGTTCCCCTTGACCAATTGCTCGTCTAGTATTCGCCCTTCCTGGAGTCTGCAGAATACCGCTATGCATGCACGGAGTATACATCTCACGTGTTATGCAACGGCCCTGGCTACAGTGGCCGTTACACTTACTCTGTACAGATATATACAGCACCTCCCGTGCCGTGTCTTCCGTCACAGCGACCCAATCAGGATCCTATATTCGTACCTGTTCCAGACATGTATATCCCATCTAGAATCGTTGCCGCAGTCGAGACCCGTCCCCTCCGGGTTGGTGGCTTACCATAGCTCGAAGGGTCAAAAAGCCCCTTGTCTGCTGCCAACAACAAAGGTGCGAGGACATGTTTTACAACCCGCTCGAATTCTCGATGGTGACTTTGTCTTCCTGCTATGCCCTGGCGGTCTGAATAAAAGTCTATCGTTTCATTCACGTATTCAGGTGAGTGAAAATCACCGTGTAAATGGGCAGCGCTGTGGGATGCCTGGTTCCCTGGACAGGGCCTAGTTTTCCGGTGATTTGAAACTTCGTGGGGAATCCTCACCAATTGTTTAGTCAACATTGTGTTATGTAAAGGGCTTTCGTTCGTTTTGCTGGTGGAACGATGCTTACGGAGTATGTCCAAGTAAGCTCCATGGGTCTCGGAACTGCATGAGGCACGGTCAGCATCGTGGCTGCAAGGGTTCAATGTTGTCTGCTCCTCGCAGTTCCACGCTCCCAATCGGGCGGCCAGCCCCCACGAACGGATATGACCTGATTGGCGTGGGCAGCGTTAGCTGAACCAGAAATTCATCTATATTATATATTCCTGGAGTTCTAAAAAGGAAAGTGAAAAGTACACGGCAGTATCGAGACTCCATAGCATCAAAGATAGGTACAGGTATCGACGGCAACGTGAGGAAATAGCATCAATAAAGGCCGCCAGGTGATATCTAACCTGCGACTCCTTCACCTCCAACTACCAAGTGGGATATTAGAAGTACCTATACAGTCCCCTAGCTCATATACAAGAATAGCTGATGGTTGGAGACCGCCATAGCCACATATGTATCTCTACCACAAATGTCGTGAAGGAGGACGATAGAAAACAGACACGATAATACGACATACACACGAGAGTCTTCTCCAAGCCAGTCACCGAAATATAACGTGAGATAGTCTCACGTCGACATATCGGGCCCCACTCTTCCGCGTCTGTGCCCATGCGTTTTGAGCCGAATCTTACGACATCTTCTGGGAAGCTGGCATATCGTAATATTACGCCGTGCGAACCATGACATGGACGACGAGAGAGTTACTGGTATATCCAACAGATTCCATCGTCCAGAGGCGTGGGACACGGACTGCACCTTACGTATAGGCATTTCTCTCGAACGGCACACAATGCATACACTTAGCTTTACGTATCCGCACCAAGAGATACGGCATTGTACATGTATATCTTATATCTGGAAGAGTAATCCTTGGGTTATTTGCGTCCCTGACCCGTGAGGGGTTTCTGTCTTATCCATCCGCTAAGTCTCCAGGTGTATCGACGTGGTAGGTTTTCCCGTATATACCCTACAAGACGGTTACCATTATATATTCTCCCTTAGTGGTACGTACTCGAGTCTACCCGAGGTTTCTCAGCATTCTCCGTCCTACATTATTCCTCAGTAGTACGTAGTTAGATCATCTCGCCGACATTTCTTTATTGACTATCGGCCATCTGATGAGAGCTGTCCAACTTGCTTCTTCATCCCCGACCGATCATTGATACGAATCTCGGGTTTGAGCTCATAATCTCTCTGGCTATCCCCGTTACGGATTCGTCTATGCATGATGTTCTCCAAAATCACATATAGCAATGGGTTACTTCATGAAGAGACCACGACCAAAGACATCTACAACGACCACCCGAAAAAGAGACTGGCATGTCTAGAATGCCGTGCCCGAAAGGTCGGTTCAATTGTGTCTATCCCCTATTCACTGTCCGTGTGCTCGAAAAAAATGTGCTGAAAGCCCTGATAACTTCCAGGTTAAATGCTCAGGAGAAGAGACCGGGTGCATAAAATGCCTGGAAAACAAGATCACCTGCACATATCCAGAGAGCGCCAGGAGAGGTGGTCCGAGGCGAAAACGAGCAGATACGGCAAAATCAAGAGACAGCCAAAGCCACTCGGGTGCCAGCAGCAAGTCCGGAAGTGCTATGTCTTTGGTCCCGGACTGTCCGGTACCCTCATATTCATCAGCATCACTCTCGGATGACAGCTCCCTCTTCAACTTCAGCCAAAACGCCCCGTTCGTTACACCGGAATGCTTGGGCAATGACTTCTCTCTTGGTATGTGCAGCCATCTGTCGTTGTGACTATGAAGCTAGGATGGGATATACTAACATACACCGACATCAAAGCAGAAATGGATCGATTGAGTGCGGACTACCTCAAGGACACTCCTGGCGACTACAACAGCATGGATCTGGGCCTTGCCGTGGACCAGACGTGGCCTCTTCTACCGGCCGGGAAGGTGTCATGTGTAGGTAAAAGCGCATCCTCCAGAGATGATGACTGCAGCTGCGCCCAGTCGGCAGCGCAGATGCTCAGCCATCTCGATTCCAAGATACACACCATCGGCGATCTCTCTGTAGACGCCATCCTGACTTACCAAAGCTGTGCTATATCGCAACTCAACTACTGGCTCGTCTGCGAGCACTGCGACTCCCCACGGACCACCACCAAGGTCATCGTTCTCGTTGTCGAGGGCCTATGCCTATGCATGGAAAGGGTCGTGGCAGAGTACGTCAGCCAAGTACAAGCGGGAATGAGCGAGGAAACTCGGTTTCCTACGGTATCGTGCAACATTGGGAAATACAGCATAAACACCTGGCATGAGTGGAACCACATCCTGCGTGTGTCGCTCTTGTGCAGGTGCAGCGACTTGCATACCGCCGTGACTAAGTTACAAGAGCGCGACGTCCTCAGTTCCATGCTGAAAGAAACCGAGCAGAACCTCGCCGACATGATCAACCAGTTGAGGAGATGCGAAAGCTACTTATGAGGAGATCAGGATAGGAAGACACGCCTTTCCTTGAAAAGGCTGGGGTATATATACGTGTACTCAACTTGGTACCTGGGCTTGGTTTTGGGATCTAGACAAATGCTCGCTAGATTATTTATGCGGGATAAAGGAGTTAGGACTTCAGATACGTACAATACATGTAATCCGTCTGTTTTGTGTGATGCGTTCGACTCCGTGGGTGACTGTCATGTACATGTATACAACGTACTTGCTCCCAATTAGCAGTACGAACGTATTAAATACGATGCACGGATTACGATTGTCAGATTACAAGAAACGTGGAATTCCACTCCTTTGGCCCAGCACGAAGAGGGATTCAGGGGTTCACGTGAATCAGAGTCAGACGGCAAAAGGGCGGGATGCCTGTGCAGTCTCTCTCACAGCAGCCGAGGTTCTATCGATGGTTGACCTCTAGAGCTGCGTCAGAGTTCCGCTAGACGCCTAGAAGTTCCCTGGTCTTTACCGGATGTGATATTGATCAGGCCTTTATTGGAGATGTAGTTGGGATCAATTGTGTAGGAAAGCCGAAGAAGACCCATTCATTTCATCTCGATATGACAGGAGAGGTTGTCGTAATGAAGTCACTCTAGTGGGAGTCTGTCCAACTACAGATTACAGCTACTGATAATACTGGACGCAAGAGACTCTGCTCCTGGGTAAAACCCCTGTTTATAGGTTACGAGTGCGCAATGTGCGCATAGAAATGAAAGAAAATGAAATGTCATAAAATATAAAAAGAAGCAAAAGAAAAAGAAAAAAGGCGTCGTACGGTACCCGTTCATTTTGAATCATGAACATGGGGTAGACCTAAAAGAGGTCTTCTGTGCTGTTGCGGGTAGGTCGATAGAAAACGCAGGGATGTGCCGCACGTGATTCCGCGACCGCGTTGAGTGGCGACCATCCCAAGCGTGTTTATAGTGGTGGCGCGCGATTCTCTCCATGTCTCAAACTCATTCACTTCAACTCAGTCTTAGTATTACCAGTAGTACTTATCCCTCTCTGCCCCCGCCCCTTCAAAATAAAAGGCCAACCGACCACCTACTCACATCTCGTCTTCTTCAAACCAGGCATATTATAAGTCTACCCTGCCTCCTTATGAAAAAGGATCAAACTTTCAGCTCGGACAACAACAACATAGACGATAGCGACAAGATGATCTCGTTCGCCCCCACCCCCGTCTTCTCAGGCACATGGTATCACCATCGACCGTCCGTCCCGTCCCCCCTCTCCTCCTCTCCAGTCCGCGCCTCGTCGCCCCTCTCGCCCAGCGAAAACAACACGCTCTCCATGTCGCAACGCCATACCCAGTCCTCGCCCATCCAGCCCTCCTCCAAGTCCAAGTACGCGTCGCGTCCGACGCGGCCGAACCCCGTCGTCCGCAAACGCGAGGACGCCCAGGACATGAGACGCAGGAACTTTTTGCAGAGCGTGCGCCAGAAGTCGGAGGAAAAGCAATGGCTACGGAGGGATATTGAAGGACAGGTACGTTTTCTGCTTCCCCCTAACCCCCCCTCTGGGCAACCCAGAAAGCAAATGCTGACATCGAACTCTACTACAGCTCCTCAAGGCTAGCTACCTAGACACCATGGACTTGCTATCACATGGCGCTCCCGAGCTCTCAGATGCCGATATTGAAGATGCAATGGCCCTCGAAGCACAATTCCAGCAGCAGCTGAGGCAGCGGCATAATGGAAACCTTGCTGCTGCTACCGCCGCCGGCGATGACATGGCCATGTACGACGATGAGCTGCCACCTGATGAGGACGAGGAGATGGACGCCCTGGTGGCATCCTACCAAGAACAGGTGGCGGTACCTACACAGCGCCCTGAGTCGCCGTCGACCATGACCGATGATGACTATGACGACATCTTTGCCGAGCTTATTGCGCAGGAGCGCCAGCGCCTACCGTCAACGTCAGAAGATGTGCAGATGGACACTGCCGAGTAGCATTTGTGCATACTCAATGATTGCATTCGGTTCTCTGATTTGTACATTCATACTTTCTACTACTACTAATACTTGATTCGGCTACGGCTGGCGTTTGGACGCAACCGGGTACTGGTCATACTTGGGGGCATATCTTGTTCTTGTTCCCCCCTGGCGTTTGGGGAACCACATGCAATGGGTATTTTATTATACTCGTACGGGTTTTGCTGTTCTCTGAGTATACGCACATCTTTCTCTACCATCGGACTGGGTCCGGGGTATATGTATATAATTGATGTATATGCATATCGATTTGGCCATGTCCAATGGTGCCGAGAAAAAGTGGTGAAGCAAAAAGGACACGGAGAGCAAACCACCTCTACTGGGGATTGCACTGCTCATCTGATCCGTTAAAGGCTTCCTGTGCCGACTCCATGTCCCCCACAAGGTCTGACGGCGGAGATCCCGCGGCTTGCATCTGATTTGTGTTAGCAAAAACCGTAAAGGGGAAATGAGAGGAATGGATATGGGTAACATTCATTACCTTTTGCATCTTGTCAACAATGTATTCCCGGTGGGCTGTACTCGAGTCGGAGTACGAAGTCTCTTCGAACTTGGCGACAATCTCAGCCACCAGGACTCTTTGCTCCTCATATCGCTTGAGGTCTTCGGCCGATGTCTCTGACCGGTTCTTATCGAGCCACTCGGGGAACTTCTCGTTGAGTTCCTTCATGGGCTCATACAGGATCTCCTTGTTAGTCAACTGCTCCATCATGCCCATAAGCATCTTGGAGAACTCCTCCTCGCCGCCCTCGCCGCCCTTGAAGTCACCGGACGAGAGCTGTTTAAGCATCTCGGTCATGAAGTCGTCCTCGCTGCTTGACGCGGCCGCCGCCGTGGCTTGGTCGCCAGAATTCTGCATTCGCTCCATCGTTCGGCGGATCGTCTCCTGGAACGATCCGTCTGTAGAGGCTGCAGGCCGGTCTGCAGCGGCGCCGCTGGCAGACTTGGCGGCCGCTGTACCGGTAGTGCTGGGCCGCATACCCGGCGCACCACTGGCATCCTCTGCCCCTGCAGAAGCATTTATCTGCTTGAACATTTCCTCGAACTGAGACTGCATGTCGGGCTGTTCCGGCATATGTTGTTAGTGTGGAGGGCTGGAAGAGAGTTTGACAGGACTGACCGATTTTTCGAATTCGCCCAACAGGTCAGCCATGCCTGCCTGCAGCTGCTTGGCAAAGTCCTCATCCGAGAAGTCTTCCCCAAGCCCTGCGAATGGTGACTCGGCTTTTTTGGTGTGATCATCTTTGGCCTCCGTCTGTGCGGGCTGCGCCGTCGCCGGATGAGGAGCGGCCTCGCTTGGCTTCTTCGTGTCTAGCTTGACAGATGAAAACTCGTCCAGCATGTCTATATATCATATGTTTTAGCTCTAGGCAGCATGGAATTGCAGAGGGCGGCGTAGGAAATTTCAACATACCATCCAGGTCGTCTAGATCGTCCTCATCGGGGTCCGGAACATCGGCCTCGAGTGCTGCCTCACCGGGGGAATTCTCAGTGGGCTTCACATGCTCTGCTACTTCTGCGGCGGCAGCCGTTGCATTCACCTCCTCCTTGGCTGAGCTCATGGTAAAACAATCGTGATGGCGCTACAAGATTAGAAAATCCGAGCTCTGATATCCCACCGAACAGCTTCTGCACGGGTGTTAACAGCTGCAGGACCTGCGTGATGAAATGGATGCTGCGTGCATGTGCCGAGGCTGGTTGATGTAGGTGATCCAAGCAAAGCTCGGTGAGCAAAGAGAGAGACCCGAGGTGTAGAATTGCCGTACAAAAGAAGCAGAAAGTTTTGGTTTGACGGGACCAGAGGAGCTCGTGTGCCTTGCGCAAATGAGAATCAGTAAGTCGGCAAGAATATTTGGTGCATCTCGGCCAGATTTCTCTGCGGTTCGATGGTGAACCGAGGGAGGGGGACCATAGGCGACGTGGGGAAGGTCATAATATGCCCCACGTCACTCGGGCGTCTGTTTGCTGCTGCAGAGCCCAGGAGGTTGCCGTCAAGGGCTTGTTGTTGCGCTGTAATACAGAGACGGGCCAGCAGCTTCCCAAGCACCGCGAGGCCCGGCCTAGCCACTGTCAGGTGGCCAGCACCAGGCAGTCAAGTGGCGCAGCTTTCAATAACGCGAGGGCATGGACGCCACAGTTAGCTACGTGGGGGATTAGAGCCCGCGGTGCCTATTGTCTTCCATCGATCGTCACCGAGATATAGCCTTTTTCTTGCTGATTTGTAACGCCCTTCTCTCTCTTTTCCAAGTGACACAACCAGCCTCCTGGTACGGGCTTGCGCATAGTTCCCCTGTCCCCCTTGGTGGTCCGCAAGTTGCCAACTACCGTGAACTCCGACCGCCGCACGACTTCTTGCGACTTCGAACTCTCCATAATCACCTCGCCTGTCGCCTATTCGAGGCGCACGAGAACGACAACCTAACCTACCTACGGATCGAGAGTAATCATCTCATCCATCATGGCCTTGTGTCAGAATCGTCTACAGGAGGAGCGGTAAGCACCTCTCTGCCCCAGGAGCAGGCGCGAAGAGAAAGGCGACGAACTTGATGATGCTGACGCTCGCCCAAAGGAAGCAGTGGCGCCGCGACCACCCCTTTGGCTTCTACGCAAAGCCGTCCAGGACAAAGGAGGGTATCCTCGACCTCAAGAACTGGGAGTGCGGAATCCCCGGAAGGGAGAAGACGATCTGGGAGGGCGGCCTGTTCAAGCTGACCATGGCCTTTCCCGAAGGTGAGGAGAGGATGGGCCGCACTACGATGGATGAAACAGCGTTGCTGACCACTTATGTGATACGTAGAATACCCGACAAAGCCACCCAAGTGTGAGTTACGCGTCTAGAACCTCCTTTGTCTCGTTGTCATTGCCGCTAATGCCTAAAATTGCTGACTTGAGAATGGTAGGCAAATTTGTCCCACCTCTGTTCCACCCCAACGTCTACCCTTCTGGCACCGTATGCCTGTCCATTCTCAACGAAGACGAGGCCTGGAAGCCCGCCATAACGGTCAAGCAGATCCTCCTGGGAGTTCAGGACCTGCTCAACGACCCCAACCCCGAGTCCCCTGCGCAAGCGGAAGCGTATAACCTGTTCAGGAAGGACCGGGTGGAATATGAGCGAAGGGTCAAGCGCGTAGTGCGCGACAATCCGGCTCCGTGAAGAGAAAATATGACGGTCTTTCGATGGAAATGAGACTAGGTGGATCAGTAAGGAAGACCAGAAGATCCTGCTAGATGAACCTTTTATGGCGTTTAAGGGCAGGGACACGAAGAAAGCAAATACTACGTTTGATGATATGGATCTTTCCTTCCGGCGCTGTTTCGTTTCTCTTCCGTATTACAATACGAGACGCATTCGGCATGGCTTAGGGGACAACGGCACGTGCTGGCTACAGAGTGGTTGCCAGCAGAAGTAAGAGATCAGATTAATTAATCAAATAGCCTGACTTATTGGGCCATGAATGATATCAGAGCCATACTGGAAATCGTTCTGGTGTAGTGTTAAACATGCGCTAAAGAGTTCCGCACTGAGTATCATCTGCAAGAGTGGGAAAAGCGGTTGCTACACCGTAAAAATGCGTGCGGATGGCGACGTACTCATACTCGTTTGTCGTAGATAGAGAGAGCCGCCTGTTATCGGAGCCGCAGGGGTCTTGCGGGAGGGATGAATCCTGTAACAGGACAGGTACGACTATCTGATCTAAGGCCTGCACCAATGGCGACGGGCCGATTTGTTGGACGATGAGCTTACTACCAATAACACGAATACCTATTATCTTACGAGTATTATTTTTACAGCGATTTGTATTGTGGGCTGCCACTATCTTAGCAGGATATGTACAGGCAATGATGATGAAAATTGGACGGGAGAGCCGAAGTCGGCCGTGGTGTCCCGCAGTCAATCAATTGTCACTGAGTCTCAGCGCGTCCTAGCGACCCCCAGTGTGCCCGAAACAGGGCCAAGCAGGGCCCCAGGCCCCCCCCCCCCCCCCCCCCCCCCCCCCCCCCCAGCAGGAGTCGGCGGCGAGTCACAGCGGAGCCATCGCACCTCTGGTTCCTCCGTCTGGACCCTCGCCGCTTGAACGCCGCCTCTGTCGGAACCCCCCCCCCACCAAGTTCTGACTCTTTCGGCGCTGCCACTTTTTTTTTCTCCCACCCAAATCTTGTGCCCCTCCCCCGGCTTTTATCTATTTTTTTTACTTCCCAACGCCTACATACACACACACGTCGGTCCTTGTTTCCCCAGACCTCTGGATAATACCAAGCTCGCAATCATGTGTGGAATTTTTGCTTGCCATCGGTGAGTGAAAGAATCACGCCTCCTTCCTCTTGCCCCTCAAACTGGCTCGTGGTAGCAGTTGTGGGCTCTTTCCTTTGGAGGGGCAGCAACCGCCACCCCGCCATGACGGACGATTTCTGCCTGCGATTCGACGGCAACAACAACGAAAAGAACCATTTGGCGGCTAACTAGAATACTCAGTCACCCCGACGTCCAAAAATTTAAGCCTACGGCTCTGAAGCTCGCTAAGCAGTACGTCGTCCTCTGCGAATCTTGGAGGAGTGTGACTGACCGTTGTGCGCTGTGCAGGATCCGCCATCGTGGCCCCGACTGGAGTGAGTTCGCGAGGCCTTTCGACGACAAGCACGAGCCGTGCCGCTGCTAACACATGTTCCCAAAGGCGGAAACGTCATCTCTAACAACACCAGTAGGTCAATTGAGAATTTAACTGCGGACCTCTTTCAAAACTGATCTGCCTTCTAGTCCTCTGCCATGAGCGTCTCAGCATTGTCGGTGTTGGTGAGTCTCGCCCCTCCTCTTCCACGCCACTGACCAAACATCAAATATATGAGCAAAGGCTGATGATTCTCCCTCTCTACAGAATCCGGTGCTCAGCCCCTGACCAATGCCGACGACTCCATAATCCTCGCCGTCAACGGTGAGATCTACAACCACCGTCTGATTCGCAAGGCTCTCAAGAACGAGTACCACTTCAAGACGCACTCCGACTGCGAAGTCATCATCCCCCTGGTGTGTAATCACCTTCCCCTAGAGTCCATATCAACGATGCGGCATGTGCTGTCCTGTAGAAATCGCTGTCTAACAATGCTGAAAAGTACACCGAGTATGACATCGACGCCCCTAGCCACCTCGACGGCATGTTCTCATTTGTCCTGTACGACAAGAAGCAGGACCGCACCATTGCCGCTCGTGACCCGATCGGCATCACTACCTTCTACCAGGGATGGTCGTGGAAGGAGCCGGGCACCGTGTACTTTGCCTCGGAGCTCAAGTGCCTGCACCCTGTGTGCGACAAGATTGTGGCTTTCCCCCCCGGCCACGTCTACGACTCCAAGACTGGCCAGACGACTCGCTACTTCAACCCCAAGTGGTGGGACCCCAAGAACGTCCCCTCGACGCCCGTCGACTACAGGGTGCTCCGCCATGCCTTGGAGAAGTCTGTGAGGAAGCGCCTCATGGCCGAAGTCCCCTTCGGTGTCCTCCTCTCGGGTGGTCTCGACTCGAGTCTGGTCGCGTCCATTGCCCAGCGTGAGATCCTCCGCCTCCAGAAGAAGGCCCTGGAGAACGGGGTTGCCGTCCCCATCACCTCCGAGACTAGCGGTGACGCTGACCGTGGCGAGGGCCTTGTCGGCATCGACGACAACGACAACCTGTCGACCGAGACCTTCCTGCCTCAGCTCAACAGTTTCTCCATCGGCCTGCCTGGGTCGCCCGACAACGAGGCTGCCATCAAGGTTGCCAAGTTCCTGGGCACGCGCCACCACGCCATGACTTTCACCATCGAGGACGGCCTCAACGCCCTCTCCGACGTCATCTACCACCTCGAGTCGTACGACGTGACGACGATCCGTGCCTCGACGCCCATGTTCCTCCTGTCGCGCAAGATCAAGGCCATGGGCATCAAGATGGTTCTGAGTGGCGAGGGCAGCGACGAGACCTTTGGTGGCTACCTGTACTTCCACGCCGCCCCCGACAGGGAGTCGTTCCATGAGGAGACGGTCCGCCGCATCAAGAATCTCCACTACGCCGACTGCCTGCGCGCCAACAAGTCGACGGCAGCCTGGGGTCTCGAGGCCCGTGTTCCCTTCCTCGACAAGGAGTTCCTCGAGACGGCCATGAACATCGACCCCACCGACAAGATGATCACCGAGGGCAAGATCGAGAAGTACATTGTCCGTAAGGCCTTCGACACGACCGATGAGCCCGAGACGGCGCCGTACCTGCCCGACGAGATTCTCTGGCGCCAGAAGGAGCAGTTCTCGGATGGTGTCGGCTACGGATGGATCGATGCTCTCAAGGACAACGCCGAGTTGCACATCACCGACGACATGATGAAGAACCCTAAGCCTGAGTGGGGCACCGATGTCCCCGACACCAAGGAGGCGTATGTATTGCCTGACTACCACTCAAGATGGGAGCGCAGTGAAACTGACTCTTCTTCTCCCCTCAGATACTGGTACCGTCTCATGTTTGACGAGCACTTCCCCCCTCGTTGCGCCTCTACCGTCCAGCGCTGGGCCCCTACGTGGTCCAAGCAGACGGACCCCAGCGGCCGGTGAGTTTTTCTTCCTCTTGGATCTCCATCTCCACCAGCGAGAGATGCATATCAGAACCTAACAAGAGTTGCAGTGCCATCTCCATTCACAACCAAAAATACGACAGCTCTGAGTAAACAGAAAAAGCAATGGGTAGAGACAATAGAGGTGATCTATATCGGGCGTTTTGTTTTAAGATAGATGGACGACGGGATGCTCTTTTCTTCTCTTTATTCTTTCTTTTCTTTCTTTTTTCTTTTGGAAAAGCAAATGCAAAATGTCAAGAAATAAAAAAGGAAGAAAAAAAAAATCCATGTACAAGTTGAGAGACCCCTCCCTATTCATGGAAGGTACTAATTGGGGTGAGATGATGATGTACGTGACGATGTACACCTTTCCTCTCCTTTCACGGGGAACTTGAATTCATAGGCCGTGCATATAGTTGCGGGCTTGATTACCATGTCCTGCCGCGTTCATGCCACCAAACAGGTAACATCGCGATTCCAGAACCAGCCATGTGGGCATATCGTGTGTGACATGTGTGTCGCGAGCGCGCATCTCAGCCTCAGTCCTCTCTATGCTCCATGCAATATGGCGATCTACATTGAGTACGGGTACGCAAAGCAACCGCGAGATACAGTAGACCTGCATGCATTGTTATTGCAGTGGTACCTTGGGGAGTCACGGTGAGCCAAACTTGCATGATGCGCGCCGCTGTCTTTGGGAGGGGGGGGACCGGCCTGGACAGGAAGCAAGGGATGTGGGGACCGCAGAGTTTGGCAGAGTGGCAGAGGGTAGACGGAGTGATACGAGCGCGCAACGAATGGAACTGCTCCGTGGTAGTCACTTTGCTACAAACTCGGCAGTGAGCGCGTTGTCACTTGGAAGTTGGACGGTGGTGAATGGTTGGGAGATGGGTATGAGACTACACCGTACACGAGTAAGTATCATTACTCCGTACATGTAGGGAGAGACGGCAGACCGAAGGACGAAGGGTGTTGTTGTACATCCCACGTGGGTAGGAAGGGTTTGGTGTCCCGACATTAGCCGACGTGTTTGTCACTGATGATCACTGTTTACCTGTAGGCTGCAGTACAGATAGTATCGATTTACCACAGATCGTAATCTAATCTTAACGGCAGTTCTACAGTCGATGAATACCGTACGAATGAGAAAACTATACGCGGCATTACGAGTCAAAGCATTGCCTGAGAGGTATTGCTCGGCACTACTCGCCATACCACGACGTGGAGTTGACGATGGTGTAGAGCGTAGCCCATGGGTGGTGGTGGTATCAGTACCTGTACCCGAATGATGCCCCGTATGCAAGGCCCCAACATAAGTGCCCTGTAATAAATTAGGGTCAAGAAAAGAAAAAGATTAAAAAAAAAAAGGCATGGAGTGTAGTAGCATTCTGATGCACTCGTACCAGTTACTAGGCACGCAGTTGGCCATTTCGGGTACGACGTAACTGACGCCTTTTCTTGCCCGACGAATGGAGCTTCACCATTGGCCAATTTTCCCAACAAGGCCCTCTTACCTCCCTCCCCCCGGCTGTCGACATTTTCCGTTCCCCAGTTATTAGTGCGTCCTGTTGCCTTCCGCCCGATTCCATCAAAGCTCTCTCGTAGTCCCCCGTCAACACGCAAGTTATTTCAAAACCTCATCCTCATCTTTTTTTTTTCTGCTCCTTCTCTCCCCCACCGAGAAGTCCACACATTCCCGTGTCTTCTACTCCTCACACATCGCCCATCATGTCTGTCCCCGCCTACACTGATATTGCCAAGCCGGCCAACGATGTATGCGCTCTATTCTCCCTTTTTTTCCCTCTTCTGCCTTGCTTGCTCGCTCCCCTATCTACAATGCTGCAGGAGGGGGGGAAGCTTACCCTCCGAGGCCATCGCCGGAGGGGGTGAAAAGCTTGTCTGAAAAGTCCCTCGATCATTGCTGGGATGATGTTCGGCTATCATGATCATGTGAAGCAATGCTGACTCCGAGGCGTCCTCTTTTCGCCATGATGCGTGTAGCTCCTCAACAGGGATTTCTACCACCTTGCCGCTACCACCTTCGAGTTCAAGGACACCGCCCCCAACGGTGTTGCCTTCAAGGTCACTGGAAAGTCCAGCCACGAGAAGGCCACCTCTGCCGCCGTAAGTTGACGCGCTCGTCTCTCTTCAGGTCCCCAGCTGCTCCGTCGAGATGGCTGGATGGATAGATCAACGAAGAGATATGCTGACCGACATATGGATGGCAGATTGAGGGAAAATACTCGGACAAGCCTACTGGTACGGAACCCCAACACCTCAATGTAACAGTGGCCAAGACGCCGAGAGGGGAGAATTCGAGGACACCAGCTTCATCTCATCCCCAAGTCAGCATACAGGTGTCACGAATACTTGGCCGCCACAGCGGCTGGCCCTTTGAATTCTCGGCACTCATCCGGCCAGGTGATGCCGATAGTTTTAAGCAGGTGCTAATGCTCTACAAACACGCAGGCCTGACCCTTACCCAGTCGTGGAACACGGCCAACGCCCTCGACACCAAGCTCGAGGTCAACGACTCGCTCGCCAAGGGCCTCAAGCTTGAGGGTCTCTTCAACTTCCTCCCCGCCACCGCCGCCAAGGGTGCCAAGTTCAACCTGCACTTCAAGCAGCCCGGCTTCACCGGCCGCGCCTTCTTCGACCTTCTCAAGGGCCCCACCGCCAACGTCGATGCCGTCGTCGGCCACGAGGGCTTCCTCGCCGGTGCCTCTGCCGGCTACGACGTCAACAAGGCTGCCCTGACTGGCTACAGCGCCGCCGTCGGCTACGCCGTCCCCCAGTACAGCGCCGCCGTCACCGCCTCCGACAACCTCAGCGTCTTCGCTGCCTCTTACTACCACAAGGTCAACAGCCAGGTTGAGGCTGGTGCCAAGGCCACCTGGAACTCCAAGACCGGCAACACTGTCGGCCTCGAGGTTGCCTCCAAGTACCGCATCGACCCCGTCTCGTTCGCCAAGGTTTGTTCTCCCTTCTCTCCCTCTCGTCGTCTGTGTGGACTGCAATTGACCATTCTTTCTACCCGTACAGTTCAAGATCAACGACCGTGGTCTGGCCGCTGTTGGCTACAACGTCCTCCTCCGCGAGGGCGTCACCCTGGGTCTCGGTGGCTCTTTCGACACCCAGAAGCTTGACCAGGCTACCCACAAGCTCGGTGCCAGCTTCACCTTCGAGGGTTAAGCACCGTAGCTCCCTCTTGTTCCAGCCTGCCCACTGTAACCGCGTCGAGTTTGTAGAACAGGCCCGCACGTTGGGGCACATGACAACAATACCATATTTTAGAGAACTAGAGAAGGCGGTCGCAGATAGCGATGTGTTTATTCCTGTTCCTCTGTGTACCGCTGTTGAAAGATTCTTTGCATTGCGATGGATATCCAGGGATGTAGAGTGTTAATACAGAAACAAAAAGAGCTCTGTTGTCATGTGACCACTGTACTCACACTTTTTCCATTCTGATAAAGAAAGTGGATGCGGCGATGAGCTACGGTCTACGGAAGGCTTGTATTCTATCAAAGGTATTCAAACATGGTATTCAAACATGTCAGTATATTATTATTACCGGCAGCACACCTGAATTTGCCTCGCAGTATGACGCATACCCCGTAATGCAAATGTCGCTGATAGTGAATATGTATATGTATAAAAGAAAGAAGGTGTGCATGAAGCAAATAAAATTAAGATAACGCTTTTCATGTTTTCTAAAACCCATGGATACCACTTTCCCCGAAAATTCCATTACGTGCCACTTTCTTTTCTTTCTCTTCTTGTCCCCCGCTTGTTCCGTTTCATGCCTGTAGCCGCTGCTGCTGCGGCTGCTGCTGGGAATTCCTGCCGTTGTTCCTGTTCCTCGCGGAGCGTAGATACCAAGCCGGCAGAGCGAAGCTGGCGGCCAGGAGGGCGAGGATGACGGCGAAGTGGGCACCTATGGTCATCTGTGGCTCGAACTCGACGTTGTCCTCGTCTACGGCGCGCCTGGCGCGGTGTGCCCTCTGCCAGCGCCTGTCATCCTCCCGACGCTGGGTGCGCACATGGCTGTCCCTGTCGAAGTGGGGGACGCCGCCCCTGGTGTAGTCTGCGGCCGACTCGGCGAACTTTGAGGAGGAAGAGGAAGAGGGGGAGGCGCCGGAATACGTGCCGTAGGCGCCGTAGTAGCCGCTCCGCGTGCCCGTCGACTCCTCGTGCGCGCGACGACGCTTCTCAGCGTGGGCGCCCCACCCTCCCGTGGCGTAGAAGCTGGGCGGGGGGCCGCGGAAGGAGCTGCGTCGACGGGAGAGGCCGGATGGCGGGCGGCCGCCGGTGCTGTGGTACGATGCCTTGGGGTTGTGAGGTTGGTGCTGCTGCGCATGAGATGAGGAGGAGCTGTGGGAGGACCGGGAGTTGAGGCTGAGTACGTCTCGGTCGTAGGAGGCGCGCTTGGATGCGTCGGATAGGACGCCGTACGATTCGGATAGGAGGGAGAAGTTGTGCGAGGCGTTCGGGTCGTGGCGGTTCACGTCGGGGTGATGCGTCTTCGAGAGTCTGTAGAAGGATCTGAGACGGGAACGGGGAAGGGCCGAGCATCAGTCATGGGGGGAGTTCATATATTCTCGGAAAGGGGAGGTGGTAAAGTAGCCGACAGGCAGCGGAGACGGGAAAAGGTGAGAAGAAGAAATTGCAGAGGGGAAGGGAGAGGATACTTTTTGATGTCGGCTGGCGAAGCGTCGTGTCTCACGTCCAGTCGCTCGTAGTGGTTCCGCTTGGCCATCTCGGGATTCATCAGGGCGCGAGACGTCGCCAGCCCGCGCCGCGCGCACAACCGCGGCACTCCCGCATGGTGTCCCTTCCTCTGCCGTTGGGATATGCTGCTTCCGCCGCCTGCGCCTGTGCCTGCGCCTGCGCCTGCGCCGGCGCCTGTGCCTGTGGCGCTCGGCAGACGTGCCGAGGGGAACCGTAGCATCGGCATGGTAGGTTGTCTGGCGAGAGAAGAGAAGAGCTTCCGACAACTTGGCGCGGGGCGTATACCCGACAAGGAGGAAGAAGAAGAAGAAGAAAAAGAAGAAGAAGAAGAAGAAAAAGAAGAAGAAGAGAAGAGAAGATGAGAGAGGGAGGAGGGGGGGGGGGGGTTGGGTCTAACACCGGGGATCCAGAGTTTTCCTTCACACGAGAGAGATAAAGTACGGAAGTAGAGAGCCCGGAGATCCGAGTATACCAACGGAGCAAAAATGGCACTGACACGGGTGGTTGCGAGTTCGGTGGTCTCTCTCTCCAGCTGGGGGGCCCGATGGGTCGGAGGGGCGGCTGTTGTCGTTTTGGCAATGACGCACGGGCTGGTGCGGTGGAGGGACACTATCGTATATGGGTATCTGTACTGGCTGGTTGTACTCGCTACGGAGTATACGTACATGTATGCGTGTCCACGGTCCCCTCTTATGCATTTAAGCGGGGCGGTCCTGCTGGGCAAGTCTCACTGTGTGTGTGAGAGAGTACGATTCCTTCCTACTCTTTACATGTAATATTCGTAGAGCCTCGTGATATAATTGTCCTTTCGAATCCCCTTCGCTCCTTACCAATACTCTTCCCACTCTCCATACTCGTCACTACGAGCACGTGTGCTCGTACTTGGTACTTATTGTTCGCGAGAAGAAGAAAAAAGGCCGGGTTTAGTTTGTACCTCCTGGCGGGGACCGGACCCATATTGGTACCCCATAAGTGCCCACCTAGAATCCTTATCAATCAGTCACCCTCATCCATCACCAACTCTCCTCCCTCTCTCAAGTCGCTCGGAAACGTACATGCAAACTCGAAGAGGCTCTGGATGGTGGGATAGCTCGATATTCGTATATAGCGAAGAATTATATCTCGTGTGTGTTCTGAAATAGATGGAAACTGAACAAGCAGAGAAACACCACAACGCCATTTACCCATATATACACACACATACACACACACACACAAAAAAAAAAAAGAACCCCCGATCACTGCTCCCAACAGCCGCATGGACCCATCCATTCGGTACATCTGATAAGATACTGATGTTTTTCTTCGGAGCCGCAACTGCCCTGGTCCCCCCCTATAAATCGGGCCGGTCTCATCTTTCTCACCTACTACCTGTCTATACCCAGTGATGAGTACTAGCAGTAGTAGAGGGAAAAAAAGACATCCAGGGGTTACGGAGATCAATAGCTCCTCCGGCATCGCAGCCGCATTCTGCTTGCTGTCTCCTCTTTTTTTTTGATTAGTCTGGTTTCTCTCTTTGTACTTCCTTGTCGTTCCTTTTGTCGTCATTTCCTTTTTTTTCTTTTTCTTGTATGTCTTTATTGTCGGTTTTGTCGTCATCTATCATCTTTGTCTGATGTGGTGACTGCCCTCTCTCTCTCTCACTGTGGGCGTTTGAACGGGTGGGCCTCAGTGTTGAAAACCCACTCGTCAAGGCTCGTGTTGCTCTCGTCATCGAAGATGAGGTAAAAGTATTTGAGAGTCTCACCCATCCAAAAAGTCTGTATATACAAGGGTCAGTTGAATGGTTTTTTTTTTTTTTTTTTTTTGTTCTTTGTTCTTCCTGATAAAGTATGATCTTGCGGGGATGCGTGTCGTGTGTCGGAACCCACCTCCATAGAGTCAATCTTTGCACTCGAATGTTTGGTGACGTCGGCAATGGACGCAAACGCCATCTCCGTCTCCGTCTCGCGCACGAGGCCCTCCCACATCCTCCAAGCGGCCTCGCGCCAGGTGTGGTCGCCGGTGATGCGCCACATGTAGAAGACGCTCTCGATGGCCTCGGGCCTCAGCAGGTACTTTGGGTTGGGCATGCCGACGAAGCCCTCGGGCAGGGTCCTGGCGCGGCCCTTGGGCAGGGCGTCGCTGTCGAACGGACAGGGGCCGTCGATGGCGGCGCAGGCGACGAGCCGCGACTTCTCGGGCATCAGGTTGGTGGAGAAGGCGTCGTAGGCCCAGACGCAGCCCGAGGTCAGGCGGGCGCCGACGTCGACGTAGTCGGAGCGGCCGAGCAGCTTGCCGGCCAGGCCGTACATGCCGCCGGCGAAGCAGGTCAGGTGTTCCATGTCGGCGGTGAAGGTGCGGCCGGGGCCCTGGCCGTCGTCCTCGACGACGAGGCTGCCGGCCAGCAGGATGTCGGCGTCGGCGGGGGTCATGGGGCGGAAGAGGAGGTTGTCGCGGATGGCGTCGAGGGCGCTGACGGTCATGGCGACGTATTCGGGGTCCTGGCCGCCGAGGAGGGCGTGCATCTTGGGGAGGTACTCGTAGAGCGAGTCCATGCCGGCGCCCAGGTTGAACCTGTGGCCGTCCACGACCTCGTCGCGGTAGTTGAGGTCGTGGGGCCACAGGCCGGGCACGGCGGTCTCGTTCTGCGAGCGGCGGAAGAACTGCTTGAGGCGCTCGGTGGCGTCGTAGTACTTGGGGTCGCCGGTGATCTGGCTGAGGCGCGTGAACTCGAGGCACATGGTGCCGCCGGCGGCGCCCGACATGGACTCGTCCGCGAGCTGGTCGCCGCGGCGGACCGTCTCGTACGACAGCCAGCGGGGCGGGAAGCGGTTGGGCGTGTCGAAGGCGGCGTACATGGCGTCGCCCAGCTCGACGGCCTTGGCCAGCAGGGCGGGCTCCTCGGACAGGTCGTAGGCGGCCAGGAGGCCGCCGAGGTAGCGGATGATGACCTCGAACAGGTTGATCCTCTCGTCGGACGTGGTGGCCCAGTCGATGACGGCCACCTCCTTGACGGCGCGGCGGAACTCGTCCTTGAGGTCCATGATCCACAGCGTGTCCATGGCGTCGACCAGCTGGGCCGACCAGCCCGACAGGCTCTGCTTGCCCTTGCCCGACAGCGGCATGAGCTCGTCCTTTGTCCAAGCGTGGGCCTTGTAGGCCTCCCAGCTCTTGACGAACTTGGTCCTGATGATCTGCTTGCGCTTGGCGGCGATGTCGTCCTTGATCATGGCCGACGTCGTCCGGGCCTGGACGCGCGGGAACGTCTTGGGCCAGCTGGACGGCGGCCACTTGATGTCTCCGGGCGGGTACTTGGGCGTCACCTTGGACCAGTCGAAGGTCGACGGGAGGTACTTGAAGCTGTCAATGACCTTGGGCTCGGTCGATGACGTCGACGACGTCTCCGAGTACGAGTCTGACGGTGCCAGGCTGAAGCCGTGCCACAGCACCACGCAGACAAGGAAGAAGACTACCACGATCACATAGCGACGGGTGTGCGATCCCAGGATTCCGCTCAACATGGCTGGTGGCGGCGGCGGTGGCACATTCCCTCGTTCTATTCAGTATGTGCGTGTGCGCGCACGGCCTTCGTTCTCCCTCGCTCGTTTATAGCAGGTACTACGATACGTCGGTGTTGTAGCTCGTTATCGTCTGGTAGTCTCGGTGCGTCGAATGGTCCGAAAAGGGGGTCACGACCGTATACGGGTAAAGGGAAGGTAGGTGATGTATAGGAAGAGAGAAACAGGGTGGGAGGAGGAGGAGGAAAGATGATGGTTTTCGGCTGGTCGGATCGCGACCCTTTTTTTTTTTCTCTCTTCTCTCTCTCTCTCTCTCCCTCCTGCCCCGTGCCGTTGGCAACCGGGGCGTTTATGTGGCGTCTGGACCTTGTTCTTGGCGTGCAAGGTGACGGTGGAATGGTATGGTCTTGGTCTGTCTTGCCAAGAAAGTACGGTACCAGTCACGGGTACTCGCAGCTGTCACTCGTAAGATGGACGGAGAGGGGGTAGAAGGGAATAAGCAGATGTAAGGGAAATGGGGAGACGGGAGACGGATGCGACAAGTGCAATACGGCGGAGGTGTAATGGATCATAATACGAGTAGGAGTAGTAGCAGTAGTCCAGCATAGCGTAGTTGAGTGGCAGAGTGGGAACAGAACCGGAAACTGGGCTGACACACGTAGAGCAAGAGACGTAGGTGAGAGGCCGATTACGAGCAGCATCTATGTCGTAATGCTACGTTGAAATACCACATGTGCATTGCAGTGCTCTGCAGATAATAGTCCGTTGCTCCCTTCCTTTCTTCTTTCCATTCTTTTTATTTTCTTCCTTTCTACTATCTCTTCCTACCTTGTTCCTGCTTCTCCTCTCATCATCCCTCTCTTACCTCCCCTTCTTCATCTTCACCTTCTTCTCTTCCTATTCCATCGACACCTCGTAATATCCTTCAGATGTGGCTGAGCTGAGCCACTCTACGACCCATATCTGGCTGTAATATTGCAGATCGCCAACGCATCACCTATCTCTCCCTTCATACGCATCATTTTTTTTTTCCAGCTACGAGAGTAGGAGGAACCAACCAGCGCTCAGGTCTATTCACATTCTGGCTAGGAACAAATAGGATAGCCTGGCCTAGAGGCTAGGAAGAATTATTATTAGCGTGCCGCGCTCTCTCTCGCCTTTTACGTCCTAGCCTTCTCCCCCGAGGGTCCGGATCCCCTTTAATGAAACCTGTGAGCAAGCGAGAGCTCAGTGCCAAGCAGCCGAGCAAAGCTGAGCTTTACTGGATAGTCCGTACGGTATCACGATATGAGTACGAGTACATCGATATATGTGTGTGTGCATACTCGTAATCTGTACTGATACATGATAGTCGCGATTTTTTTTTTTGATTTTTTTGATTTTTTTTCTTCACTACTTTGTAGGCCTTTCAATAGATCCTCTTCCCCTTCGGGGCCCTTCTCTCCATATTCCCCTAGGCTAGCTAAGTAATAAGCTGCCCCCCTCCCCCTGTCTCGCAAGGTTCGGCCAAGATGCTGTAAACCCGACAGAATTTGACACACAGCTCTGATCTGATCCGTTCTTGTTCCATTCTCCCCGAATGTCTGTCTCCAACCCGTCTGCCTTTCCATTTTCTTCTTCTCACCCTCATAAATTGTTCATTGATTCCTCTCTCCTCGGTCTCGACAAACCCCCCCTTCCCAATCAGGTCACTTATTGAACAGCCCATAGCAGTCGCTTTGCACCGCTGCACGTATTACAGCACCGTCTTCTATTGCATATTATTACTCCCTCGTACAGCTTGCATGACATTATTGAATAGCACTGCCACGCCAATCTTAACCATTTCTTAATTTCTGACTGATGACCTCACTGGCTTTGAAGCCCTCCCGTCCCCTCCCGTCCCCTCCCCCCCCTCCACCACCCCTACCACCCCTTGCCCATCCACGTTAACGCTGCTACGTATCAAATTACTGACGCTTTGCAAGCTGGGTGGTAGAGCATCATCGCATCATAGACTGGCTGCACCTATCCCATCGTCTGTCTGGGCCCTGGCCCATCCCACTCTTCACCAGTCATCCTCTTGATCGTGACGACTTCAGTCTCTTGAACGTCGCACCTTTTCCGCTACGATTCGGGCAGACATCCGGACACCACCATTCGCTACTGCTCGACCCCGTCGTACTTTTCCTCGGCCCATCTACTCCTCTACCGACGACAGGACAGGACCCATGCACCCGTCAGGCATGCCACGTTTAACGGTAAAGACTGTCATATTGTCTAGCTAAATTCTACCTGATGGCCATACAGAGGAAGGGGGGTGGGAACCAGATCCCGAGCACCGCCTCTGGCCGATTGGCTCGGCAGCTATCCCGCAACTTCATCCACCCACAGATAGCCTGTAGTTGTCAGTCACCTCCGTCCCGTACCTGTCTGTGTGTGTGTGTGTGTGCACCAGAAACCTCATCTGTCGCTGCACACATCACACACCCACCGTCTTTCCCTCCTTCCAAAAATAAATCGACATCTCCGCTCCTACGCCCGCACCGTGCAGCCGACCAAGAAGTCTTGGAAGAGACACGGCTGCAGACGGCTTTGCCTCACCGTATATTGATACTGGCTGGCTTCTGCTTTCCCTGCCCTCTCCCTTCTCCTTCACCACCTTTTCTTTCTCTCTCTTCCTCTCTTTCTTCTTCTCCGTCAGACCGTGAGGAAGGTCTGGTGTCCGTCTGCTCAAAAAAATTATCACGAAAAGATCAGACGCTGGGTCAGTGGTGGGTGGAAGCCTGAGAGGTTCAATAGATCTCTTCCGGAACCATGCGTCCTCGATACCGTCTTTTCCTCCTCCTCGGCCAGGGGCGAGCGGCCGGGGGCGAGCGGCCTAGGCATCACACACACACACACACACACACACACACACAAGCTTGTCGCCTCCCGTAGTGACGGGTGAACCGTGCCTCTCTTGTCTGCTCCGAAAGCAGTCCCATGCCTGGGCATGACTGGTAGGAAAGAGACCATGTACTGCCGTCGCCATCTCGGGCCTCTTCTGTTGCTGCTGCTCTTCTGCATGCATCATCTCTCCTCCCATCAATCGTAGCCCCGTCCGATCTGGCTGTGAAACGCCGTGCTGACGCTCTTCTCGTCGTCGTCGTACCGCCTTCCGTAGCCGTTGCGTCCGTTGCTCTCGACGTACTGCTTGAGCCGGTCACTCTGCGTGTATGAGAGTTGTCTGATGCCCGTCACGGCGTCGTGCAGGCCCGCGCCCAGGCTGGCACCTCCCTGCCCCACGCCGCGCCCGCCAATCACGCTGCTCGACGCGTCGGTGTAGTCCGTCGTCGCCACACTCTCACCAGCCACGCTCTCCGGCCCACGCGACCGGCCCTTGTCGCCGCGTCCGGGGCCCGACACGCCGGGGAGCCCGGGCCACTGATCGGGGCTGAAGTTGGAGAACATGCTGGGGAACGCACCGCCAAGCGCTGCCCCGCCACCCAGAGCCGAGCTGTGCACCGACGAGACGTCGTCGGGTATGTACGACATCGTAGACCCCGTGTCGACGTCGCGACCGGGTGGGCCACGGTGGTCCATCGTACGGCTCCCTACGGGGCCGTACGGCTTCTGACCGTTCTTGGGCCGGTAGCTGATCTTGGGCCGGACCAAGTGCAGGAGGCTCGGCTGGAGGTTGGTCAGGGGGCCCTCGACGAAGCAGTTGCGGTCCTTGAAGTGGACCAAGAGGTTGTGCCACAGCCCGTGCTTGGAGAGGACCTTGGGGTTGCCCAGGATCACCAGTCCGTACTTGGCTCGCGTGAGTGCCACGTTGAGGCGGCGTGGGTCCGAGAGGAAACCGATGCCCTGGTTGTCGTTGGAACGGACGCAGGACAGAACGATGAAGTCCTTTTCACGGCCCTGGAAGGCATCGACCGACGCAACCTCGACCTCCTTGTACAGTTCCTTCCTGTACGTACCGGAGTTCTGCATATTCGTCACGATGTAGCTCCTCTGGCCCTCGTACGGTGTAATGACACCGATCTCCGAGGGCTTCACACCCGCCTTGAAGAAGCGCGTGATTGCCTTCTCGACGTTGGACGCCTCGGTGCGGTTGAGGTACGACGTACCCGACGCCGAGATCTCCTCGAGGCCAAGGTTCGTCCAGAACATCATGGGCATCTCGGGGCGGACCCAAGGGAAGTCGACCTCACGCCTCAGACGTGTCTCGGCCGTCACTCCGTTCTGCAGTTCTCCATTGTAGAACATGTTCGAAGGGAACTCGGACAGGCAAGGGTGCATACGGTACTGCGTATTGAGCATCGCGGGCTCGCGCCCCAGGTTTACGAGGCGCTCAAAGAGGGACTGGTTTAGTCCGGCCTTGGCAGCCTGCTTGTTCATGATGACGGGGCCCAGCTGCTGGTGGTCGCCCACGAGAACGAGCTGCTTGCACCCGAGTACGAGAGGAATCAGGCACTCGGGCTCGGCAGACTGCGTCGACTCGTCGATGAGGACGTTGCGAAACTTCATCTTGGACAGACGAGGGTCGCCAGCACCTACACACGTGCAGCACACGACGTCGGCATTGGTCAGGATCTCGCGCTCCGCCATCTTCGTCAGCTGCTTGTACTTCTTCTCGTCCTGGCTCGACAGCTCGCCAACGTCGCTCTTGAGCTGAGCCAGCTTGACGAGCTCGCTGTTGTGCTCTGCCATGCGCACCTGCTCGTGGAGGGCGAGGAAGCTGACCGAGGATTCGACATCCTCGCGCGACTTGGCCGTGAGGCGAACCACTTTCAGGCCAGTCCTATGAATGCGTTCGCAAAGCTGGTCCACGGCGACGTTTGACGGGGCACAGACGAGGACCTGGTTTCCCGAGGCCTTGGCCAGGTGGTAGATGACCGTGGCAGACGTCACCGTCTTGCCAGTTCCCGGTGGGCCCTGTATCAAGGTCAGGGGCTGCTGTAGACAGGACTTGATGGCCTCGACCTGGCTGTTGTTCAGGTCGGGAAGACCGGGTGCGGACCACTTCTTAGGGAGAGCCAGCTTCATAGGCTGAAAGGTCGCAGCGTTGCCGATCAGAGCGTGGAAGATGTATCCCGACACGCTCAGCTCGTCGAGGGCAAAGGTCTTCATGGCGAGCTGCATGCGGTCGTACGACGTTGCCTTCCACACGTAGTCGGCCGAGAAGTTGTGCGACAGGTCCGTGGGGACCAACTTCTCATTTCCCACCTTGCGCAGTTCCAAGGACACCTCGTCCGACTGATTGTTGGGGATCTTAACAACGTAACCCACTCCTTCCCAGGCCGGACGTAGTTCGCCATTGTAGCGCAGCCTCATCTCGTCACCAACAGCAAGCTTGACGTCTCCCGACTCAATCTTGACGAGGTTGAAGCTGACAACGTGCTTGTTGTTCAGTCCGTAGTCCCAGCGAACCATGAGGTTGTCCTCGGACTGTGCCTCCTTGAGCTTCTTGTCATAATCTGATTCCATCTTGACAAGGGGTCCAAAGATATTCTGGTACTGGTACTGGTCCTCGTATTTCAGGAGGACCGGGTTGGGCTCGTCCTCGACGCCGGCTGAGTTCTCGAGATCCACCACCGTAGCCTTGGGCTCAACCTTCCACATCTCCTCCAGCTTGGAGATCATGTTGGGAGTGAGGTGGCGAGCTCGCAGTTGTTCGGCATCGGAGGGAGGTGAAACCAGCCATTCGAGGAAAGCACGTTCGGCAATGAGGGGCTCCCAGCGGGATGTGTCCCAGTTCATGTCCTTGTTGGATGAAGCTGACGCACAGGGCTGTCGGCACAGGAGCACGACAACGGTATCTGACTTGGCAGGGATAAAGCCGAGAAGGAAGGCATTCTTGGTACCGCAGTTGTAGCATTCCAGGACGGTATCCCCAAGAGAGGATTCTGGGTGAAGCTGGACCTCTTTGTGGCGAGCGCGCACCAGGTGGTTGACAATGTGCGTCGAGTTCCCGTTGCCTCGGGAGCTGCAGAACCATTTGTTGCAGTGCAGACACTTGACGACGGAGCTTGGCGAGTGAATGCCGCAGTACCTACATCGTCGGAGAATCAGTTAGTCAGGCTACTGGTCGACCACAGTTCACATGCCGGTCTGTAACTTACGCGCAAGCGTGTGCAGGAAGCTCCTTCTCGTCAGCGTCATCGAGGTTCAGCCCGTCCATACCATCAACAGGACTGCTGACGCTATCATTGTCATTGTCATATGTCTCAGTGGCGTTGTCATCGTCGTCTGCGCGGCGGCGAGAATCGGGGTCGGGCATTTTGCCATAGAGCAAGTTCTCGTCGGTGCCGAGGGCGGAAAAGTCGTCGGTGCCAGCTTTGATGGCAGCGGCCGAGTCAGAAATGAGGTGGTTTCCCACATGCGTGAAAGCACCCTCCATTCTGAAGGCTTCGTTCCGGGTCAGGTGAACTGAAAGCTTCTCCTGGAGTTCGCATAAGCATCAGCGGGTGCCGGCGGGGGTGAGGAGGGGGCGATAGCGACAGATAGGGTATATCTGGAGACCGGGGGGGGGTCGTGGAATGCAGAACCCTGATGCGCTTGTATGAATAAAGTCCGCACCTCTTAGGAAAAATATATGGAAAATCCAGCTCGGATCTTCAGTATTGTATCGTTGGAAATAATCGGAGTTCGTAGGTAGGTCTAGTCGGACTCACATCATCGCGTTCGATGAATGCGCCGGAGTGTTTGTCGCGGTTGAGATGGGGCAAGATCAAGGTTTTCCGATATGGGAGAAGTAAGAGGTCTGTCTAGTTACGCAGTCAACGGCAAGAGTTGCAGATGACAGCGTACGCCACCAGTTCCACTAGTTCCACTGTGATGACTGAATGGGTCAACTTGCAAACTCGAATTGAGGTTATCTAGCGACGTATTGAGTTTCCTCTTGGTGGGACATTTTTGCAGCCACGTGATAAGCTTCGAGAAATAATCTTATCGATAAACGGTCCCGGTGACGCGATAAGCGCATTTTGGGTGCGGTGGTTGCTAATCCGAGCAGAGGAAAAAAAAAAAAAAAAAAGATCATTGTCGTTGATAATATCAGCAACCAACATCTACATATGACACGCTTACTTATCTAACAAAATGATTGTATGTTCACTCCCCTCACAAGAACTGCTGAAATACCTTTTCCAAGGAAATATGCGACTGGAATTCTAACACTTTTGGGGACATTCAGCGAAAGCAAGCACGTCAACGGCGAGACTACCTTTACAGGCGGGCGCTCCTACTACGAGATGCCGAGATCAGCGAAAAGCGAGCCAAGCTGAGGGCATCCCTGGCCTCGGGGAAGCCGCTGGACCCAGAGATTGCTAACGACAAGGCCCTAAGGAAGGACTTTCAGTACGACGAGTCGGTGGACAAGGACACAAACGAGCAGCTGGACATCGACGACGAGTATGCACAACTGTCGGGGGTCGTGGACCCGCGTGTGCTAGTGACGACGTCGCGCGATCCATCCTCGAGACTGGCGTCGTTTGCCAAGGAGATCAGGCTACTGCTGCCGACGGCTGTGCGGCTGAACCGTGGAAACCTCATCCTGCCCGACCTGGTGCGGTCTGCGCAGGCCGCGGGACTGTCAGACGTTATCCTGCTTCACGAACAGTACGTCCCGGGCACATGGCTATGCCTGCTGCCCCGCACACGCGATAGAAGACAATAGTTGCTGACGATGGTGCCAAAACAAAACAGCCGCGGAACGCCAACCGGATTGACGCTGTCTCACTTCCCCCACGGCCCGACGGCATGCTTCACCCTGTCCAACGTGGTCCTCCGCCACGATATCCCGGGGAGCGTGCGCGGCACTGTCAGCGAGTCGTACCCTCACCTTATCTTTGACGGCTTCTCCACCAAGCTGGGCCAGCGCGTGGTCAAGATCCTCAAGCACATCTTCCCGCCGCGTGAGGCCATCACCAGTAAGAACAAGATTGGCAGCCGCGTCGTCACCTTCAAGAACATCGACGACAATATCGAGGTGCGGCACCACGTCTTTGTGCGTACCGGCTACGACAGCGTAGAGCTGGCCGAGGTCGGCCCCCGCATGACGATGCGCATGTTTGAGCTGCGCGCCGGTACCCTCGAGAACAAGGATGGCGACGTAGAGTGGCACCTCACCCAGTACACGCGCACGGCCAGGAAGAAGAACTACCTCTGATCGTCCCGGCCACGAAGCACAAACAACAACAAACAAGACAGGTCAGGGCAATTCTGTCCGACCCCACTCATGGCGCCGCCTCAACGCCATTCACTTGTCAATCAATGTGTACCAGGCACAATGAGGCTGAAGAGGCGAGATTCGGAGATGGGACTGGCCAGGCGCACACTGTTACGATAAAACGTGATGGCAGCAAGTATTATCGAGAAGCCAGGCAGGAGAACAATCTGTAGCATGTTCGGATAATTCGAATCCCATTGCCAAGAGCTGTCAAATCAACCCTAGATGTAATATATTACATACTCCGCCACTTTTACAGAAGACAAGGATGTGATCCCAGAGATCCTGTCATTTATCCTGTTTCCTTTCTTGACGTGCCGGTGATGGTCGCTCTATGATGGATGATAGTTCACGAAAACGATAGTGGAGACGACGAGGCTGAAGTGTCATGGGCCGCCATATATAGTGCTATAAATACCACTTTTGATGGCATTCATGTACGAGTATGTCTGTCTGAATAGGTTGCCCGATGATGATGGGATTTCGTAAAGCAAATGGTGATGTCGAATGTACTACCGGGCGATGCCGAGTGGTGTATGTACAAAGATACATTGCCAGCACGGTTGACTCTGCATCAAAACTCACAGTATCACCCTTACTATGTCGTCATGTTCAATAATTAGGCTTAAGTAAGAATAAGACCTTGCCACCGCCCCGTGGCGACCAGGCGGGATGATCAAGCAGTCCGACCATGCGAGTTTTTTTGCGAGCTTAATCACACTACGAAAAAAGTACGGAGTGCGGATGCGAGCATTAATATTCATCCGCAGTAATATAACTCTCTCGGCGCGGTAGAACAGAACAGCGCCGCAGAGCCAGTGCTGCAGACCCACAGCCACAACAAGCGCTGACAGCAGCAGTCAGTGCTCGTACCGCCTATTCTCAATGCTTGTTTTCTGTTTCCTCTTCCCTGCTTCGTTTCTTCATCGGGTTTCTTTTTTTTCCTACTTCTTGTCTCGGACGGGGTGGGAGCCCACTCTCCGGAGCTGTCGTGCTTGCGTCCACACCTAAATTCCAATTCCGTCGGTCGCCTGTGGCTTGCACGCCATTCACGGACATTGACAATTTCTCTCCAGTGGATTCTCGGGCTCCCTCCCTCTCCCCCCTGTAAGACAGCCTGGAGACCGATGGACTCTGAGCTGTAGCCGTGGCTTGTAGGTACGTACGTAGGCTGTGGGCTTAGTGAGGTGACCTGTGACTGGCGCGTGACGTCGTTTTTCCGGCTCCAGTTCTAGGTCTCTCACTCTAATTTACTCTGGGGGCCCCACCCGCCACAGTAAGATAATACCGGGATGCGCCAGTCTGATTTCTGGTTCTGGAAGGCCACAAACTTGACCTCCACGGCCCTGCACCAGACTTTTTAGTCCTTTGCCGTCCAAGCCGGAATGGCCCCAGAATTCCCAGGTGCTATGTATTTCCTGCCTCTCATGTGTCCCCCCCCCCCTCCCCATCGTCCCATTGCGCCGTAAGACTAGTGACAGTACGAGTACATGTACGGACTGCTCGCAGTACTGTAATAATGCTGCTAGTACGAGTAGAGTAGTATTACCGCAGTAATAATAACTTAACCAGAGTGCTCGTAATAGTAAATCCGCCCACTTCGAAAATCCGTCTCGTCAATCTCCCTCCTCCTTCAGCTCAGCCTTGTCGGCTTTTCTTTTTTTCAACCCTCACCTTCTCATACCCCGTCCGTTCCCCTCCCCAGATCAGTAGTGGTAGCCATATATTATTGCTACTCGTACCTCCCCGTCCCTCTCCCTCTCGACCGGTCCCCTTGGATCTGGTGACACCTGAGGCGTACTCCGCACACAGCTGGCCTCTGCCACCATCCATCGCTCTTGCGCGTGCGCATGATAGAATTTGGCTTTCCCGAAAGAAAAAAGACCTGACCCCATTGCCCGACATGTCGTACGGCCAGTACAACCGGAATCCTGGCTACCAGCAGGGTCCTTCCCAGGAATCGGGACATGGCTACGGACAAGTATGCTGTTGCTGTTGCCCTTTAGCAATTCCCGAGAGACGGAAGCAAGCTGACATTGTCCCTCGAACAAGTCGAATCCCTACGGCTCAAACGATCAGTACGAAATGAGCGACTATACCCAGCAGCAGCAGCCGCCGCAGCAGGCGTCGTCGGCCCGTGTCTTGACGGTGTCAGAGTTTCTCGACCGCGTAGGCAGCCTACGCAGTGACATCAAGAGTTTGACAACGGATGTCGACTACATCGGCCAGCTCCACCAGCGCTCCCTCAGCAGCACCGACGGCCAGGCCCGCGACGAGCTGGAGCAGTACGTCTCTCAGACCCAGATCCGGAACACGGCCATCAAAGATGGCATCAAGGGCCTCGAGAAGGACCTGGCCCGCACCACCGACGTGTCGCGCAACACCAAGAACACTCAACTCCAGTCGCTCCGCACCTTTTTCAAGTCGGAACTCGACAAGTACCAGAGCATCGAACGCGACTACCAGAACCGCTATCGCGAGCAGATTGCCCGCCAGTACCGCATCGTCAACCCCGAGGCTTCCGAGGAGGAGGTCAACGAGGCCGCCAATGTCGATTGGGGGAACGAGGGTGTTTTCCAGGCTGCTGTATGTTTCTCTCTCTCTCTCTCTCTCTCCCTCTCTCCCTCTCTCCCTCTTCTCTCGGGCTCCCTCTTGTTTAGGGTTTGGGGGGGGGCTTTGAAAGGTTCATCTTATTCATGTGAGACTGACAAACCAAAACACAGCTCCGCACCAACCGCACCGGTCACGCCAGCTCTGTCCTAGGCAACGTCCGTGCCCGTCACAACGAGCTCCAGCGCATCGAACAGACCCTGTCCGAGCTGGCCGTCCTCTACCAGGAGCTCGCCGCTATTGTCGAGCAGCAGGACCCCGTCGTCCAGGCCGCCGAGACGAATGCCGAGAACACGGTCGAGAATATCGAAAAGGGCAACCAGCAAGTCGAGCAGGCCAACAAGCATGCCAAGCACCGCCGCAAGCTCAAGTGGTGGTGCTTCCTCGTCGTCGTCCTCATCATCCTTGCCATCGCCCTCGGCGTCGGTCTGGGTATCGGTCTCGCCAATTCCAAGTAAAAACGACGACTAATTCTCCTCCTTTCCTCCCTTGCTCTCAATGGGAGCGACCTCTTTGCGCCACCTCCCACCCGCCAATTGTTTCATAACCCCGACTTGAAGCCGCTTTATTTCTTTCATGTTGGAAAGCATCTATTCCTGCGCAACTCTTTACATAGACATTGTGCTTTTTTGGTGTTGCATTTCTTTCTTTCTTTTTAATCCCTCACAATCATTGCGGGGGCGCCCATCGAAGGCATTTTATACCCCCTCCCCCCATCTTTCTCAACCCTTCTACAACAGACCAGAATCGAAATGGAACAGACGAAAAAGGGGAAGAGAGGTTTCTGTTCTGGTCCCTCGCCAGGAATGACTGAAGACGGGAGAGAAGGGCAAGAAGATTACGGCACGACTTAATTCCTGCAAACGAAATGTCACTATAGTTGAACGAGGTTTAATATATTAATGGGGATTGTTTCTGTTTCTTTACCCTAGTTTCTGCCAGCCACGCATTGTTTATTGACCTTGGGTTCAATCCCTAACTACATTCATTTCACGAGGCCTTTTGTGTGTTGGCAAATGTGCCCGTCACAGATAGGTGCATGAAAGAAGAAGAGTAAATATCAGATGCGGAATTCAGATGCGGAAACAGGGGGAAGTATTATTTATTATATACAGGTATAACAGAAGGAGGGAGGGGAGTGAGTGGGAAAACCCCAGACGGGAGGGGGAACGAGTTAGAACAATCCATGCGTCGCATCGCACCTTGGGAAAAGGGCAAAACAAATAAGAAAAAGAATTTACAAGTACAAACAACTAAAAGACAGGATAGCCATGCCTATTCCTTTTCCCTCCTGAAACATTACACAACACCATTCCTCCATTCTCCAAAAGAATGCACGCGACACACGTACAAAGGGGGAAGACGAACCCTTCGAAGCCCCTCCTCTCCTTTGTTCTTGTTTTGGTCCCTGTCAACCTTGATCTGCCCCGGCCCCGATGTTTTTTTTCTTTTCACTTCTTTCTCTCATTGCCTTTCATGTTACACTTCTTCGTCGTTCATGGTACAGGGAGTTTTTGTTTTGGGGATTCGATTTTCGGTTTGTTGGTAATAAAAAAAAAGGATCGCAAGAATTCTTCGTTCTTGGGAGTTGGTTTATTGACTGGGAACGCGGAATCCAGGGGGGCCTCCCATACCGCCTGCGAGCTTACTAGCGAGCTTGGGGTACTTCTCAGTGACTTGGACCTGTGTGCGGGTGGCCTCGGCGTAGGAGAGGGCATTGACGATCTCACCCTCCGTACGGGCAAGTTCGGCGGCACGCTCAAAGTACTTGAGAGCTCCGGGCACGTTGTTCTGCTGGAGGAGGAGCTGGGCCATGGTGGCGACGGCAATATCGCACTCGGGGTCGACTGGGAAGGAAGAGAGGTTAGCGTATGGAGTCGGGGAGGGGTGAAGCAGAAAGAAGAGGGGGAGATAGACAACAAGGAAGGGTACTTACTGATCAGGGCCTTCTTGCAGAGGTTCTCGGCCTCCTTGAAGTCCTGCTTCCACTGGAAGAGGGCAAGGGCCTTATTAATGAGAGGCAGGACATTCATCGACATGGGCTTGGTCTGCTTCTCCATCTCCATGGCCGTGTCAAATTTCTCGACGGCCTCGGCGAAGTTGGACTGGTCGAGGAGGAGCTCGCCATAGTAGTTGTAGACGTCAGGAACCTTGGGGAAGTTCTTGATGCAGCGACGGAAGGTGGCCATGGACGAGGCAATGGAGCCCATCTTGTACTGGGTGACACCGAGCTGGATGTGGGAGAATATGAAGTCCTTGTCGAGGTCGATGGACTTTTGGTAGTCCTTCTGCGCGCTCGACAGGTCGCCCTTGATGAAGTGGGCCTGGGCGCGGTGGTAGTAGATATCTGGGTCGTCCTGGTCCTGCTCGAGGGCGCGCACGAACTCGGCATCGGCCGTCACCGGGTCGCCCTGCTCGAGAGCGATGCTAGCGCGCTTGATGTACGTCTGCGTCATGGACGGGTCCAGTTCGATGCTTCGGTTGAAGTCGCTCAGCGCATCGGCGTGGTTGCCCAGCAGCGTACGGACCGTGCCGCGCATGTTATAAGCCAGGGCCTCGGTCTCTCCCAGGTCACCCAGCTCAATGGCCTTCTCAAAGGCTACGCGAGCCTGCTCGTACCCGTCGCCAGTGCCCTTCTCCAGGCCCTGTAGACCCAGCTGGAGCTGGCCCTTTCCCGTCTCGAGCGAGAGCTCAACCGAGTCCTCGAGGCCGGCCGGGCGCTCCTTCTCGCGGAAGCTGTGCAGGTAGTTGCCGACAAAGATGGGGCTGGGCATCTTGGGGGGGCGCGAGCTCAGCATCTCCTTGGCCTTCTCCTCAGCAAAAGCCTTGAGGAGCCTCTCGACAGCCTGGGCGGTCGAGTCATTCTTGAAGTTGTCAATGATGCACGAGGCTGTGAAGTCGAGCAGAGCCTCCGAGTACTTCTTCTGGTGCTCATAGGCGGCGGCGCGGCGGTTGATGGCCTTAATATACTCGGGGTCCATGGCGATGGCGGCCGTCGTGTCCTCGATGACACTGTCCCACTCGCTCAAGGCGCTGTGGCAGGCGGCACGGTTCGAGTAGAAAACGGGATCGGGCTTGCACAGTATGGCCTTGCTGTACAGGTCAATGGCCTTGTTGTACGACTTGTCGCCGTAGGCCTTGTTACCGGCAGCCTTGAGCTTAGCCGCATACTCGTCGCGCTGCTCCTGAGTCAGGCTCTGAGCCGACGTCTCGTCAATTTCAGGGAGCTCCGATTCACTCGAGGCCGTGGCGGCCTGGGGTTGTGCAGACTTGGGGGCTTTCTCGGTGGTCTCGGTCGTGGCCTTGCGCTCAGCTTCCTTACGCTTGCGGCGCTCTTTCTTACTGAGCTTGTGAGCAGAGTCTTGAGGCTTCTATATGAGATTGGGTTAGTGTTGCCATGCAACATCATGTCGGCATCACAGGGTTACTATGCAGAGCTGAAAGAAGGTGGAGGGGTTTTTTTTTTTTTTTCATCCTTCACTAATGATTGATGGATTGTGCTGGAAAAAAAAAGGACGATTTTTTTCTGGGTCGCCCCTTGGTTGTACGCACCGAGTCTGAGTTGAGGTAGTAAACAGCACCGGCACCAGTAACGACCACAGCAACCCCGGCAATCGTGTAGACAACAGCCTTGTTCTCTGATACCCAAGAGGATATACGATCCCAGACACTGGATGAGCCCTGAATGGGGATGGCGACAGCCGGCGGCTGAGTCGTAGGAGGCACTGACGGAAGAGGATTCGACATGGTGGTCGGTAGTGGTGAAAGGGATTAAGAAATGTACTAAGAGAAAGAAAAAGAGAGGATAACAGGAGGCGTCAGAAGAGGGATGTGTCAGAAATCGTGAGCCAGATGAGCGCACGGAACCGACGGGCTTGGTGGTGCTTGAGGAAATAGTCTAGCGGTGGGCTTTCGAGAGACGCGTAGGCAGAGAATGATTGATGATGGCCGACGCAAGTGACGGGCTTCCCACGAAATTTCCTGAGCTCAAAGGCCTGGCGCGTGGTTCCACTTTGCTAAACCTCAAGAGTCTGTTGCCTTCCTTAGGCCCCACTCAAAGTTTTCCGAAGTTATCGACTCTGGCCATCATTACGAATATTTTAGGGAGTTTTTTTGGGGGGGGGTTAGGGAACTTTAGGGAGTAGGGGCTCAAGGGAGAGAGGGAGAGAAGGCCATGGAGCTCTGTCTTGTCTTGAATGCCTGAGGCATTAATTGGGCTCGGCTACGGCGTAACATGACGGATGAATGTTGGCACTGCATGGTCCATCACCCACCCACCTATCTATCGTCCATAGCTTGATAAACATTCTCAGTTTGTCTGTTAAATTACGAGATAGATCGTCTTTAAATACTACAGGTCCTACTAAATTGTATCTAGCTACGGTCCTTGTGCTTCATACAGGTACAGCCTACGAGTGCGTGATTTCAACCTCGGCCCTTGGCCTGCTACTAGCTAATAATGTCGAGTAGCAGAGCTCAAGTTAGTCATCAGTCTAGTATAACACTTGGGTCGAAACAATCCAGCCATCTGCGACATCGGCCCCGAGCTTGAACACCGAATGCCTATTGTAGCCACTCCAGAGACATTGTAACAGCGGAGAGTACGAAATGGCCGCTGACGAGTTCCATCTCTTTTCCACGTTGCGATACGATCCCCAATTGACCGACGTCCCGCAACAGGGACCCCAACATGCCGGGTGGAATTATGACAACAAGTCGCCTATATACATGCTCGACCACCACCGCGATAGGTTATTAAAGGCCGCGTCGCATTGGGGTTGGGAGCGGGCTGTCCAAACGCTTGAGGGTCCTGCCGGTCTCGAGTCGCTGGCGGACGGGCTCGAGGATTTCGTAGGCCCCGACCAGTCGAGCCCTCTACGACTTAAGATACTTGTCGACCGTCATGGCCAGGTTACGTTCGAAAAGGCCGATACGCCAAGAGTGCCGATAAGACAGCTCTTTCCCACCCGACTGCCCGCACCCCGGGAGAGACCGCATTCGCCTGGAGGAGAGCCTCCAAAAGTACAGGCGCAGTGTTATGCCCTTGTTCTGGATGGCGCCAAGACTGTTCGATCAGAGTATACACACTTTAAGACAACGCATCGGCCAATGTACGACGGAGCGCGTCAACGTGCCAACATCTCCCCCGCAGACCTGAAGGAGGTTCTGACCGTTAGCCCGGACGGATCTGTCATGGAGGCGAGCATCACCACGCCGTACTTCTGGAGGAAGGGACGGTGGGTTACGCCGCCGGTATCAGATGGCTACAGCGACATTGATGGCAGCGGCGGCCAAGAGGGAACCTCGCGACGATGGGCTCTGGAGCGGTGAGGTCTTTCCTATGATGCAACTCCCCCCCCCCTCCCCCCCAAATGTGTGGCACATGCTAAATCCCAGAGTGCACTCGCCAATAGTAACATAGCGGTCGAGCAAGTTGTTTCGGCAAGCTCTCTAGTAGATGGCGAGGAATGCTGGCTGAGCAACGGTGCGAGAGGGTTCCTGTTTGCAAACGTTTGCCTTTGACACTACACAGATTAGAAACTACCAGCACTAGCAGTAAGGTTCACCATCATCGCGACTGCATCATCACGATAATATGCGCAGGAGAAGCAGAGAACAAGGACGGGAAGAGGAGCGAAAAAACAGGCGTCATCGGCACCCTGGTCTTACCCGTCACGCCTGATTCTCCCCGCATTTGTCAACTTCTTTCCCCGTGTTTTCCTGGTTGCACATGCATAAATAGCTGCCAGTAGACTGCACGTAACTTCTTATAGCACACTCGCTCGTACCATGGTCCATAAGATACACCGAAGTACAGTAGTCCTAACAGCTGTATTAGCAGTATCGTTACCCAATATCCTATCCCCATACAACCATACCGAGCAACATTACTCAACATGAACACTACGTGATCCCACTACTGAACCCTTACTCGTAATATTGAGTCCAAGCCCTGGGGTACCGCATCGGGTGCAGGCCGGGGCAGTGAACGCTAAACGACGAACATGCATCTACAGACTACGTCATTATACCAAAGTGATTGGGTGGACCTTGCGACAAGGTAACACCCCCCAACACCCGAAATACTTTTTCTTTCCGCGGTAAGCGCGTTCTGTGCCTGAGATGCCTTGTTCTTCGTACCACCAACCATCATGGTCGAATAGAAATAGCCACTACCACCTACCGATTGCTCCTGGCTTTCTTGTCATCATAACATCATCCTGTCCTGTGTGAAAGCTTGCCTTCTCGTACTTTCCGTGCGGATGCCCTCTACATACATACACACACCCACACACCTACTACTCACGCGCACAACTGCTCGGACGGTACATTACCAAGGACAAGTCATACAACAGTGTCATTACTATTAGTGCTACGATCGACTCGAACCGCCCGCCCAGATATCGTTTTCATTCAAAAAGTGCATCTACAACGGAAGACGTCGTGATCGGATACGCTGGTCGTGCCGTCATACCAGCTAAGACGGTCCCGAAACTAAAACAAGAAAAACAGGCATCCCGCCTTCTTTTTATTTTATTTTGCCTCCATCGTGGGGAAGAATCCACCAACTACAAATGATCTCGACGCAGCAAGTCACACTACGAACTACCAGCGACGTCAGGCCACCAAGCCATCTCATAATGACGGTGGACCGCGATGCCGCTGTCGAGGCCCTCATTCACGATGGCCGCCGAGCCTACGCATCCAAACACTACAAGAACGCTCTAGAATGCTTCACTCGTGTATGGGACCACCACTTACCGGGCGCGCTCTCCCAGCTAACATGTTTGGCCACAGGCTATGAAACGATGTCCCTGTTCCAGAGGAACAAGACGGGAGAGGTGCACGTGCAAGGACTTCGAGAGGGTGTCAGCAGAGAATGGCTCCATCTATCAAGAGGCCATGTATAACTGCAAGTGCACTGTGGGACAACTGTTCGGCAAATGCGACAATCTGCTCCACATCCAGGCTCTCGACTACCGCGCTGCGACGTTCGAATCGCTCAAGGAGCTCGAACGTGCTAGGAAGGACGCCGAATGGATACTCGAACTGGCACCGCGGCTCCCCGAGGTAAATTACAAATGCTCTTCTCCAACGCGGTATATTTGATGGCTGATTGATGGTATAGGGCTACCTCCGTCTGGGCAAGATTGCTCGGCTCCAGAAGAAGTCGGAATTCGCCTGGAAAGTTTATAGTGCGGGTATCGAGGCTGGTCTTTCCAACAATATCACCAAGGACGACCCCAAGATAGCGGTGAGTCTGGCTGACCAAGAAGCATGGCCCAAGGAGTATACTGATGACCTGTTTAGAAATTGGTCGCTGCGCGAGAACCCCTTCACGCTCGCTTCTGTCGCAAAGACCCCCTGCAGCTACCCATTGATATTGTTTATCAAATATTCCAACACGTCGACTTTCCTTCTCAGCTGTAAGAACGCCACATCGTGGACAATGTAGGGTCACTCGGAGCTGACAGAGACTCAAGGCGATGCTTGCAGGTTTCCAAATCATGGAGGCGTTCATTGACCAGCAAGGCAAACTTCTACTTGTGGCGGAGTATTGAGTTGGACAAGCCTATTGCCCGACGCAACCCGCCGAACATGCACACCTTGGCTAAGCTTCTTGGTTACTCTGGGAACAATACTCGCAGCCTCATCATCAAAGACGCTTCCGCGCTTCGCCTCGCCAATCCGAAGATCCATACACTTCTCAGGGGGTCCCGTAAGCTAGAGTTTCTTGAGATACACAACGAGCTCGAGCCTCTGAGCGTCGATACGCACCAGTGGCCGCCTACTCTGACCCATCTCGTCCTCGATCAGGTCCACGTACCTGGGACCCTGTGGGAAGCTGTAGCCGGAAACATCGAGTACCTCCACCTCAGCCCCAAGGCGCCAAACTCTGCAGCGCCCCAGCTCCAGCTCCCAGTTCTACCCAAGCTGCGTCAGCTTCACATTGTCGGGACATTGGGCATGCTACGACCGGTGAGTACCAGAAACAGAAACGCGGCAACGTGCAGTGACTAACCCATTCCACCAGACTGTGCTGCCCGGGACCATGCCCAACCTCGAGCAGCTCTGGTTCTCAAACCTCTTCCCCTTTGCTGACTACGGCATCGAAGGCGAACGTACCATCAAGGAGACCTTTAACGAGGTATGGAAGGGCATGAAAGCCGTCATTGTCAATGGCCACCGCGAAATCCTAGACCTTGACCAGGCATTTGGATTCAACAGTCTAGTCTCCATCAACAGGGGCGAGAACATCCGGTACATTGAGCTGGTCCCTTACTTTGACGACCCCAGAGGCACCGTCCTTCTCGACCGGAACCGCCACTCGATGGAGCTGAACGACGGATCCGACAGGATCATGCAGGGGGACCTAGGCCTGCCCAACCACTTTTCCAACCTGGAGGCCCTCCGGATCAAGCAGACCGTCATGGACGGCACAGCCCTGCAGCCCATCCTACGACCAGCCCTGGACAACAACAGGCTGCGCGAGCTCGACATCAACTTCCGCCGGCCGCACTTCAACGAGCCCGAGGGCCCCTCGAGCTGCCAGCACTTGAAGGACTACGAGTGGCTGCGGGGTGCCCGGTCCATTCGCAGCATGCGCGTCAGCAATTTCCGCTTCACGCGGTACCCCCGGTCCGACGACCAGCTCCCGCTTCCCGGGTTCCTCGCGTCGTTCCCGAACCTCGAGATTCTCGAGATTGGCTCTGAGTACTACGAAGATGCGGAGATGTGCTCCGTCGTCGTAGCCGTCATGAAGGTGACCAAGCTCAAGAGGATTTACCAATCTACCATCCGGGGTGCTCCTCTGGATAGCCTCAAGACTGCGGCCAAGGAGTACGGCGTCCAGCTGGTCTTTGGCGACAGACCACGGGAGTGGCCCGTGGTTTTCGAAAATAATTAGTTTGGGATGATATTCTTGTAAATGGCGTTCTTTTTTCTTTTCTTGTTCAGTATTATGCTTGCTCTTTAATGTATTATTGAATTGTTACGGGTTCGAGCATGGGAGCAAGGAACAGCGACATCATCACTACACGGAACAGCATGCTTGATGGATCTCTATTAGCGTTTATTTTATCTAGTCTATTTTTGTGTGGATATCACCAGATGCCTGCATAGCCGGAACATTAGATAACTCGGCCTCGTTAAGGGCAGCACCGGCCACATTAAGGCCAGGTTCGTAGCATCGCGATAGTCACAAGAGGAAGAAGAGGATAACCCGGATCGACATTACATAGCATACCTGCCCCTTTGAGGAAGAGGCAGTCGTGCACGTGATAGACCGGATATCAATAGATTCACCGCTAATACCAACAATGTTCCCAATGCGATATATATCCCAGAATAGCGGCTGCATATATTCCTCATACCTGCTTTTGATGAAGTCGTACCATTCAGCAAGACACACCATCCTCAAGCGCGACCAACCTTGAAAGACAAGATCTGTAGCTCGTGTGTTAGTTTCGGGCCAAATGTTGAGACATAAAAAGATGGGCTCACATCGTTTTTGCCGACGCTAACAGAATCGTCTTCGGATACGCGCAAGTTGCCGACGCCCTCAATGTAGGCAATGGGCGCATCACCCATGACCTTTCGGGCAACATCGCCGACGGTAGAGCCCTTCTTGACTAGGACGCAGTCCCTAAAGACGAACTTGGATTCTGCGGCGCCCGAAGCAAAGGTGGACGTGTTGCGGACAGGGAAGACGGGGACGAGGCCCAGGAGCTCAGCGGCACGGGAGAGGACTTGGACGACGCCGGTGGAGCCGAAACGGTAGAGGACCATGTCCTTCAGGTTCTCGATGCGATTCCTATTACGCTCATCCAGTTCCTTGAGCCCGCCGCCGGTGGGGTCCCCCTTCTCGATGAGGTCCTCCTTGGTGTCGACGAACTCGCTACCCTCGACGTACTTGATATAGCCCTGCTTAGCCATCTTACGGAGGAAGATTTCGGAGATGGCGGAGCACAGGACGATCTCCTTGGGATCGTGCATCTTGGCGATCTTGGAGATGTTCTTGTCGGCGTCCGGGTGGTCGATCTTGTTGAGGGCGATGACGGTGGGGAACTTCTCGTCGACGAAGGCGTTGACGATGTGCTCGACCGTCTCGTTGGACCAGTCCTCCAGGGGCTCCTTGATGCCGGCCCGGTCAAGCGTGCGGTTGACCGTCGCCGTCGTGGCTCCGTACCCGGAGAACTGGCCCTGCAGCGTCTCGACGGCGGTCCCCTTGATGGCCATGTGCCGCCGCCGGACGGACCCCCACTTGTTCAGCAGATTGCCCAGGATCCACGCCACCACCTCGTGCCGCAGCCAGGCGATGTCCACCGACGGATCGTACCCCCTCGTCTCCTTGCCCTCGGCATCCACCGTCCCCGACACGTCCACTACGTGTATCAGCGCGTCGGCGTGTCGCAGGTCGTCCAGGAACTTGTTGCCCAGGCCGCGGCCCTCGTGCGCGCCCGGCACGAGCCCCGCCACGTCGAGGAGCTCGATGGGAACTGACCGTCGGCCATCCACGCAGCTGCCATAGTTGGGGCGACATCGGTCCGATACGTTGTGTCGCGAGCATACGCAGTCGATCTGCAGGTAGCCTATCGCTCGTTGGGGATCGATGGTGGTGAACCTGAGCCGAGCGTGTCAGTTGGTCGGTATCTCCCTAAGAACGGGAGGCATAGCGAGAGAGAGAGAGGCAGGAACATACGGGAAGTTGCCTGGCCAAGGGAGGGGGGAGAGGGGGAAATCACAGCATTAGCCATCCATGGGGAGGATTATTTTCGGGCAAAGAAGGGGAGCAAGAAGAAGAAGCTACGGACCGACTTTGGATGATGCATCCGTTAAACTGTTAAGGGTGCTGCTCTTGCCAGCCGAGGGCTTACCCACGAGCCCAATGAGAGGATCGCGAGGCATTATGATGGTACAAGGGCTTTCATTCGACTACTGCTAGTTTGTGACTAGTAGTAGGATGTCTTGATCAGAGAGCAGCAGGGGGTGCTGGGTGTGAGTGTAGGTGTTTCCAGGTAAGTGGTTTTTTTATCTTTTTTTTTTTATCTTTTTTTCTGTGTCGGATTGTGTAGTGATATGATGATGGCGCAAGAGAGAGAGAAAAAAAATATGGACGTCACAGGCAAGGCGAAAAGGTCTGGATTTTTTTTTGGTGGCGGCGCCTCATTTTGGAGGGGTCGTGGAGGGGTAGTAATAAATTGCAAATGCGCCCATGTAGATGCGATTATACTCGTACCAGTGGGTCAGCGAGCGTCACTGCGGATCCAGAGGTATCTCAGTCGGAAGAGTGACTTCCATCTGGCCTGATTTTTGCGGGCCAGATACGACAGAGACTTGCCGGACTACAACGTCTATGATCGCCCATGTGCCGTTATTCGCATGCCCTTTCCAAGCTCCAGAGCCTCCATGGCCGACATGCTAATCCTGTTCCTGAGCATCTACGAAGAAATGGGGATCTAACGGAATACGAGGGCATGCTTTGTTATCGCAGCGGGAGCTACCGAGTCTCTGTCTTCACATATTCTCCATGATCCACTCGTCATGGGCCAGTTCCTTGGCTAAAAAAAAAAGTTTCGAGGGGTCCCGCTGGAGCATGCGGCCGGTATTCCATATGTCGACCGGAGACGACCACGATGTCTCGATGGAGGCCTCTAGTGTTCGGTATATAGCGGGTTGTATGTCTTCTAGATGCTCAACGTCGCCAGCGATAGTTGAGCCGAAATCACACAGAATATATGCGCCCCGACGCTTGGGCTTCGGGAGCTTGCGTGACATGTAGATGACTCGCCCAGCCGATCACTTTCGAGGGGACGGGTCGCGTGCTGAAGACGGAATCGTCCTCGAACTAAACACGATGCTGTCGGGTCGGCCTTGATGTCTACCCGATGTGAAACCGGAAATCAGCTGTTGCTACTATCGGGAGAGGGCCGCATACCCTCTTTACTTCCTCTCAGTGTATTAGGTAGACGCACCGGTATGGATCATCTGGCATCATGTGTGCTGGAAGTCCAAAGAGAGAGGAGGAAGCGATGGAGGGCAAACGCGAGGGCTAGCACCGGCAGCCCGGCCACGGGGTTGTCGTGGAGAACGGTGTGGAAGCTCTCCCACAGCGGACGATGCACGAGACATTGGCGGAGTCCCTCTAGACCGCTGACGTGAGAGCTGTCTAGGAGCTGTCTGGCCGGGGCGCGAGGTCACATCTATTTGCCAAAGATGCGGAAACGCGTGGGTACGTTGTGAAGGCCTGGTCCTTATGCTGCGCCGTGGATCTGGAGTCTGTGAAAAGGTTGAGCGCTACATGACACATGACAGAGACGGCTGTTTCCTCGGCGTTGGCAAGCCCGATGATTTTAGAAGCATTGGGATCACTCTAGGTCGCGTGCTAATCAGACTGCTGACATGGCACCAATTCCCAACCTTCCAACAACCCGGTATCGATGCCTCAAAGCTTGGCCGATGCGTGGCCGATGCGTGGCCGATGCGTCGCCGATGCGGACGGGACAGTGGCAATACCACATAGCCAGGAACAAGTTCCTCCTCAGACTTCCGGTCCAAGCGCTATTCGTTGTTTTTGGAGTCGGCAGAGAAGTTCAGTAGCTCCCATGCCCGACCGAACCAAGATGATCGTCGGAGAAGCGATGGCATATGGAGGATAGAAAATGAGTTGAAATCAGGTTACTGCATCAGAACTGTTTGGGGAGGAGTGCTGATGCAGGAATACAGTGATGTTTCTGACGAGTCTCAGTCACAGATAACGCGGGCAACTGACAGACGGGAGTAGGTCCTTCCTGGTCGACCGCAGTCTTCATTCAATCTTCACGTATAAATGAAATGAGAGTGTTCCCTCCATCACGAAAAGGAAGGATAAATCCGAATGATGGAATGGGTTGGAATCATATGAAACCACAACTTTTTGGAATATTACGTGTAGATACAGGGTTGGCTCAGACACGCAACCAACTGATGTCACTCTTCAAGTTATGGGCCGGAAGAGGAGGCTATGATGTACAATGACGAGATCATACTATCTGGCTCACTGTGTGCTAGTGATATTGCATCTACTCGTACGAATACCAGCTACTGCTACTACCAGACTGCCAGATATTGCCAAGAGCTCAACACGGATTAACCAGTGGMMAARMTGCAAYMWRCCCCCCCCGCCATATTCAAAATCTCTTGGCTTTGAAATTCCGAGCCTTGCCACTTGCGAGATATTCGACTACTGTCACTAGTGATCACTACTGCCGACTGTGGTAATAATAGCTAAAAACAACACGCGACACATCAATTCACACAGGGGCAACTGGCCAGGACATACATACGCCGCGCCTACGCCGCTGCCGCCGTCTCCCACAGTTATGCCGCCGCCTCAAGCGCCGCCGCTGCCCATCCAGGCGCTACCGGCCTGGGCCTCACTCTATGACGTGAACTTCTACAGCGTGAGGCTGGAGAACATGAAGGGCAGGGGCATCGGCCTGGCTGCCGCTCAACCTCTCAGCCTCGCTGCCGGCCACGAGGGGGCGACTGACGACCGTCCCTTACTCAAAGTGCCCCGCGATCTTGTCTTGTCCATCGAGGCTGTCGAACAGTATGCCAAGATTGATCACCACTTTCACGAGCTGCTCGATGCTACTGGGCATCAGGTATGGAACATGTCGATTCACTCTGCAAGATACTGCAAGGCCCGATCATTCTTACAACATCCCGTTTGGCTTGCTGCAGACACCGAGGGGACACATTGTGCTGTACCTCCTCGCGCACCTGGCCTCGTCCAAGTCCCAGGCTCTTGGCATGCCCGACAGCAAGATCGTATCCACCGGCTGGACAGAGTACATCAAGTTTCTACCCCGCGAGATCCCGGTGCCCACCCTGTGGACAGATGCCGAGAGGTCACTGCTGGCCGGGACATCTCTAGAGGTACGTCACGGTTCACCTGCTCGGAATATCGGAACGGGACTTGTTGTCGAGGACTTGCTGGCAGTGCTGACTCCTCGCTGTCCAGAGTGCTGTCAACGCCAAGATGGCTTCGTTGTCGAATGAGTTTGAACAGGTGCGCACGGCGGCATCTGGCGTGCGATTCTGGGATGCACTGCTTGGAAACTCGAGAGCAGTCGACGCACAGGACTGGGCCCTGGTCGATGCCTGGTACAGGTCCAGATGCCTCGAGCTGCCTTCTGCAGGAGAGGCCATGGTTCCTTGCGTCGACATGGCCAACCACTCTAACGAACCCGACGCATACTACGACGAAGATGGCGACGGCAACGTCGAGATTCTCCTGCGGCCGGGGTTCGGCGTAACAGAGGGTGACGAGGTCACCATATCGTACGGCGAGTTCAAGTCGGCCGCCGAGATGCTCTTCAGTTACGGCTTCATAGACAGAGACAGCGGGAGGGAAGAGGCCACGCTGGTGCTCAACTCGCTCCCGGACGATCCCCTTGCTAGAGCCAAGGTTCACGTGTTCGGGTCCTTGCCGACCGTGCGTCTGTCCCGGAAGGATGGCAGGGTGACGTGGGAGGCACCCTTCCTCAGCCTCGCGTGCCTCAACGAGGAGGACGGGCTCGACTTCCGCCTGCTCCAGGACAACGAGGGTGGGCGCGAGCTACGAGTGTTCTGGCAGGAAGAAGACGTGACAGATAGGGCTTCCGACTTCCAGTCCCTGATCAAGGACCACCCAATCTTCGCGGTGTTCCAGCTCCGCATGGTGGCCATGCTGGCACAGCAGCTCACATCACAGCTGGAGCAGATTCAGGCTCCCCACATCGACGAAGAGACGGACGGCTCCTCACCTAACCCAGAACTAAGAGACGTCTGCGTTGATGCGGCGAGAATGCTGAGAGAGGTTGAGGGTTCTCTCCTAGAGGGCGCCCTAGGAGCCCTGCAGGAACAGGTATGTTCCCATGCACGCACACAAACAAGACGAGACAGAAGAAGCAACGTGAAGATCCAGGGTGTATCAGGAGAGAGAGAGAGACGGAGTTGTTATCCCCCCCCCCAGGATCATGGCAACCCGGTCTGTTCCCCAGGGATCATCACACGGGGCCCAGAACAAGGTTACGATGGTAGGGGGGGGGGGGGGGGGGGGGGGGGGGGGGAGGGGTGGGGAGGATCTTCTCCCTTCTTTTTTTTTTCGCGCGTAATATGACAAATTGCTGACCAGTGTCGGTGCCTCCTTTTCTGTTCCTTGTCTCTCGTCCGACAGCAAACAACACTACTGGCCGATGACAAGGTCAAGGAATATCTCGGGGCTGCGGAAGCCGCTGCAGAGGACGGCCAGGACCAGGACCCCGCCCGTCCCGAGGCTGAGGTCCAATAAGAATGGGAGGTACGAGCGAAGGAGACTAAAAGAAAACCACCCATTGTGCCCCTCCCAACAAGGCAATCATCAGCATTGACCCCCCTCGATCGAGTGAAAGCGCGAACATGGGGTAGACACAAACGAACCAGCGGGTGTGGTATTTCTGCTGTATTCTTTTTCCCTCCTTCTTGACAACAGCATCCAACCAATCAACCAATCAACCAAGCATGATCCCCCCACCAACTTTCTGTCCCGGGGTTTCGCGATGTACGAAGCACCTATCATTACAACGCATCGGGTTTAGGCTTTACCACTTCTACCGGAGTACAGGTGGTGGGACGAGTGGGGGGGTATCATGAGTATTGCCGGCAATTGTTGTAGGAGTCGACGATGTCAAGAGATTCCGATCGACTCAACCAAAGCCAGATCGTAAGAGAAGAAGAAGAAGAAGAGGAAGGGCAGGGACGAGCGGAAGCAAAAAGCAAGAAAGAAAATGTTGAAACAAACAAAGATATCTGCCCATTGAATCGAATGACGCCTACAATGCAGAGGGAGGTGACTTATAGGTGTATTGCAACGATAACAGTAAAGCGAGCAAATCGACATTAATCGACGCGAGGCAGGCGACATGAACAAGGGCTGATTGGAGGGATGGCTGAGACATGGGGCGCCTGCAAGTGCCGACCACAGCCCATGACGCTATTATACGATGCAATAGACCTTGTGAAGGAAAAGGTCCAGCTGGATGGAATGTGGAGGGGGAAAGGAGACGAAGACGAAGAAGACGAAGAGGGCGAAGGGGAAGGAGAACAGAAAGGAGAATTTAGCAAGAAGAAGAGGACGGAAGAAGACAAGATGTGTGTAATTGCCCGAAACGGCATGGTGTTTGCTCATACAGAAGTACCTGTATCAGTTGGTTGAGTACGTACGACCTCACGACTCACTTTCAAACTATCGCTTACTCTTGTCATCATGGTCCTACTACAGTCCTGTTGCAGTCCTGTTGCAGTCCTGTTGCAGTCCTATTGCAGTCTTATTGCAGTCCTATTGCAGTCCTGTTGCAGTACTACCAGCTGATACAGATCACGTTGAAATACTTGTCATGCCACTGGACTGTGAATCTCTATACAAGCCTCGGAGAGTCTGTGCTGCCTGGTAAAGGAAAATCGCTGCGTACCACTTGAAGTGTCGTCACTACCAATATTAAATAGTAGTAGAAGCAATAGTGACTATAGGCATAATATGAATCGAAATCGAAATTATTACAAAGCAAAGAGCACCTGACACGAACGACACGCAGGCAAATGCTATGGTTATTACTAGCAGCACTAGGTGGTATCAGTACTACCGCTGCTACTACAAACAGGAGGGAAAGAGAGAGGGAGAGAGAATGTGCCGGAGTATGTTTGGGAAATGAACATGTGACGCAGAGTTTGGACAACAAGCTCAGGTCGGGCTCACAGACTCGACTTCGGGAAGTGACCGATGACCAGGAAAAAAAAAAAAAAAGGTATCGCGCATGAGGCGAAAGTACACAGGTACTCATGGAGGGGGTGGGGGAGGGGTGTGTATGCGCCACGTTCAACAAATGTAACAGATAACTTGGTGGTATTTCTCCCCCGGGTTCCCCCGCATTTGGACAAGGAGAAAAAAATGATGACGAATGTAAGGTGTGGGATACTGAGCTACGAACGAGTGCATACGATGGATAGGCTTTACAGTACTGCCACCATTACACCATTGCAATTTACCTGTACGAGTACTTTTAGTTGGGTTTTTTGACGACTTACAGAACGTCTTGGCTATTTCGCACGTGGTGTGTGTGTGTGTGTGTGTGTGTGTGTGTGTGTGTGTCAAGCCAGATAAAGAGTCTGGAACGACGATTACCGAGGTCATATGCATATCGTTGTTGATTGCTGACAGCGTGTTGAGCACACCCTCTTTTAATTCGTCTATCGCTCCCTTTCTCGCCCCCCTCCCCTCCTCCTCTCCCTTTTTCTTCCTCTCATTCTCTTTTTTTCCCTCCTCAATACACAGCCCTGCTGGGTAATTGCTCACGGGTATGCTGTCTTACTAGTCTCCCCCCCTATCACCGTTTATGGATTGAGGGGAGAGATGCGGATGGCGGGTCTGCGGCTCCGCGATGAGCGGGCCCCCCGCGAGTAATGTGCAGGTACGGAGCTTGAGAGATACGAATCACAACTGCGCGTACCGTCATGACATATACTGCATGTACAGATTAGTACTCCAGAGCGAGAGGGAGCCAATCAGCTGGGTACGAATCATGATGGATTGTTGGCCTGGTGTACTAGTCATGGCGGTACATGGTAAGTCGGGACAATCCGGGGTACCGAGAGCTGGATTTTGGCCAACTCGTCTTCCCCCAGATTTTCCATCGTCATGGGCCGTGGACCTTCGGTGCAGACGAGCAGATCATCTTGGGAGAGGAGAGAGAGAGGTACAGGAGCACAGCCCACGATCCCACCAATGTATCCTGTACTACCACGTACTAGCTGGGGAAGAATAATTGCTAATGCCTGTTGGCTGAAGCGACTGGGGTGGACTCTTGTCCGTCTCCACATCGTATCCGCACCCCCAGGAATTGTCCTTTCCCTTTTCTCTCCTCCCCCACACGCTCTCCACGTCGCCACCAACTCTGTTCCTCTCTCTCCCTTTTAATTCATCGTCATCTCCTCCTTGCAGCGCCGTTTTGTCGTCGTTCCCCTTCTTCTTTCTCGTCATCTTGTCTTCTCTCGCCGCAGATTTTTTTTTCTTGTTAATATACTCTCCTTTTTATGTATATTTCTTCCTACCTGTAATATCTTCTTCTACCCCTCTCCACCCATTCCAACTATCTTTCTCTTCTTCCTCTTTCCTGTCCGATGCTTCCTTATTGAAACCAAACAGAGAGAGAGAGAGAGATCTGAACGCGCACACACGCCAGTACATTATTCCAACCGCAGGCTCCTACTCAGCACCTGCGCAGCAAAGGTTTCTTGACTGAACTGTGCTGAAGGAGACATCCGAACCCGATTCGACCGATCGATCCCTCGGTTTTTTTTTTTGACAGGAAAAAGTTTCTTGCCAAGATACCTACCCCCCCCCCACACACACACACGCTCGCACGCACGCACGCACGCACGCACATCACAACACACATAACAACACAACACAACACAGAACTCAGTACCGCCAAAATGCCTGGTATATTACCCATGAAGGTCATCAAGGTGGGCACCACAGCTCAGAGTCGCATCGCCCAGGCCTGCGACAGGTGCCGGAGTAAAAAGATTCGCTGCGATGGCGTCCGGCCCACGTGCTCGCAATGCTCCAGCGTGGGCTTCGAGTGCCGCACAAGCGACAAGCTCAGCCGTCGAGCCTTTCCCAGGGGATACACAGAGTCTCTCGAGGAGCGCGTGCGGGCGCTCGAGACCGAGGTCCGCGAGCTCAAGGATCTGCTCGACGAGAAGGACGAGAAGATCGACATGCTCTCGAGGATGCATGCCAACAGGCCTACCCCCCCTTCATCTTCGGACTCGCCGGACTCGAGAAGGGACCCGATACAGCCGCCCAACGAGGATACCTTCTATGTGCACTCGTCGCCTTTAATGCTGCAGGTGGACGGGTCGGACTCTTACTTTATGGGGCCGTCGAGTGGACGGGCATTTATCGGTATGTTCTCTATCTTTCCTCTCCCCTCTCTCTCTCTCCCAGAGTACACACTCTCCTTTCGGGTACAGAGAGACCAGGGGACAGGTGCTTGTGCTCCCTCTCTGACAGCCGTGTAGAGGCCTTCAAGCGTAGGTTTCAAGAGTCGGGCAAGCCGCCTTGCGACTTTGCGCCCGAAGACTTCCTCCACATCAAGGGGGTGACGCCTCTGGTCAACTCCGCCGCCTCCGCCGCCTCGCCCCAACCACCGCAGAAGGACCTCGTCCCCCCTCCCAGGCTCTTCTCCGATCGCTGCGTCAACGTCTACTTCCAGGAGTGGGCGCCCCTCTTCCCGGTCCTGCACAAGCCCACCTTCCTCCGGATCTACGAAGAGTTCGTGTCCGACCCGGCCAAGATCAAGAGCAGCTACAAGAATGCACTGCTCTACCTCGTCTTCAGCATCGCCGGCCTGTCGCAGGAGTCGCCCGACATGGCACAGCTGGACGCCTGCGAGGCTCAGTGGAACCAGTCGCTCGAGCAGCTGCTCAACGAGGACTCGGTCGAGACCCTCAAGGGCCTCATCCTCGCCATCATGTACTGCACCATGAGGGCCGACTACCGCAAGCTCCAGCACTACAAGGCCATCGCCGTCGGCCTGTCTCATAGGCTCGGCCTTCACCAGAGCCAGAAGCGCTTCTCCTTTGGCGCCCTGACGGCCGAGACGAGGAAGAAGGTCTTCTGGACCCTGTACACGCTCGACTGGTAAGCCTCCCCCCCCCATATCCTCAACACTCATCCACGCCTACTTCTTTCTTTTTTTTCTTCTTTCTTCTGCCTGCTAACATGTCCTATCAGCTTCACCGCCGCCACACTGGGTCTGCCCAAGCTCCTCAAGGAAGAGGACGTGCAGGTCGAGTACCCTTCGGACACAGACGACGAGTACGTCACCGAGAAGGGCTTTCAACCTACGCTTCCGGGCGAGTCCACTCGCCTGTCCAATGCGCTGGCCCTGTTCCGGGCTTCGCGCATCCTCGCCCGCGTCCTGGCGACCAACTACCCTGCCACTTCGTCGGCTGAGCTGTCGCTGCAGCGCATGGATGCCCTCGGCACGGAGCTCGACGTGTGGTGCGACAATCTGCCGAACCACCTGAGGCTCAACTTTGTGCAGGGCAAGCCGTCGACCGACGTTACGGGCAGCCGCTCGCCGCTCCTGTCCCTGGCCTACCACTTCATCCGTACCCTGATCTACCGCCCCGCCGTCGGCTCCAGCCTGGGCCACAAGGCCGCGCCGGCCCTGCTGGCCATCAGCGAGTCGAGCAAGCACATTGTGCAGATCGTCGAGCTATTGGAGGAGCGCCACATGATCTTCTCCTTCTGCTTCAACCGCAGCGACCTGCTCACCATGTGCGGCATGACGCTGCTGTACCGGGCCATCGGCCTCAAGAAGGACAGCAAGCTCATGCGCGAGGACGAGCGCCTGGTCAACGCCGTCATCCGGTTCGTTGACGGCGCCGAGACCTCGGCTGGTTCGGAGCAGTTCAGGAAGATTGCCAGCCGACTCATCTCGGTCAGCGGCATGGACAGCCATCCGAATGCGACGCCTGCCGCTTCGTCATCCTCCCCCTGCCCGAGCGACGGCCTCTCCATGTACTCTGCCCGCCGGTCACTGGCAGCCAGGAAGCCCAGGTCCCTCTTCGAGGAGTCTGACGACGGCGATGCGCACCCGAACAACCAGGAGAGGATGCGTCGCATGACGATGCCCAATCTCGCCGAACCAGACGCCGACCTGCTGCAGCATGATAACCGCATGCGGCACTCTGTATCGCACGCGTCTGATTCGTTCCACCAACGCCACCACCGCCACTCGGCCATGCAACAGCAGCAGCAGCAGCAGCAGCAGCAGCAGCAGCATGGCCGCCAGAACCTAGACTACCTGTCCCTGAACAGTACACCGTCTCCGTCCCGACACACGTCACCTCCCCTGCAGCAGCAGCAGCAGCAGCAGCAGCACAGCGGAAGCGCCATGCCACCGCCACCGCCAGCACACTCCATGCCGCATCAGCAGCACTGCCTGCCCCTGGCAGCCACCAAGCACCACCAGGATCCCCCCGTGTCCGGTGCGGAGTGGGAGATGCTCCTGGGAACCATGGACGGCGGCATGAACAACGTGTACGACGCCATCTACGGCGGGCGTGGCTTCACCGGCAGCGACGACGTCGCCGTCCCGCCGCCGCCGCCGCCCCCTCAGCACATGGCCGGCCACGGCGAGTGGTCGCCCGACTCGTGGGACCTGAGCACCTTCAGCATCGTCGACTTTGGCAACGGCGGTGGTGCGGGCGGTGATGGCCCTGCCGTCGACAAGCCCGAGGGTGCTAAGCCGCAGAGCGTGGTGAGCCTAAGTGACGAGAGCCTCAGCTCAGGAGAGGACGTGGCGCCTTCGGAGCTAGGTCTGACTCTTGACTACCCTGGTAGTATCAGTGGTGAAGGATTCATTCTGGAAGGATTGGATACGTTTCCTCTCTGATCCTGGTTCACATAGTCGCTTTTTTTCTTCATCTCCTTTTTTTTTTTCCATGTCTCATCTCATTTTCAAAGCAGGGCGAAGCAGGGCGTATAGGTCAAGGCAAGCAAAGTGCCCAAATCTCAGTTTCCTTTTCTTCTTTTCTTTCTAAAAAAAAATTCCTACTTCTTCTTCAGCCAAATCTAGCACGCACGCACACACAAACAGAACTCATCTATTGCACACATCATCACTCACATCCCCCCAGTCCCCCAGTCTGTTTATAACACGTAACGCAGACTCGTGGCTGTACAGAACAGGTAAAGTTTTCTATGCAATGCAGGTTATAAGCGTACACCCCGGACCCTCCTCCTCCCTTCACTCGACCACTCGGATCCTTGAAAAATTGCGAGATGCATCCGATTCCAGGTCCCTTTTTTTTTTGTACCCTCTTCTTTTTTTTCTCTGTTTCCTCCCTCTCCTCGGATCTGAATTGCCGTAAGCTCCGATGCTGACTTGTCCGGGCCCGCAAATTCTGGGGAGCGTGGACTCGTACTCGTAGAGTAGCACTCCGTACTGCATGTAACTGCTAACCCGTGCATACCTAAAGACGGGCAGGAACCCGTCATAGCCGGTACCTGTTTGAGCTCTTCTCTTAAAAATCGTCTCATTGTTCTCTCTCTCTCTCTCTCCATCTCCCTCTCCTTCTCTCTTCGGATACTCTCTGAATCAGTATAATTGCCCAGACTATATGAATAAAACGCTATACATACATACCTGTACAAGACGGCTGACTTCGAAACTACAACATCTGGAACACATCTAAACCGCTCACCATGACAACCGAGACGAAACCGTTGCTGCAGCAGGGGGGGTTTACGTCGTTTCCAAAAGGTGTGTGTTTGAATCCGAACGGTTGATATAAGTAGAGAAAAGGGAGGCTGATAGAGAGAGGGGAAAAAAAGCTACCTTTGCCAAGGCTATAGCATCGACACGTAAACATGATCGACATCTGCCACAGGCCATTGGCCATCGAGGCTACAAGGCTGCATACCCGGAGAATTCGATGGCTGCAGTTCGCGGGGCGGTGGAGGTCGGTGCCCATGCTGTCGAGATTGATATCCATCTTTCTGCGGATGGCGTTGTTGTCCTCTCTCACGTAGGTTCCTTGCCTTTTTTTTTTTTTTGCCTCGTATGATTGTGAGAGTGTGTGTGCGTGTGTATGCGTCTGACAGCCGTGTAAACAGGACCCAACCTTGAAGAGGTGTTTTGGCGTGGATAAAAAGGTGGCCGACTGCGACTGGGAGTACCTCTCCACCCTCGAGACGCTGAGGGAGCCCCGTGAGCCCATGGCCAGGCTGCGCGATGTGCTCTCCTGGCTGTGTAAGCCTGGTCTGGAAGACATATGGGTCGTCCTGGATGTCAAGGTGAGTCCCGTTTCACCTTGGAGGAATGCCCGGACGGACTGGAACTGACCTGCCATGTAGCCCGACGACGATCCAAACGACTTGCTCGCGGCGACCAAGGAGACCCTGGACAGCGTCACGGAGACGTCCAAGCCGTGGGACCAGCGTGTCCTCGTAGCATGCTGGAACGTGAGTTCTCGAGAGAGCCCCAACTGCATCCGCGCCCGCGCATGAGACTGACCCACCACACCACACAAAGGCAAGGACCATCCAAGCCGCTCACGAGTTCCTCCCAACCCACCCGGCCAGCCTCGTCGGGTTCCACCTCGGCTTCGCCCGACACTTCCTGCCCATCCCGGGACTGGGCATGAGCGTCCTCCACCGCGCCCTGGGCGGCGGCGCCCAGGGCACCCGCTTCCTCGAAGACGTGCACGCCGCCCAGAGGCCGATGCTCACGTGGACCGTCAACGACGAGTCGTGGATGGAGTGGTGCGTGCGCAGGAGCGCGTCCGATGACGGTGACGCCAGGACGCCGCCCTCCCCCGACGACCTGGCCACCCGTCTCTTCGACGGCGTCATCACCGACGACCCGAGAGTCTTCCTCCAGGTGTGCAGCCGCTGGGAAGATGAGCTGGACGGCAGGCAGACCGTCGCGAGGAGGCAGACGACTGCTTTGGGCGCACTGTGGGAGGACATACGGTCCACTGCTCAGTCCTTGGTGCTCACCGTTGTCGGGTCCTTCTTTCTCTTCGTCTACACTAGGGCTGGGAGGTTTGATTACTTTAGTGACGCCAAGAAGCTCAAGCTGTGAGGGTCATGAAAGGGAACTTGTGATTCGAGAGCAAGAAAAGAAAGAGAGAAAGAAAGACATGATTCCGGTAGAAGGAGAAGTTCCAGTCACCCTACTAGGTCAGGTCACACAAGATTCAACAACAGTCCTTACTGAACGGATCCTCATCAAAACGACGATTGGTCCTAGCCTTCCTTCTTGGAAATGGGTGGCGGCGCAATCTGAAGCTTCTCAACCTTGGCTTCCGGCCGGATGTCAAAGTCGAAAATGTCGAGGGGGAGACCCATTGTCGTACAGGCGTTGGGGATCTGTGCCGTACGTTGTGAGCAACATATTGGCATACACCGTAACGCGATTGATAATCTAGGACAGGATGATGGCTTCACTCACATCGACGATGCCGGCAATGTGGCCCTCGACAGGAGCACAGCTCAGCAGCAGGTAGATCTGGTAGTCGTCGTAGCCGTAGCGTCGGAGATACTCGATCACACGGAGGCAGGTCTGGCGATATGCCACGGTCGCGTCCATGTAATGCTGCTTTCCGGATTCATCGACGGAGAAGCCCTGTGTTCCAGGTGTCAGATGTGTGACCCCCCACATGTGGATCTGATAGTTGTGTAAGACAATCCAAGGCACTGACCTCAAAGTATAGCATCCTGCCGGGGCCAAACTGAGGCTGTACAGGACCGGGGATATACATTGGGGAGCGACCGCCCGTCATGCCCAAGTGCTTCTGGCCGTCCTTGAGGACCTTGAAGTTGATGGTGATGACGCCGGCCATCTCAATGGCTCCGCAAAAGGAGATTTCTCCATCGCCCTCTGCAGCACGCGCACACACGCACGCACACGCACACGCACACGCTTCGGTCAGCACTTTTGGATCCTTCGGAGTACTCGTATAGGGAAAGGATCTCACGGGAAAAGTGTAAATCTCCAACGCTAAACTTGGCACCGGGCACGTGAACAGGCAGGTAGACCTTGCTCCCCCTGGAGAGGTTCTTGATGTCGCAGTTTCCGCCGTGCTCCGGACGTCCGGGGATGGTTCGTGCGCCCTCGGCGGCAATCTTGGCCTTGAGGGTCTCGTCCGCCGACCCGGCGTGCGCATTCTGAGCGTTGGGTGGCTGGGCGACGATGCGGGTGAGATCCGTGGTGCTGATGAGCTCTGCCTCGCGGCGGTTCCACTCCTGGAGGACCTCGGCGGAGGGGGCGCAGCCCAGGATACCCGGGTGGATCAGGCCGGCGAACTTGACGCCCGGGATGTGTCTGGACGTGCAGTGTATGCCTTCAAAGTCCCAGATTGCCTTGGCGCTGTTTTTCGGAGGGGGGTTTTCCCGCAACAGGACATCTATCAGTCTACATATCTAGATGGAGAGGGCCTTTGTGTCAGACTCACGCATGGGGATAGTGCTCGTCTAGGAAACCACCGCCATTGTCCTTTTGAAAGATGCCGGTGAAACCCCAGGGTTCGTCCTCAAAGGGTTGGACGTCCTGGATCTCGATGACGAGAACATCGCCGGGCTCGGCTCCCTTGATCTCGAATGGACCGGAGAGGTAATGGATCTTTGTCAGGTCGACGTTGAGGATGTCGTCCGCCGAGTCATTGTTCTTGATCTGACCTCCCGTCCAGTCGACGCACTCAATCTTGACCGTCTCGCCATCATTTATGGATGCGCAAGACGGGACTTGTGTGCGTGTCAGTTGGGAGTCGACGGAAACAGGAGAGGTTTCAGCTCACCATCGGGGTGCCATCTGTTCTATTCGACAGCCTGCTAGTCAGATGGGTGTGATATGCTGCAAACTGCCCACCCCGCCGTCACTTACATGGAGATTCGGCTGCTCCTCAGCGGGGCGGTTGAGATCGACGCTCACGGCCGTACGGATCTTACCGGGCATGGTGGAGGGCCTTATATGTATATGTTGATAGGAGAGAGGGTAGGAGAAGATGAGCACACAGACTTGCGGTCCAGAGTATGAATGATGCTTTCTCGTGCTGCAGAAGAGAGTGCATGTATCTTCTGCAATGAAGTAGACGAGATTGGGGACAGAAGGTCTTATCAGCATTCTACTAGTATCTCCTCGTCTACCGATAGATCGGCGAAAAGAGGGGGGTCACCCTGGATATATATGAAGGATGAGGGGAAAGGGCGTAATCGCTCGGGGCCCCTTCCCTCTTCCGGTGCGGCTTCGGCCTTTTGTACGGATGCATATCAAGGTTATCGGTACCGGGCAATACTGCGCATGATGAGGAGAGGGACGGTAAAGGTTAGATAGGGAATCATCCTTCCTTCTTCCTCCCCTCCTTCTCTGCGGAAGTCGGCCCACTTCATCTGGTGAACGTATCGCACACTCAACCAGCAGTACTCTGACTTGAAGGCATTATCAACACACTATCAACTCTATCAATGTCGTCGCTATCCGGCGTCTTTAGTTGGCATTTCCGGCGTGACAGTGATGTGGCAATGACGAGCTGATGAGAATACGCTTCTCAAACTGCATCCAGTGACGCTCACGCGAGCCCTAACGTGAATCTCCGTGTGAGAGTGTTGTCGTAATATACAATGATGCGTATACACACCATCGAGAACGTCTAGACAATCCACCATGTACACTGCTGGTACCGTTGTAAACCGTCAGTAACATACAAGGAACCGATCCATACATGCCCAACAAGTCCAAGCCAACTTTCCCCTCGTCGGCTCCCCCCCTCTTCCCCCATGCGTTATCATCATTCTCCTTCCTCACCCCCCCCCTATCTCTCTCTCTTTCTGTCCCCCGCTACCCCTCTCGTACATCGTCACATCCCACTTACACATGAAACACACAACAACAATAAAGAACAGAGAGCACCACAAGTATGAGCGACATCAAGACATTCGGCCTAGGAAACTTCACCCTGCAGTCCGGCGCCACCATCCCATCGGCCTGGATCTCCTACCGGACCTTTGGCGACGCCTCGTCCCCGGCAGTGGTATACCCAACCTGGTTCTCAGGCTCTATATCGGACAACGAGTGGCTCGTCGGTGGCGGAAAGACGCTCGACCCGTCCAGGTACTTCATCGTCATCCCGGCCCTCATCGGCAACGGCCAGTCCGTCAGCCCGTCCAACTGGGCCAGCACGGCCGATCCCCCCTCCCCCTTCCCGGACGTGACCTTGTACGACAACGTGCGCGCCCAGCACCTCCTCGTCACCCAGGGCCTGGGCATCAGACACATCCGCGCTGTTCTGGGCTGGTCCATGGGTGCCGCCCAGTCCTTCCAGTGGGCCACGCAGTTCCCCGACATGATGGACATCTGCGTGCCCTTCTGCGGCGCCGCCAAGACATCGCTGCACAACCAGGTCTTCCTGGAGGGTGCGAAGGCCGCCCTGCTGGCCGCCAGGGGCCTGAGCTCGGCCGGGATACCGTCGTCCGGGGGTGCCGGGCCCACCGACGAGGCCGCCGCCAGGACATGGTCGTCCGAGGAGAGGACCGTCGGCCTGAAGGCCTTTGGTCGCGTCTATGCCGGTTGGGGCTTCTCCCAGACCTTTTACCGCCAAGAGCTGCACAGGAAGTTCTACGGCGCCAGCGACATGGAGGACTTCCTCGTCAACTTCTGGGAGGCCTGGGCCCTCGGAAAGCACCCGGACAACCTGCTCGTCATGCTGCATACCTGGCAGGCTGGCGACGTCAGCGCCCAGGAGCCCTACAACGGTGACTTTGCCGCTGCCATGGCCGCCATAAGAGCCAAGACCCTCGTCCTTCCCAGCAAGACGGACCTTTACTTCCCGTAAGTATGCTAAAGTCCCCTCTTCACCCGCTTTTCCCTATATACATCGTCGTTCCATACCTACTTGTCTGCAACAGGCCAGAAGACTCGGAGCACGAGGTCCAGTCCATGAGCCCCGGCATCGGCCAGCTCGACATCTACCCCTCCGTCTGGGGTCATTGGGCCGGCGGACCCCCGGGCAACATGGAAGATGTGGCCTGGTTGGACAAGCAGCTGGCCAATATCTTTGCCTCTGCTCCAAAGAGGGCCTGATCGCAATGAAAACAGAACGGACGTCGAATATGGTAAGCCGATATTAGTATTGCTTTATACCTTTATTCCAATGTGTAGTATAGATGCACCTGTTGTGCGTGCGTGCGTGCGTGCGTGCGTGCGTGCGTGCATGTGTGTATGTAGATAAACAAATAATACAAGTTTGTATGTTTCCGAGACGGACCCAACCTTTGCCTAATAGTCTGTTTCGCCCCCCCCCCCCTGCCACGAATAACTCCTTTACTGATCGTCAAGTTATTTTCCTGTCTACTTCGTAGAGTAAACCTCTGTGCCTCTGCTGACCATACAAATCCCCCGGTCTGCAGGCATACCATCCTTGGCGGAGATAGTGGAGAAACGCGAAGAAGAAAAAGAGAAGCGCGTTTATATTTCAACATCAATGTCCAAGTCGAGAGCCCCAATAATATCGTCATCCATGAGAGGCTTGTGGACAGTCGGCAGGCCCTTATTCTCCGAGTGCTTCTCGAGGTGCAGCTTGGCGAGGTGCGCGGGCATCGACTTGGTGATGGCCTTGGGCGTCCCGTTGGCGGGTGTGCTGGCACCGCTGTCGCCGTCGGCCGATTTCTTCTCGCTGCCAGGTATCGGGTCGTTGATGTCGTGTATGAACTTGGCCTTTGTCTTGACGCGCCTCGACGGGTCGTCCTCGACCAGCTCGCCGCGCTGGATGGCCTTTTCGATGCCGCGCGACCTAGCCCTTTCCTTGAGCTGTGCCTTGCGGACGGCCTCGGCGTTGAGCCGGCGGTTCTCACGGTTGCGTTCGGCCAGCCGGTCCTGCTCTGATTGACGCTTGACCGCTGCGTCGGTCCCCGACCCCGAGCTCTTGTTGGGCTGCGAGAGGCTCGTCCGGAAGGCCAGCCGCTGGGAGCCCATCTTGTCCAGCTGCTCCTGCAGCTCCTCCATCCGGGCGTCGTCTCCCGCCTCGCGCGCCTCCTCCAGCAGCCGGGCCACACGCTCCCGCTCCGCCGGGTCGAAACGCTTCCTCAGCTCGTTCTTGCGCGCCAGCCTGGCCTTGATCTCCTCATTGGTCCAGCGGTGGTTGATGAGCCCGTTAATGTCGTCAATCTTGTCGGATAGGTATGCCTTCGTGGGCAATGTCACGCCTTCATTGTGGCAAGCCACCGTGTATCGGTTGAGCTCACTCTGGAGACAAAAAAATGACGAGGGTCAGCAAAAAAAAAAAAAAAAAAATGCAAGTAAATCTGGGAAAGCGCATTACCTCTGTAAACTTCCCGCTCGAGGCGGCAATGAAAGGGAACTCCTTGACGGCCTTGCCATGCGCCGCACGGGCATACTGATCCGTGATGAAGCTCCCGTTAGGTCCGTTCAGAGCATAAGGCTTCCCGGTGGTGAAGCCCTTGATGACGGCCATGCGGTACTGCTCGATACCCGTCTCCGGGTGAGGGCCGAGCGCGATACGGATATAGCAGCCGGTGATGGAGGCCTCGAAGCCCGGGGTCAGGCAGACCTGGGCGAACTCGTTTCTGCCCAGGCGTACGCGATCGTAGTCGCGCAGCTCCGCGGGAGGGGTCTTGCGCTCGCCTTCGGCCTCGGGGGTTCGACTGTCGTCCCTGCCTCCGACGTCACTTTCGTTGTCGTCTGGCGACCGCCTGCCATCGGGCGAGTATGAGCCACCCCTGCGGCGCTGCTCGGCGTCCTCCCTGCGCTTCTGCTTCTCTGCACGCGCCCGGCGCAGCGAGTCCATGGCTGTCTCGCCCTTGCCTCCTACCGTGCGCTGCCGCGACGTCTTGCGGCTGGCGGCGTCCTCAAGCTCCGCCGTGTCGGCGCTCCTCTTCTTCTTGACGTGCTTACGCTCCTCGTTCTCCACCATCTGGCGCAGCAGCCGGTTCTGCCTCTGCCGGTCAATCTCCGTCATGCGGTCCGCGATGATCTGCTCTCGCTCCAGCTCGGGGAGCGCCATGATTTCCGCCTTCTCCGCATGGCTGATGTACATGCCCTCGACCGGGTACTTGCCGTCGCCATCGGTATCGCCACCACGCCCGCGTTGCGGCTCGTCTTCGGAATCGGACTCGTCCATCGGCGCGGACTCGAGCGAGTTTGGTGTTCCAGGGTCAGAGTTGCTGTCCGCAGGTAGTTTTTTCTTATCAGCCCAACGCATCTTTCCACCTGGCTGGAAGGTGCCTCCAGCCTCGAAGCCGCGCATCTACCAGAGAAGAGGGGGTGGGGTTGGCAAAATCACTCACGCCTCGCCATCCTCGTCGGAATCGTCCTGCCTACCGCTGCGCTTCGACTTCTTGCTCGGCCGCGGCGACTCGGACCGTCCCCTACTCTCGCTAACAGAGCCCTCATCCCCCGAATCTCCTCCCGCGAGATCAAGGAGATCGTCATCGATGTCGGCCATGATCTCTGTATCGTCTTCGAGTATCACGCAGCTTCCGTGCGGCAAACCCCGTCAGGGATAGCAAGAGACCCAAGGAAGGGCTGAACTCTGGGAGGAAGATGGAGGATGATGGCGCCGAAGCTTGGCTTGGAATAGAGGAAGAGGTAGAATATATTATATGCGTTCAAAGAAGAGACAAAAATGAGCCCGAAGAGGAAAAAAAAGTAAGAAGAAAAGATTGTACGGTCAACTTCTTCTCCCTCTTCGCCAGGGCGCAACGCCTCCAAGGCGAAGGAAGGCGCGTGTCTGATTGGGTGCCACCAGCAAGCCGTCACTCAGCATCGGCGGTGGAAAATCAGTTGATCCGGATTAACCCTTGAAGGCATGTGTGTAACTTGTACCTGCAGTTGGCTGTCCTGCGCTGCACATGCCACAGCAATAGTAGTAATAGTACTCCGTACTCCGTACACATCAGTACAGATTGCTCGTAGTCTAAATAGTAGACCCACTTAAGCTTCGTCGCGGAGCTGCTCGGCCGAGAAAGTTCAATGTTTCGACGGCATCATCATACCACCTCTCCCGTCATGATCATGTCCCGCCGCCCCCCGATGTGAACGATACCGATCCCCTATACTCGAAAATGGTGGTCATACGGCAAATTTCCAGGCCGGTAGCCCGGTCGGCTCCGTGCAGGACACGCTGCTGCGTCTCTGCTTCTTTTTCTTTTTCTTCTCCCCGATGGCTCTCGTCAGATAATAGCTCCTCGCAGAAGAAGAAGCTCAAGCCTCTGACCAGGGAACAGCAAGACTTTCTCTCTTCAGCAGTACAGACTACTCTCTCTCCTCCCCCAGACTCCCCCCCAGAGGAGAAAAGGGAAAGGGTTACACATAGCTGACGGGAAACAAACAGCTCCGCGTCAACCAGACCGGCGAAGTAGCAGCAACACGCATCTACACGGCCCAGACTCCCATCCTCGTCCGCAATCACCCCCATCTCCGCCCCCTCATGGCACACATGTACGACCAGGAGGCCGGCCACCTCGACACCTTTAACAAGCTGATCCACCGGCACCGCGTGCGCCCCACGGTCCTGTACCCGCTGTGGACGCTCATGTCTTCCGGCCTAGGCTGGTCGACGGCCATGATGGGCCGCGAGGCCGCCATGGCCTGCACCGAGGCCGTCGAGACGGAGATTGGCGGCCACTACAACGCCCAGATCCGGAGCCTGCTCGAGATGGTCACCCAGTGGCAGGAGGAGGGGTACGATGTCGGTGACGACCTGCGCGAGCTCATCAGCACCCTGCGCAGGATCCGCGACGAGGAGCTCGAGCATCTGGACCATGCCGTCGAGCATGATTCCCAGAAGGCTGAGCCGCATTGGCTCCTTACCAACGTCATTCGTGCTGGTTGCCGTGGCGCCATCTGGGTCAGCGAGCGTGTATAGCACTCCTTTGCCTGCTTGCCTTCCTTTACATCGTACACTCCATGTACAACCTCCTGTTCAGTCTCGAGATCCATGTACAATTTTGTTTTTATTTTCTACTGAAGACGTGTAATATCAAGTATAAAGTCTATATAAAAAGAGTATTAGTGAACGAAAGCAAAACGGGCAAAACAGTAATGGGCATGAGTCCACTATATATGCTTCGCAACCGCTCTCTTCTTCCAACCGGGAGCGTAGTGGTTGTTTTTTTTCGAAGCCGAATTGCTCGTACTTTTGATGCTGAGGAACGAAAGAAAAACAAAAGCGGGGGGAGAAAGAACGGGCCAAAAAAAGAGATGAAAACTCCGTCAACGATGCATTAACACACGCACACACTATGCAGCAAGAACCCCAAAACGCCATGCTAGTCGCTACGAGGTTGTTAGCTCATTGTCAAAGGAGGGGTTGGTCGGTTGGTTGGTTTGGCATGGAGGCAGGAAGGCAGATGAAACTTACTAGATAGCCAGAGGGGCAACGCTGTCGACCTGGTAGCTCCAGTTACCCTTGATATCCGAGGCAAGCAGCCAGTCGTGCGGAAACTGCACCAGGTGGCCCTGCGTCATGTTGAGTAGCTCCTCGGCCTCTGCGCGCGAGGGCATGTCGTCGATGGTGAACTCGCGCCGGCTGCTCCTGGTCGTGCCCCTGCGTCCCCGCCTGGGCGCATCTGCAGAGTTGGATGGCTGTCGGGCCATGTCCTTGGCCGACGGCTTGGGCAGGTTGGAAAACGTAGTACGCCGCTCGCGCTTCGCGCCGCCGCTCGCGCCGGGTGACTCCAGGGTCGGGAACGGCACGCCTCCTGGTGAGTATGAGGGAGACAGGCCCTCCTGCGTAGTACGCGAGGTGGGCCGCTGATCTGTTGCGCCGCTCGTATCCAGAGTCAGGCGCGGCGTTGACGATTGCGGCTGCTGCTGCTTCTCCCCGTCTCCCTGTAATTTCTCGTTGAGCTCTTCCTTATTACCACCGTTTGGCACGACAATATGAGGTTTTTCGGTAGTGGTCTGCTGGCCTTCCGACTTGGTGTCCCACTCGTCGCCGTTGGCGCGGCCGTCCATCTTGGCTTGGAACCGATCCTGGTATGCGGCAAAGTCGCGGTAATCATCCCAGGTGGCCACGGTGGAGTCGGGCATGCAGCGGAAGACGCGACGGTAGAGCATGGTGTTGTTTGTAGCCGCCCTGTCCCAGACTTCGTCCAGGAAGGAGTTGGATATGGGGTCAGCCATGCAGTCTTTGTCGATGTGGACGAGCTTGATGTCAGCCGCCATTGGGTGGACTGTGCTGTTGACGGGGCGGCCGGTACTGGGATCGGTATGAGCCGGGAGACCGCCAATGTCTGTGTCGTCGTCGGCCACGGGGAGAGTTGGCGGCTGCGCGACGCGGGGCAGTCCGAGCTGCTCCGTCGTCCGACGGCCAGAGGAGGGCATCGGGGGAATATCCTCGCTCACAGCATTGTTTGCCTCGGCAGCATCCACAGACCTGCCCTCGGGTATCGGCGGCCCCCGCTGGTGGTGGCCCGGCTTGGGCGCATCCAACGAACCCTTTCCTCGAGCGTCAATGCCGTGCACGAGAACTTCGTCACCACTGACGATGACTGAGTCGCGACCTTGGTCACAGCCAGTTTTCTCAGCATCCTTCCAGTGATCTGGACCGTAGCCCGTCACATCATCCTGATGCTTCTCGTCCTCGGCCCGGCGGTCCAGCATGGGCTCCTTACCCTTGGCCGTGGATGGAACATCCAGGTCGACAGAAGCACGGACATCCTCCACATCCAGCCCAGCGTTGAAGCTGTGGGGACGTTGGACGGGACTGTGTCCCCCGGGAGAGGAGGAGCTCGGACCGGCAGCTGTAGAGGCAGCGGCATCCTCGCCACCCGTTTCCTGGTAAATCTGGTTCATCTCGTCCTCAAACGACCCGCCGTCCATCTCCTCCTGGCGCTCCTGCTCCAGAATCTCGTCGACATCCAGGCCCAGGTGTTCCCTCATCAGACGCATGCGGAGGGTGTAGGCAAAGCGGCCCACCTGGTACGGTTTGCCGGCCATGGTAGACCACAGCATGTCGGTGTCCCTCACAATGGCTGCACACTCGGAGTCGCGGGAGCCCAGCATGGACCGTTCGTTGATGTTGGCGGAGCCGATGAGGGCCACGCGATCATCCACAATGATGGCCTTGGCGTGGATGTAGAGCTGCTCCGTCACCAGGGCGTCATTGGCCATGATGCCCCACTGGCGGAGGGAGTAGAAGCTGATGTAGTCATCAGGCTCGATGCCAGCGGCACGCAGGCGTGCAAAGATGGAATTTTCGCCTCGGCTGATGCTGCAGTACTGGCACATCAAGATGAGACGAACACTCGTCCCGTCCTGCTGATCAACCGTGTTCTGAAATCCGGGCATCAGCGGGATGATGATGACGCACCTCCAGTCCTCGTCATTCTCGTGAGCCCGGATTATGCGCTCGACCAGAGCATCGCCGATGCGGTTCATGATGCGGACATTGTATGCCTCCGTGCTGGTGATGAAGAATTGGTTTTCCATGTAGACGAAGTGCTCCGAGTCCTCAATCATCTTGATGTAGGCCGTCTGGATGCTGTGCTCCGTATCTTCGATGCCGAGGGACCAGGTTGACGCGGAACGCAGTATCTGGACCTCGCACGTGCCCGTGAGACCGAGCTCCTCCAGCTCATCCATATTGGCGTCAGGCGCGGGCAGGAGGAACGGAAGGGGCCTGGTAGGCTTACGTCCCCGGCGGAGGTAGTTCCAACGCTGGACAAAATGACGGGTCAGATCGCGTGCCGGCTGGCCGACGACCTGCATGGAGATGTCGTGCCAGGGCATGCGGGGGACCTTGCTGCGGTCGTACATCTCGGCGTAGGGCTCGTGGAGCTTATAGAAGTCCTGGACCCTAGGGTTTGAGTAGTCCTTTCCGGGGTAGAGCTGGCAGTGATCCGCATCCTTGGGGACGTTGGTGGTCTCGAACCCAGTCGGCTTGTCATCCGTGATGGGGTGCTGGGGGCAGTCCCAGCGGCCGAAGCAGAGATCGATGCCGCCCACAAAGGCCACGTCGTGGTCGACGATGCAGATCTTCTCATGGTGGGCAAAGAAGAATTGGTTCTTCTTGAACTGGTTGGGGGACCTCTGGACAAAGATGTTGGGATGCAGGTTCAGGAGGGAGAACTTGGTGTACTCCGAGTCTATCGGAATGGCAGCCTCCACATTTCTGTAGATGATGACAAAGATCTTGACGCCCTCGCGAGCCTTCTTCTGCAGCAGCCTGTCGAGGCGCCACTTCTGGCTGATGCACGCCGGTCGACGCATGTACAGCTCCGGGCTCAGCCACCAGTCGTGGATGTAGATGACGTCCTTGGCCATGTTGATTGCCCTCGACACGTTCCACATGTAATCGCGACCATCGACCAGCCACTGAGCAAAGACGTTGTTGCGCACGGGGGCGAAGCTGTTGAAGCGCTTTTCCTGATACCAGGGCGTCTGGCGAAGCATCTCGTTGATGGAGGCCTCAAACTCCCTCAAGATACTCTGGTTGCGCGAGAAGAGACGTACCTGGCGCTCAGAGGTAGCCAGCGTCAGCGTGTGGTGCTTCTCCCGAGGGTGCTCCTTGGTGAGGTCAAAGGTGCTCTGCTTCTCCGACGCGCCTATCTGCTTGGGCGGACTCCTCTTGGAGATGATGCTGAACTTGGAGTCGACGAGGTACACGTCGTATATGTTCATGTTCTCCGGTGACTCGACGCACACAAGGTAGCTCTGGCGGACCAGGAACCACTTGCTGGTGTGGCGGTCGATGACCTTGCCGGGCGTCAGGACGCGGCGGAAATCAAGGCCCTTGGAGGACTGGATGTGGAGGAAGCCTTCCTTGCCATGGTAGCTACCCTCGGCGGCAAGGCGCACGCCCAGGGCGGAGAGTTCGAGGAACCGACAGAGGCGGTTACTCTCAGCTCGGAACATCAGCCAGCGGATCATTCCAGAAATGTACTTTTCCAGGACGCGGCGCTGCTTGTCAATGTATCGCTTCTTACGGGCAACAGGGTCCATGTTGGACTGGCCCTCGGTATTGGACGCATCCCCCGGGTCCGTTATTCCCGTCGAGCGTCTCCTCATACCCATGGCGTTTATGCGACTCCTCTTTCGGCGGTGAGCATGGGGGCCCTCGACATCGCTGGCCGCCAGCCGTCCTCCCTCCTCGGGAATGGTGTCCTCGGCCTGAACCTGGACGGCCATGTCGTCGCCACTGATGTTAGCTCGGTCGTCTTCTTCGCTGCTGTCCCCCTTGTCGTTCTTGTTGCGGGCTTCGCGCATGTACGGGAACGCAGAGTACGGGAACTTGGGCTGCTTATACCGAGAACCTCGATCCAGCCGTCCGGGCATGTACTTGTCGTTCTTGGAAGTGAACTTGTAGCGGAAGTGCAGGTTGTACAGGTCGCCCAGTGACCGAGTGATGGTCCAGTTCATCCTGCTGGGGCCACTGCCGTACTCGAGCTCGAAGACGAAGTACCAATGGCGGTTGCTGTTGGTCTCCTCCTCGTCAGCCTCGGGGTAGCTGTCGACGGCACGGACCCTCAGCTGCTCCAGCAGCACCGGTATCCTCTTGTTTCCATGCTCGTCACGTTGGATCATGCTGGCGAGCATCAGCACAGCCGGTGCACCGGCCCTCAACTCAGCCATGAGCTCGGCCGATTTGTAGTAGTCGACACGCTCGGCCTTCCTCTGGCGAAGAACTCGGAGGGTCTTCTTGACCTGGTTCCATTTGTGGATGCCGTACGTCGATGCCCTTTCGGAGCCGAAAATAGGACGTTTGGGGGCAAGTGCTTCTCCGTCCGAGATCGCGCCTCCCGCGAGAGCTGTTGAGCGGCGCTGGTGGCCTCGGCGGCGTGCCACGGCATACGTGTTCTCGTGATCTTCCACGTCTGTCGCAGGACGCGAGCCAGAATCCATCCACGGGGCTCCACGGCGCCACAGGGATGGGCGGTCACGCTGACGTACCAGTTCATCGTCAGACATTCCGAGGTCCCTAGCCGAGGTGTCAGGCATGCTCGCGCGACGCCTCATAAGACGCTTCGACATGTTAGGGGCATCCACGCCATGGGTTGAACGACTGGGCGTCGGCGGCTCGGCCCGAGCATCTTTTCCGTGGCGGCGCATCCTCTGCCTCTTCTTCTTCTTCTTCTTGGGGGTCTCGGAGTCTGGGATGTTGGCCTCATCAGCCGTAAGCTCGGCGTCGGCATCGGCGTCGTAGACGCCGTCGACCATCGGTTCAAGGGTACGAGATCCGGAGCGGGAGGCCGCAGCAGACTCGGCTGCCGGCTGGAGCCTTGACTCGTCGGGCGGCATGCTGGGAGACCGTGGGCTCTGCAGGCCGGTGCTACCGGCCATGGCCTTGATCATGGACATGAACGTACCCCCCTTTCCTTTGCCGGGGGACTCGAACCCATCGAGAGAGCTGTGGCGGGTGTGCCCGGACTGCTCTGGGTGTTCAGAGCGACGGAACTGAACGCTGCGCCTGGTCGGGCTCTCGATTGTCTCATCCTCGGCTCCTTCGCCAGCGGGAGATTTGCCACCATTTTCTTTCTGGTTGGACGATCCATCGGGAGCAGCAAGCAAGTCGTCTGAGGGGTGCGGCCGGTCGTCGGTTGGCGGGGCAGAGTCTTCCTTGGGCCGGATAGTCAAGGTCTCGGAAGCATTGCGCACCATCACTGCAGGCGGCTGAATCCCGTTGGCGGGGTTGGACTTGTCCTGGGTGGCTGTCGAGGTAGAGGGGGAGTTGGCATCTTGGACGGGCAGATGCTCGGGCGCTTGGTCCACCCGGGTTGGTGAGACGTCGTCGTCGTCGTCTGCGTGGGGGCGAGCCATGGTCGATATAAACGCGGGGAATCTCGCAAAGGGATTGTAGAGAGGTTGGGGCCCCGATTGAGGATCAGAGGCTGCGTATGATTAGGCTTGGGGGGGGGGGGGGGGAGCATGTAACACCCTCTGTCTGGGGTCTTGTCTGGGGTTTT